TCAAAATCCGGAGTCCTAACCACTAGACCATACAACCAACGTACTGCGGTTTCGCCGATGTGAATGTCGCAAGAGGACAGTCAAGCTATAAAGATGGAAGGGCAGTTCATAGTAATTAAGGAGATTGACTACATCAATGCATGTTAAATCAGTTGTCGCTTGCAGGAGGAACGGGGAGGTGGCTTCATAGCGACAGGAAAGGTCCCATTGAAATTCAATAAATTTTAACTGAAGAGGAAACGCTCGCGCAGCGCAATGCAACGAGATGCGACCAAGCACTGAGTGAAATGGGTATCCGCCATATCGACATATCCTATCTCTGGAAGGACTTCCCTGATCTGCCGCGGGAGTTGGTCTCTTCTACCTCTGGACTGCGAGAAAGTGGCACCTGGGGTAAGTATCGCAGAGAACATCAGCTGAGGGCCGAGACGAAAACTTCCACTATCTCTTTTGAGTCATCCCTGCTCACATCCGCGGAGTCGTTTGCCGCCATCAGCGACATCTAATGGGCGGTGCGTAAGTACCCATCCATGTCCGCCGCTCGTTGAGTTTGGCTGGCTAGACTATGTCCGCTTTAACAAATAGCAATCTCACGGCCAATAAAAAAGGACGGACATGGTAAGGATAGAAGAATGGAGAATGAAGCACTAACGCCAAAGAACCGACGCTTGTTTTTGGGGGTTTGAGAGCTGTGAAGTTGAAATCGTTGACGGAAAGGGATTCTTGAATGTGAGGACAACTTTCCTCGAGGAGATTTACCGCAGATACTAGGGGAGGGACTTAACGGAGACGCGACCCAGCACGCAGACCGTGGCGAGGAGTCGGGCGGTGGCAGCGGTGGAGGAGAAGGAAATCGATGGGAAGATCAAGGGTTGGACACCTCATAGCAAAGTTATCAAAATTATGGGCAAACAAAATTCTGATATTACCTCGGGTAAAACCAACCCGAAATAGCGTTTCCCGAACGCAGTCGATAACTATATGATTTTCCTAATTATGTATTGAGACTAGATTGGTCTAGCAGGTATCCCGGGGTGTCTTGACCTATTCCCACTTCATGCCTCTGTAATACAGTAGACCTCAGGATCTACCCAAAGACCCTCTTCCTTCCATTAGCTTCTGGGAGATGACGAGGAGCTGTATGTTTCTCTGTCATGAACAGTGGATGATAACGTACATGGGAAACCGTCTTGCCTTCGCGTTTGATAGAGAATGCAAGGTTTCCGCACTTGAAAAATATGCTCTCTGGAAAAGACAGCATTTGTTGAGAAGCAAACAGCTGGCAGCGAGGCGAGTCGATTCGGTAGCCAAGCTTAGGGATGGGCAAGAGCACTGTAGGATGAGAGGGGAAGTTCTGCTCTTCGACTCGAAGTTGTCGGCTGCGCTAGGTATGGCCATGGACCCATGGTGGCAATGCCTGGGCCAACTACCAAACATCCTTCCGTTCATTGAAGCAGTGGCCACAACCGTCTCAACCACCCACCCACCCGCACGAATCTATCAGGGTCAATACCGTGTCGCAGTGCAATTTCCCGCAGCTTCTCGTCCTTTCCGGGATTCACCACCTCGCACACCGCCTTTCCGGAAGGTGTGTCGCACAACCAGGCAGCAGTCCGATAAAACCCCCACCGAGAGGAAAACTTGACAAGCATGTACACGTAAACGAGACCGTGACGGGTAGTAGCGAATGGCGGCAGGCTGCGGCAGGGAAATCCGTCATGACGAGCGCGGCTTATGGAGAAGAATACGTCTGAGGTCTCGCTCAATTTTTGCAGCCGGGTCGTGGCGTTTCGTCGCTCTTGGAGCTCCTCGCGGATGCGGTCGCGGTACCAGGGGCGGGGCTGCCGGGAAAGCCCCAGGAAGTTGTACCATCGCCTTAGGAGGGCTGCGGTGGCTCGATTCATCCTGGCCAAAGATTTTCTGGGTAGCCTTGTTTGCTAATGGCGATGGATTGCCCTTGGGCCGGTTAGGAGAGGATGTTCAGGGGATGAAAAAAATTAAGACGGCCCAGTCTCACTGGCAATGTTGCTTTTTCCTTCTAAAATGATAGTGGTGCGTGAGCCACCAACGACCATCCTATCAGCATCCGAGTTTCTTCTGATTGCTAAAATGAGATCCTCGCAAACAAGACGTCGCAGGCCAACCTTGCTGACGTCTCCAGGGACTTAACAGGGTCTAGACAGAGGCCCAGCAGAATTGGAAGAATGAAGTGGATGTCAACATACTTCATGGAGCGCCCTTCCCATCAGAGGGTCGGAGCCACTCTTCAGCTATAAAATAGACCTGCAGTCCTGGCCTCCATCCCTCTTGGAACCCCAGGGCAATAGCTTGAAGCTCTTTCAAAACTCTATCTTCGGCCTATTCTATCTATTTTTAACCAATCCGTTTGTCTTCACCCAAATGGTGTCTCAATCTACTGCTTCATCATCAACGGTTTGGGGCTCAGTTTATTCCCGATCCGTCATCATCGGAATCTATGGAGTTCCCGGATCAGGCAAGAGCTACCTCCTGGGCGAGTTAAAATCAGCGCCAAAGTCTCCATTCACCTTTTACGAAGGTTCGGAGGTCATCGGCGACCTTGTCCCAGGAGGCCTCCCAGCCTTCAAGAAACTGGGAGAGGCCATGCAAACAACTTGGCGCGGGTTAGCCATCTCTAGGATCCAACGCGAATGCCAGGAAGTCCGTGCCACCGGGGTAGTTACCGGACACTACATGTTCTGGGATGAAGGGAAGGAGGAGGGAGATCGAGTGATCACCAAGGCTGACCTCGAGGTCTACACTCACATCATCTATCTGGATATCCCTGCCTCCGCGATTCGGGACAGCCGTGAAGGTGACACAAAGAGAGAACGGCCGATTGTCTCTGTGGAACATCTTGAAAAATGGAAGGCCATTGAAAAGGCCGAATTGCGATCCCTATGTTGGGAAAACGGGATCATATTCTCTCTGGTCTCGGGACCACCAAGGAATTTTGTGGATGAGGTTACCGCACTGCTGCTCGACTTCAAGAACCGCGACGAGCGATCCAACCTAGACCTTGCCCTCGAAAAGGTGGACCGCTTCGCTACATTGATGGCGGCAAGCCGCGGGCCCCAGTTGGACACTATCCTTGTCGTTGACGCCGACCGGACCCTGGCACCGCAGGATACCGGTGCCCTGTTTTGGCAAGCTGTCGCCAAATCCGATAGGATTTGGTCGGAGGTGGGCCCCGACATTCTCAAAAAGCTCTTCGGCAGTAAGATGGGCTATTCCTACACCGCCTTTCGTCAGGCTGCGCTGCTTTATCACGAAGTAGCTGAAAATGGCGCCTTTGAGGCTCTGTGCGATGAAGCGTCATTGGGCGTTACAATGCATCCTGAATTCGTTCAGTTCCTACGCGCGGTGGGAACGACACCCCATGTCGCTGTCGTTGTCGTCACTTGTGGGCTGTCAGGAGTATGGGAGCGCGTTCTCCAGCGAGAGGATATCCCCAGATCAGTCCAAGTCATCGGCGGAGGCCGCACCTTGGATTCAGGTTCCCTTGTCGTAACACCTCAAATCAAAGCAGCCATTGTCGACCGCCTCAAGGGCGACGGCGACGACAATAGGCGAGTTTGGGCATTCGGTGACAGCCCATTGGATATCCCCATGCTACTTGAGGCGGATGAAGCGGTCGTCGTCGTTGGGGAGGAACATCTCAGGAGCAAGACCATGGACGCGACTCTTTCAAGTGCTATCAAAGGTCAAGGCCTCAAAGCACGGCAGCTTGTCCTTCCCAAAGGATCTCCGCCGAGGTTAGACACGGATATCCTCCCTTTGGTAAATCTCACAGATGATGTTATTGTCAATTCCCTCATCCGCCGTCACCCCCAATCCCGGATTTGCCATGCAACGGAGCGAAATTCTGCAAAGCTCCTGATGACACCCACTCGAAACGCGAAGATCTCCGGACCCTCCCTTCGCCGGGCCCATCACCAAGTAGGGCGCTACTTGGCAACCGAATTCTTGACCGAAATCATTGGCGTGGAGAGCTACGACATTCCTCACGTCCAAGGTGGCGTCACCAAGGGACATCGCCTGCTCCATGAAGAGAAGACGGTCATCGCGGCTCTAATGCGGGGAGGCGAGTCCATGGCCTTTGGTGTCAGCGAGGCTTTCCCTCAGGCAACGTTTCTCCATGCGCGGGGACTCGACGACATCGATTCTAGCTACGTCGGGAGATTTGAGACCATTCTGCTCGTCGATTCTGTCATAAACACTGGGAAGACAATTATTTCATTCATAAGGGCAACTCGGGGGCTTCATCCTACGATTAAAATCGTAGTCGTCGCCGGCGTGGTTCAGGATGAGTGTGTCTCTCCTGGAAGCCCATTTTATCAGGAACTAGAACAGGATGTTAACCTTTCAATCGTCGCATTGCGATTTTCTAAAAATAAGTACACCGGACGAGGAGGTACGGACACCGGACACAGGCTGTTCAACACAACCTACCGGGATTGATCATTTGTCTTGATTCAAAGGTCAGCGCCCGTTGGAGACAGATATCGCATGTGAACTGGGACCTGCATGTTTCGCTGGTATTTTGTTTAATTAGGTGATCATGTATGCAAGCAAGAGCCACATAATTTTTCTCCAAGATAGCCTAGAGCAGATATACCTGACCAACAAGACTCCCCTTTCGTCAATTTAGAATGGCGCCATCGTGCCGGTGTGTGAAAAGGTAGGGTGCAATCGGAAGCTCCCCCGAGTTCCGCGGGGGCCATTCGAGAAATTACTCACGGTAAGATTAGAAGTGTCATCGAGTTCCACGGCCGTATCTTTTACGCAGTTCAAAACCATCTGTTACTTGATCAGGTAGGTCTACAAGTTTTACGGTACTCGCAGAGGCGCGTTGATACTGGGAATCAAACTTGTATTTCCATCGTATTTAAGCCATAAATCCCTGGGTGGAATTTCTTGCCTGAGTTATCTTGACTCAGGATCGTCAGGTCAGATGGGCTAGCTCAAAGAACCCGTCCTCTCGGGTTCCCTCTGTTGTGTGTGCTGAAGCTGCTCAAAGTGCAGTGGCAAGACAGGACTGCCATCTCTCTGAACTGCGTGTCCCTGGCTAATCAAGGTTGCGCTGTCACGCATCAGCAGTTCGTAGTATGTTGTAGCGAGTAAGGTGGCTGGTACGTTGACGAATATTGCAATTGGAGGGTATCCCCGATAAGTGAAGACTTCAGGGCCGTAAAATATGGCAGCCACCACACGAGCACCCAAATCTCGAGCGAGGTTGGTACTCAAGGCGATGCTGCCGAACCCCCAGATCATATCTGTGTAGGCCATGCCGAGCAAGAACGGAATGCATACCGGCGTGACGAACGGGTTCGATGGATCCATGGCCGCCCAAATTATAATTCCGATAAAGATGTCCGCCATGAATTCGATCAAAAATATAAGACCGATGCTGGGATGGGTTACTGCAGGGAAAGCGCAAAATATGGAGGCGGGTGCTCCGCCAGCCACAAGCGGTTTCCCTGCCGCCACGAAACTTGCGTTCAGAGCCCGAATCTGCGGCCACATAACTCCCACGATAACCAGGGCCCCTAGGATTGCCCCAAATATTTGGCTGAATATGTAGTATGGTACTTTCTTCCATGGAAAACCTCTCCAAATCGCCATTGCTAGCGTCAGTGCTGGGTTGAAATGTCCCCCCGATACAGGGGCACACGTGAGAATCGCAAAGACGATTCCAATCCCAAACGCCCATCCGACCTGAAACTGGCTGACTGAGGCCGTCCCGGTTGCGTTATTGGACTCGATCATCTGGCTGGCAACGGACGCGAGACCTGGGAAGACATAAAAGAAGACCCCTGTTGCTTCGGCCGCGCACTCTCGGAGCCATTGGGGACGAGCGCTTTCGAAATTTAGTCGACGTTGAGATACCGGTCCATAGAGAGGCTGCCGAGAGGGGAGGTTCGGCCTCAAGACCGCTTCGGTATCTGATTCTGATGACACTATAGCCATTAGTTATCGGAAGCGAGGACTTTCAGGCAGGACATGAGTTGCTGGGAACGGATAGTACGGACTACCAGAAACCGGTAGAGTGTTTGGAGTTGATGTCCCGCTATGATTTTGGCGCTCGAGACCCATTGCGTTTGGAAATGTGAGAAGTGACGATCGGTTTTAATGGCTTCTACTCATCTTGAGTCAAGTTGATCGAGTCTATCTCTCTCGGAGTGAGATTCGATTGGGAAGCAAGGCGGACGAAGAAATCATCAAATAGAAAATTTTGAACATTAGAGAGGAAAGAATCGGTGAGACCAAATCTCCTCTCTTGTGCGTTATGCACAAAGCAGCTTGTTAACGACATATGCATACTCACGATAGTTGGGCCGGGTTCGGCGGAGCATCGTGATATCGGTGGCGGTGTGCCGAAGTCGCCTAAAAGCACATTTCCATTGGTGACATTAACGACCCATTGTCCATATCGGGCTAGAGCTTGGCAAGTCATGCTTGATCGGGGATTGGTAGGTCCGCAACGGACAAAGTGGCCCACGATGAGCATCAATAGACCCCAGGAGAATACCAAATACTAAGCTGCGAGTACTTGTGCAGGTGGCACTTTAGAACCCCGTGACTCAAGTCTAACACCGACAACAAAATATTAGCTAACCCATGTTTAAACATACTCAAAACACAGATAGCCGCCACGCGTGTCCATGACATCCCGAACCGTAACGTCCGGTATATATCCAAACGCTGTGAGAACGTGGTCCAGCGTCACGACATCCCCAGGATCACCGTCCCGCCCAGTTGGCATAATCTCTAATTGCTCCTCAGAAGGGGATCCAAATGTCCTTTCTTCGTCCTTCATTGTACCTGGAATCTCAATAAAGCCGATCTCGGGGTCTTGGTTGTTCGGTCCACCGATCGCGTACAGCCTATTTTCGAGGTCGGCTTCCTGCCAGTCCCACCAGAGCTTGTCGAGATAGGTGTGTTGGAGAAAGAAAGTTGGGTCGCTTGGTGACGTGTGCGTGTCTCCTCTCTGTTTGGGAATATTTGTAAACACAATGGGTCCGCACAACTTTCTGGGATTGAGAAAGAGAGTAGAGTATAACATACCAAGCTGCCCATAATGGCATGTCCAAGGAGATGCGGTGTTACGTATAGACATGGCCAGACTTCCTCGTAGGTTGTGTAGTTCATGCATGTCGTTGACTGGACTCGAGCATTCATAAGTTTAAGAGGGTTCGCACGTCGGTTGATTGATCGAGCTAGGCATGTTGGTGTGGTCTGGTAGCCTGGTCCAATGTTCACGGTCACATTGACGAATGGGCCGTTCTGAATACAGCCCCCTGCACCATCGCCGCCGAAGCCTGTGTCCGGGTCAAAGACGGCAGATTCTGTGAGGTCGTCCAATTTCATATCCTCGACCTCATCCCAGTATCTATTTAAGTCTTTAGTCGCTTTAGGGCCCACATTTCTTGGATGGACTCACGGGACGGCGCCCTCAAACCCGCAATCCTTCAACATCATCTCATGGAGATGGATATAAAATCGGTGAAACGGTAGGAATGTACCCGTACTATGAATCACAATGGTCTGGAGCTGGTGGTTCGCCACGATATCGTCGTACATTGTCTTCGCTCCTGGCAGCTTGGTTTTCGCTGGGGAAGTAAGGTGGCAGAGCTCCGCATCGAGGTACGCGGTTTTCTCATCGTCCGATAGCGTATGCCTGCGATACCAGGTTAACTTCAAGGTGGCCTTCGGTGCTACAATCTTCCTGATATTGTCACGCATACCATCCTCGCCGTGTCGCAGGCTCAGAGCAGGTAGGCTCAGCGGTTGGGACGGGTGAGGCTTGGATCCAGTCGATCAGTTGGGAGCATACGGCAAAAGCCAAGAGTTGATAAAGTTTCCCCATATTTTTAACACGAATAGCAGTCAGATCTTCTGGGTCTTAGATGAGCTTTCTTACGCCAGATCTAGGTTTGATCCATCCAACCTACAGCCCCGAACTATATATCTCTTCTTGGATCTTTCCCCGTCCCCAGTATGTATGCGGAAGACTCTCACGAGCCCTCCCGTGATGACGAGGACCGGCTTTGGCGGTGCCATCACGGCAGTTCTCATCATGAATCTCCTAGTGAAAGACTCCAATGAATATGTGTAGTTCCGCGTTAGCAGTAACGAGACACAGAGCGATAGATTAGATATTACGCGGCCCGCGCGATTCGAGACTTGGGATTAGCCACTCCCTTCCTCCTGACAGACGTGGCTCCCCACGAAACTTCATTTACGCGTCACCTTCATTAATTCATATCCGGCTCTAAAAACAAGAAAATAAACGATAATAGCCCAGATAATAATCGTGAAAAAAAGAAAGATTGTATGGGCTTTACTAGGAAAAAAAAACTGGATATTGGCATCATGATTGAAGAGATGGCTCAAGAAATACGCGAACTATTGAGGAACGTCATCTTCAGTTTCTTCAACTCTGGAGGCTTCGTTGCTTCCTCGTCAACCCCACCGATACTCCTGGCCCCAGAAGGAGGCGCCCTTTTCCCTCCCTGGCATGACGTGGCCATTCATTTGAAGGAGCCAGCCAAATTACAGAGACTAGTGAAGTACGAGAGCATCTACGAGATGGTGATCGAGAAGGAGTTTATCACGAGACTAGATTCCATAGCCATGCAATTCATCAGCTCTGTTGGGGACATCGACTTGATGTTTTCTTGTGGTTGCCCTCGATGTCAGCAGAGGTCAAGAGAATATCCGCAGGTCATCTCCAAAAGATGTGGAAGTCTCCTGTCTGGAAGGCTTTGTAGAATCCCTGCATCACTGCCAGGACTCCTCCCTATTCCCGCGTCGGCAGACAGGCCACAGCCCCCTCCTTCAATCTGTGATGTCCCTTGAGTCCGGCGGGGACTCTAGGATGAGATGACAGCGATGCTCTGTTAACGGACCATTTCTCCTTCCCCTACCCCTTGTAGTAGGTCGAATATGTTCGAATTGGAGATTTGGACATCACCGAGTCTCAAGTGTTCGCCGACCCATCTTTCGCCGAGGCAATACTAGCGGGAATGATGTTGTGTGGCTTTTCTTATGGCGTTCTTCTTTAGTTATGTGAGGACTAGGCATGATATGGATTTTAGCATATAAGACGTGAAATTAGGGCCTTAACGTTATCACATTAGCGGATGGGTGCAGAATTATGAGAGTAGAGGGCGTAGTTAGAATAGTGGGAAAATCTTGCGAAGGAAGTCGGGTTCGTGACGTGTTGGGAAGAGTTGGCAAGAGCGATGGTGACTTTAATAAACGAATATTGAAGCATGATGAGCGCTGGACATGTGAAACTAGCCTCATCAATATAAATACTTGAGCCCTCCTTCCTCACAAGTCCATCCTAGTGAATCACAAGTCACGATTCACGAGTGAGGAGCAGAAACTAGTCAAGTCACAGAACAATTACGAACATGTGAACTCGTAGCACTCTCCCAGGGCGCTCCTTCCATCATCTCAGAATCGTTGCTCAATAAATACTCCAGGTCCTCCTCATCCCAGCATCTCCCATCACACCATTTTCCATCCCCAAATCTTCCACGAATTCGACGAACCCCCGAAAACATACCCCAATCATTAATCAAGCACCTGTCCATCTCTTCCCGGTAGGAGATGGACATCGAATAACCAAGGAATATAAGGAGCCCTGTCACTTGATATGAGCGACATGCTCTAGCATGGACTGGAAGTCGATCGGGGTTTACCGTTTGGGGTGGAGGAGAGACCATGACAAGAATCCGGTCGTCATCTTTGTGCGAGTTCGGTATGGTGGCACTACCGTTCATGAGGCGAAGCGAGTTGTTGCGGAGATTGGCAAGATTCTATCCCGGTATATCTAACCCAAACGCCGTCTTCTCGACTATTATTGCAGCACTAACTCGAGTTGACAGCGCAAACATGCAAGATGCCCACGACACGTTGCAGGTGAACCGAAATCCCAAGACGAAAATGACGAGAACAAAGACAACAGAGTCATGCCTGACCTGCCTACTCTCGATGGCTGTTATACCCTGAACCCGGCAATGGGCTCGAGTCTGTCGCCGATAGATATCGAGCACTCAGGAACGTTGGGATTATACCTCCGTGTTAACCCCCCAGATAAAGTAGCCTATCATGCTGGCATCACTTGTCACCATGTTGTTCAACGAGTAAACAGCGAAAAAGACCTGTTTGCCCAATCCCTCATAACACCCCTTACGAGGAATTCAAAGTGCGCCATCACATGTCCGCCAACGACGGATCACAAGAAGCTAGCACGACGTTATAAAGTCCAGGTACAAGACGCCAAAGTGATGCTAGGTCAACTCGAAGAGAAAGAGGCGGGAGTCCGCGAAGGAATCCCGGAATTCTGGAATGACTATCTCGCCCAGCTGAAGGCCACTTCCGAGAAAGAATTGACGAGACTACGAAGTTTTTTGAGACCATGAGCGTGGTTGGGGAGGTGGTTGCAAGTTCTGGAATCAAGCAGCCTGAGGCTGATTAGGCCCTCATACGGTTAGATTCGAACCGTTTTCCCTCACCAGGCGAGGTAAAAAAACAATGTAAGTGCATGATACATTCTCCAGGAGAGTACCTGATTGTGCTAATAACTGGGTTGCTCAACCGAATAGAAACTCCCGACAAATGCTGCACAAGAGATGCATTGGATTCATCTAGCAGCCAGAGAAGAAAGTCTTCTGGCAAGAGCGTTTGACACATTCTATCGCCTCCTACAGGGGAATGGCACAGGCGGCAACCCACGCCGCTACCTCCGGGACCTTGTTCGGCAAGGACCTACCGCCAAAGTCTTTCTGTACGGCCGGTCATCCGGTGCGACAGTCGGCCTCCTCAATCAAATTCGGGACGATGTTAGGACGACCTTTTCACTCAACCGACGGAACAACGAGGGAGGTAATTTCGCCGGAGTACGTTGTGCTAGACGCTGTCCCACCGGCTCTTCAAGGCGGGGATGCAGAGTACTTTCTCCCCGGTGTGGATTCAGCCCTTGGTGGGCGACACCAATCGAGCAGATCTTAGCCAACGCCGAGGCAAGCCTCAACTAGGAGGGTTCGAATGGCTGGAAGGTCGAGGTGCTGTAGATGTTACTGTCTGTTCGAAGGAGGACAGGCGCCGCGTTCGACCCACTTACATCTGAGCCAAATGGCAGCAAAAAAGATGCTCCAAGTGCCGCGACCAGAGAACGCAGGTCATAGTGGAGAGCATAAAATCACCAACTATGCCTGCCATGGTCACGGTGGTTAGTAAAAGAATTTAGGCGACGGTAGTCTCAAGGGCCTAAGGGGCCGAAAATACATAAAGAGAAGCCAAGGCGACGCCATAAATGAACAGTACAAGACATATGAAGAAACATCGAATATAATATCTAGTACAGCAAGCGCTAAGCCGTGTCACTTGACTGCAGGCAGTCTTATCTAGACGCTACGCCCAGCGTCTTTGCAATAAAGCATATCCTTTTACTTTGACATCTTTGCCCTTTAAAATGTGGGTAAATGCTTAATGCCCTTGTCATTAATGGTACCAGTCGAGGCGATCCATTCCATATATCTTCATTTGTGAACCATTTCTGCTTGTCTTCTTGGTGGGCGGCTTTTTATTTAAAAAAAAAAAAAAAAAAAAAAAAAAAAAAAAAAAGGGTATCGATAAAGTGATATTGTGTTCTTTTCATGGCTAGAGCAAGCCCTTCCCATCTGAAGAAATATTAAGAAAATTCGACCTCCAAAATCGTGGTCCATAATGAAAAGTTGAGGAGCATACCAAAATTGAAGGTGCTGAACTGCTGATTACGAAGAGGCGTTCAAACCAAGTCTTTTTTACGTTTGATCTAATTCGCTAATGTCTTCGGGATTCGGGCCTGCTGGGCCTGCTGGGCCTGCTTCACAGCCTGCGCCAAACCTAAAAGGGAGTGAATCAATTCCGGGGTGGTTGGAAGATGAACCGGTCGTCCTCTTTGGGGTCATGCCGTCGCCAGGGATAGACATATCGTTCTCCCTGCGCAGAGGCCGAGCACGGTTCCCCGCAGTCCTGCCCTTGTAGAGGAGACGACGAGAAGTCGCATTAAGAAAATCGCGGGAAGGATGATGCATGTCATCCCATATTACCTGTGTAATCTGTCGTAGTTCACACGACCAAGGCAGGCATGGCTACGATTATTGGCCGTTTTGCCAGTGAACCGCTGTTTGGGGATGTGAAGAATCAGTATTTCAGCCACAGAACCACTGGAAACCCCGGGAATTGCTCGTAAATGATCCCCTTGTCCCTGTTCTCCCTCTGCGCCACCCTAGTTTGCGAGGCCGGAGTGTTGAGGGAGCCCGCCGGTCACGCCGGGAGAGGAGCGGAGCTGGGGTCCCAAGTCATAACGAGTTCAACGGTTTCAACGGTCGCGGCTTCTGAACTATTTCTTCGCACGAACGTTTCTCCCCGTTCGACTTGAATTTCTGGCTTAATTCTAGGGGAACATCTTACAGCCTTGATTGCGCCCGGCGCTGGCCTAGCATGATCAGTCGCGCCACATTGTCATAGCGGTTCCATCCCATGCCAGTCAAGGCTTGCAAACACGAACGCCTCTATCAACATCGTTTGACCAAAACACCAAACCTGTCAACGGGCTGGCGACGGTCACCGCACAGACCTTCGTTGGGGTATTTCACGAAGAGAGAACAGCTGAGCATGATGGCTGGCTTGCTTGACCGATTTTCTTTTCTGTTTGGTACTCTCGGCAACTCTCGCGGATGGACAGCTGCACAAGTATGCTCTCATGAGTACCGAGCGCAGCTAGTGGATGATAGCTTCCCTTGGCATTTTGGTCGAATTTACCTCAGTAAATGACAGGCGCTTTGACAATATTGGGCACGACCGACTTTAAGCTTATTGGGTGGTTCGTCCTTGAACAGGGCAGGGTCGGATGGTGGTCGCAACTCGCAAGGCACAGACAGTATATCGGTGAGACCAGAACTACCCAAAGACGGGAAATCAACATTGGAGTTGCATGCCGTCGGTGCCGCGCTTGCGATCTCGAAGCTTTGGTATCAAATATTAAAAAGTATAAATATTGGAACCAGGTTTTCGGTTTGGCTGAAGGATCCCAATAAATAGGGACAACACTGACCACTCCCAATTTCTCCGCCATCCTACTTTGGGACGGGATTATTAAGTACAAACTAGGAACAGGAACGAAAGAAGAGGGTTCGCGAGATGGGAAGTTATTCCACAAAATTGAGGGAACTCTCGAACATGTACTCTGCGGTCGTTCTGCTCTGAGAGCCCTTCTTCGTAGAACAGGGTTTACGGCATCGCCATGACCGAATGTCTGCAGATGTCAAATTGTTTCTGGGCTTCTGCCAAGCAGGGCTCCCGGACAAAGTCTCCCTGCCTAGTTGGGCGCCACCAAGAGCGACCGTGCGAAGCACTTTTGAGCCCTTCCATCTTCTCTTTCAATTCCATTGGATCTGTTGCGAAGGAGGAGCAACTAGTCTGCTCTAGCCTCACGACAGAATATTACTCCTTAAACAGATCTCAGAACCGTTCAAGGCAAAGACCCACTCGTTCCTGTTCTCTACCCCCCTTCCCTTCTCGATGATATGGATGCGACTGTCTGTTATTTCCACGTCTCCAAATGCCACAGAAGATAATTGTATTCGTCCCCAAGCTATGAAAGAGGCCCTGTTCCATTTTCTATCCTCCCTTTGGTGACGTGAATCTTTTTCGCCCCATCAATCTTCAAAAATCCAGGCGAGACGAAATGGGGAAGGCGGGGAAACGCTTCGTCTCCGCGGAGGCATTACCGGGCAGTCAGTCTGTGCTGCGTTCTAGGATGGTGCCTCTCGTCGCCCAATGAAGACGCCGGGGACGGAGTACTAGCCTCTTTGGTGCCCTATGGAAAGGGTGGAAATAAGCTGGCGGTTGACTTTAGGAGGCGATCATAGCGCTCTGCAAGTATTCGTAAACCATAACGGACTAACTCGTGCACTAGTTTACTTTCCCTTGGAGAGCTGGGGATGTTCAAGTTTACCAACCCGAAATAACCTTGAATGACCCTGCCCTCGACCCCAGTTCGGCCGAGCGTAATTTTCTACTTGGTAGTTCATGTTTTCTCTGACATTGTGGTTCTAGTTAGGTCCTACGAGGGGATACTTTACGAAGTACTCGTTGATGATGTCCTGTTCAGCGCGCGCTATTCCTTCGTGCGTGCGCTATGTCCAGCATTTTGCAGGGTCTCGGACAGAATGCCGCCATCGAGTCGACGGTTCCACGCCACCAGACCATCCATTCTCAGAGAGGGACACTCTGTTCGCCCGACCCCGAGTCCTCACGACCGGGCCCGTGTGCTTCCGTTGCCAGCTGTGCTGTACAAAGGTGTCGCCAGCGGACAGGACATACTCCGCCGGTTGCTTAACAAAGGGCCAAAGAAAAGCGTTCCAGAATAAACCCGTCTGGGAGTCTGGGAAGGTGCCTGCCAGAAATTAAAATCCGGTTCCTCCGCAGGTCTGTCAAAAGGCAGGCAGGAGTAAGGTTAATGTGACACCGCAGGTCTAGGATCCGACGACTTTGTACATGGCCGGAGACATGCATACGCCATCCCAAGCCTCTGGCTGCATTATTTTCGCTTTGTCCCAGCGAAATGCATTAGTTGGTCCGCAGCCTCGAGGCCCGGATACCGGATTTGGAGTGGTTCTGTTTAAGCACCCGCATGAAGCATTGTCATCGTTCCCGTCATGAGGATTCATGAAAATTTGGGTCTGTGGCCACTCTTTCCCCAGCTCGGCAAGATCGAAGAAAATATAATTGTCTATCCTAGCGGCATGTCATCGTCGGAGTGTCGGCAAAGTCTGTTTCCTTCGTCCATCGATTCCATTGTCAAGGAGAAGAACATAAGACGAAATACGCCAGAAGGTTGTGTGCCCCGGACAACCCCTGCCAGAGATGGAAAGGTATTAGTACCTCATACGTCTGTGCGTATCTCAAATAAAAGCCCTAAACGATGAGGCAAAGACGGGTTATTGAGAGTACAGAAATGTACAAGTACTTTTAAAGTCTCGGTTCGTCGGTACGAAGTGTCTCCAGAAATGGGACTGAAATGCGACACGAACCCGATGGACAGAGAGATATGGGCCGGGCAAAGTACCCTTGGTAGCCTGCCAGTGCGACTCTCATGTTCTCTCACTTCTTTTCCGCACCTTGGGCGGGAACGTGAAGAAATCCAAGTTGAAGAATCAGCCACGTTACTGGATTGTTTGCTAGTGGACACTGGAGAGGTTCATGACCACTACATTGTACGACGGGACACACGATTGTCAACAATAATAGCAGAGAAAGAATTATCTGATCTGTCAATGGCATTACCTGCACTCGCTCTCCCATCAAACGCAACTTGCAACGATGACGGAGATCATAGTGTGGCCCCGGAATTGGTTCTCCGCACCCACCGCCCCCCCGGTCAAACAGCTTTTTTTGATTTTCGCCGTCCAGGGGCCTGAAGCGGTTTACTTGTACTTCGTATGTTCACACACCCTCTCAGCCCCTGGCCCGCCCGACCCGCCTCCACACACCACCGCTAGTGATTATGACCTGTGTCTTTTTGTCGATGGAGAAGAGATCGATGCGGGTAGCGAGATCAATTCCTCCCCTGCACCAGCCATCACAAGCAGAATATCGGTATGAAAAACGTCCAAGCGTACTCATTAGAGAACAGGGCATCTCCGGAGCACACTTCGTGGAATTGCGAAAAGTGTTGATGAATTCTATTTCCACACACCACTTCTGAGACGAGACGGGACGAAAGCAGTACACCGGTTACACTTCTCGATGGCACTACAAAGTACTTCATAGTGGTGCTGTTACGGACTCATTCCCGCACTCCTCTTCTTGAGGCGACATGGCCCGGCCCCACCCCCCTTCCCCAGACTTGTTCCATCACTCCCCTGATGCCACGCAAAAGATCTGATTTGTACCAGGGTCCCGTCAGATGAACCACCCTTTCCAAGAGCGGTTCGTCCTCCTGCATAGGGAAATGGATTCGTACAAAGTAAAGAGTCCATACGTCTGGAGTTTCTCTCCTAGGCGTACTAGGTCCCACGCCTTCCCCAGTGGCAAGACACGGGTGACCGCATAGCATATATATTCATCTCGTGCCGCTCCCACACCTGCTCGTCAAATTCGGGTGTATCCCTTCCCCCCCACTCCCGTACAGGAAGGCTCTCAAGAAAAGGCCCAAAAGCAAAAAGGGAAGCGCCAACACCTAATCGAGAGTCACAACAACAACATGGCGTTTTCATACATTCTCCCCCGGCATGACCTCACGCCGAATTACCTATTCCCTAGGCAGGAGAACAACACCGATGTCAGTTCCGATCCTGGGCTTCCACCGCCCATGACCCCGGAGGAGATTGCCGCAGCACCGCATCCCAACTTCGGCCCCAAGCTCGTCACTTCGATATGGGTCCTCATTGGACTCTCGGCGGCTTTCCTAGCATTACGGCTTTACTGCAAATTCTCTCGGCATCGCGGAACCTGGTGGGATGACTATCTGTTGATCGGAGCATGGGTATGCTTGGCCCTTGGTCACATTCACTTCTGCCCGCTCGTGATACACCTAGCGCAATGAACCAGCACTAACAGGTAAATTTCTAGGTTTGCATCACTGCCGAATCCGCCTGCCTGACGTACGCGACCACCCTCGGCTACGGGAAGTTCTGGTATGACTGGTCTCCGATCTACGAAGAGGTCATTACCATGGTCAAGCTCATCAACTCCGCCGGCTCCTTGTCCCTCACCGCAGCCATCTGGTCCAAGACGAGTTTCGCCCTTACACTCCTCCGACTCACCGAAGGCAAGATCAAGTGGCTTATCTGGTTCATCATCATCTCTATGAACATTGCCATGGGCCTTAGCGCCCTTTTCGTCTGGATCCAGTGCACGCCTCTTCCGCGAGTATGGGATCGTCTTGTCCCAGGAACCTGCTGGGAGGCACACGTCCTTCCCAACTATAACATCTTCTCAGCCTGTGAGTGATTCTATAAGTCGGAACTTTTTACTTTTTTTTTGTCTGTATAAAAAGCTAACCTATCCATCAGCTTACTCTGCTGCTATGGACATTACTCTCGCCCTCCTCCCCTGGCGACTCATCTGGGGCCTCCAAATGAAGATGAAGGAAAAGATCGGTGTCGCCGTGGCCATGAGCTGTGGCGTCTTCGCCGGAATCACCGCCATCATCAAGACCACCAAGATCCCCGCCATGGCTTCCGCCGACCCCGGTCCGGGTGTCGATCTCTTCGTCTGGGGCAACGCCGAATCCTGCGTGACCATCATCGCCGCCTGCATTCCAATCCTGCGAGTCCTCATCCGCGACGTCAAGACCTCTGCTGGACGCTACTATCTGTCTAACGGCCGCACTGGCGCTGGCCACAGTACCCATCACCAATCTAAGAACCGAGATAACAGCAATACTATTACGATCACTGGCGGGCGGAAGGATAATGGCTACTACAAGGCTGAAGACGAGCGTGAATTGACGAGGGAATCGAACGGCAAGATTATGCAGACGAAAGAGGTTGCGATCGAGTATCAGTCTGCGGATAACTGGACTGAGGAGCATGAGTTGGACGATCTACAACGACGCCCACGGTCATGATGTATAATGGGCTAGGGGTGGATGGAATTGATGTGCTACTACTATTTACTCTTATGAAGGCGGCGATACGGTGTTTGAATAATGCATTGGGATATGGAATCTTCAGTGATACCTAGTTTCAGCCTTTATTTACTGGCTTACCTTTTCTGATTTCATCTCAACCTATTCCTCTCTCCCTCTTCATTGTATACGATCAACGTTATTACTTCTCGAATATAGGTGAGTCGTGACGAGACAACTACCGGCACATCACCCGCTTCGATCATATAACCGTTTTCCCGGTTTCGTTACTCTGACCTACGGTACAAAGGTAAAGACAGCTAGTTTTAGGTTTCGGCTATTAAAGTGAAAGCGATATTATCCATCTTACAAGACATGTTTCATCATTTTCCTTTGCCTGTAGTCCCGGCACCTGTTGGGAAATTGGGGGCGAAACTGGGGGCCGTTCCAGCGATACTTGCAGTGGGTCGAACAGAAAGACAAACGAAACCGCGATTTTAAAGGACTGACAATATATCGATAATATAAAACCCCAGATTTTGGTGGAAGGATTTCAAGGGGGTTGCAGCAATCAGGGATCGGGGGGGGGGGGGGGGGGGGGGGTGGGGAGAGAATCAAGAGCGAGTCACTCGTGGCTTGCGCCACACAAAACGAGGATCAATCCTGCCAGCTGATGTCCTCGCTCTCGATCGAGAATAACCTCACCGCCGTAACCACCTGATGAAAATGCTCCGTGGAAGTCGAAATATAGTGAGGGATGCCTCAATGCGTGTGATGACGGTGTCGTGCCTGACGTAGACCCCTGAAACTAGTGTAATTTCATGAACACCACCGACAACCGCACACACAAAAATTCTGACATCAATTGATCCGATTGACAAGGAACAGGGTAGAAACTGGACTGATTGGTCTTATCCCAATACGACGGGAGATGCGCGCCTCGTGGCATCGCCTCGAAGCTTGAAAGGAAAAATCGCACCAGCCAAAAATAGGCCGGGGTCGTTTCCCCCGCCTGGAGGAGCATCAGCTGCAGCCACCCATGATCACTGCTACATCGTCGGCAGGGAAGCCCCCTCTGAGAAGGACGCCCGGAGAGTTGCAGTGCAGCAGTAGAGGTTTTGGGTTTTCTTCTCTCGCTTCCTTCGGGGGTCCTTCCGGCGACCGCATTCCAATATCCGGGCCTACGGATGGATTTGATGTCGTACTCTGGGACCCCCTAGATCCTTCGATTTTCCTCTAGAATTCCGCAGCGTTGCTCTGAACTTCTGTCAGGGACAGCGCAGGGAACGAACACGAGGGGAATCCCAATCCTCGATTCCTGGTGTTTACTCTCCAGTTGTAGTCTAGTTCCTGGTCTCAGTCTCCATCATTCCAGATGGCCTGATTCTAAGACGCCAAATGCTACACCTCCCAGCCTGGACCACTCGGTTCGCAGCCGACTGAATCCACCTTTAGCGAGCGGTATCTACACAAGGTTAAAAAATGTCCTGGGAGCTAAAAGCTTAGGCCATACTCTTAGAGGACAAGGACGCCAGGGGATCTTGGTTTCCTCTGTGTTAGGAAATAGAGCTCAATAATAGAAAAACTTGAGAGTACAATTTTTTTTTCCCCTACAAGCATGAAAAAGGGAGAAGAGAAAGGATCATGTTTGAACTTCGGTTGGTAGTGGGAATGAACGTCGGGTTGACTTACAGTTTAGCGTCGGAAGCGGACCGTCATGGTACGGAATATGAACGTTGAGCCTAACTCAGAGTCGTAAAGACTAGCAAACTAGCAGCACTGGGAAATATTAAGCATAAATTCCGATCAAAATCCGAGCTGGACAGATCGGCTACTTGTTGAGAGATCATTTCGTTGATTCAATAATGCGACTCTGGAAGCACCGGGGTACATCTCCCGCGATTTCAAATGAGTGCGGGGCAAGGTACCATTGGCGAATCCTTGTCCTGTCTCTCGGTACAACCTTCTCTCCTTCTCTCTGCGCTTTGCTTTCTTCTGGCGCATCTTGGCGATGGGAAGTGAAAAAACATCGACCCATTCCAGGGGTGGAAAGGTCCCGGTGGCGTCCTGAAATCTGGCCTTGGCAGCTTCCTCCTACTCCTTCAATAATAACAATACTACCGTTACGATGCCGAGCCACGTTGCCGGAAGAACGGGACCATTCAATCAGATTTTGGACTCCATTCAAACTTTATTGTCTATTAGACATGTAGGCTGCATATGCTTCTTCATATGGCAACGTGAGCGAGACTACTGGCCTCGGATATGCTCCTGCAAAGGTCGCAATCATTCATTCGTGAATCGTGACTGGCATTTCCCATCATTCCATGTCCCTATTCGTCCTATTCTGCCACCTATTCTGCCACCTCTCCCGAGCACCCCTCGCCCGGCGCAGCGATGTCAAAAGCGTAGACGTCAATAGCGAAGTACTGGAGAATATTGCTATCAATGCCCGCCTTGGAAGGGTCCGTCTTGGCCAGCTCCAGCGCCTCGGTGTAGCTGTGCGCGAAGTGGTCAACAATGCCTTCGCTGATCTGGGGCACGTGGTACACCCGGTGAAGAAGGTCCGTAGCCCAAAAGGTGTTGAGGGCTGACTCGGCCACGTTGTAGCCTAGGCCGCATACCGAGTCGAGCCATCGGCGCTTCTGGAAGGAAAGGTCGCAGATGACGGTCTCCTCGGTGGCGTTGCTACCGCGCCAGTGGCCGGCCCATGCTAGGAGGAAAGGATTAGTACTCTTGATTCACAAATATCCGGAGCGCAGCAATGCGGTTGTGATTTGGGGGTATTAATAGGGACTCCAAAACAGCATCCCCTAGTCTGCGGTAGCAAGCCAGGGGTCACACGTGTTTCTCCATCCCCGCGGCCGCAGAGTTGCGGCCAAAGACGAGGCAAACTCCAACGAGATGATGATCGACATCGTCTTCAGCCCTACGTGTCCTCAGGGATATTCAACCTACCATCTTGTGTAGCACAGTTCTTATCTGGGTCATCGCATCGGAAAAGCATGGCGCCCCTATCGGCAGACACGACGCGTTCGTACCAACCAATGGGAACGGCAGTCGAGCCGTTTCCGAAATACTTTTGCACAAAGGGAGACTCGTCGCCCCAGCGAAGGATGTGCTCCTTAGCATGCTTGGCGAGCGTCACGGTCTCGTCAAGGGCGCGGGACAGCTGTCTCTGGAGGGTGATGTTGCAGGATTCGTGGATGGGGAAGGCCGGGGCGATCTGGACTCGGGTCGACCACCTAACTTCATGCGTGAAGGAGGAGTTGGCGTTCTCGGCACGGCTGGCGATTGGTGAGGCAAGGCCGAACCCGACGCCATGGGCGAGGAGAACGGCTGCAAGGAACTTGGGCAACATTGGGGGTGGATGGGAATTATTTGATGAGTGTTATTGGCTGTGAAAGGGGACTCGTCTCAAGATCGTGCAGTATGCAGGAGCGATCTATATGTGATGGGCAGGAGAATTACTGGTTGTAGATAATCGCAATCTCTCCATCCGAGTTCTCCCATTTATATATGTGCGTTGCGAAGACCGCTGCCATGGCTCTGGTTGAGCGGTGATTGACATTCTCCACTCTCCTCTCGGACTCGACAAGCAGACTTGACAGCGGGAAAATCCCCACATTGTTTCCATAACGTAAATGGTCTCAATGTCAATTGTATTTCTTCTTCCTTGGGTTGCTCTGCTTACCTTTGTTTGGGTATTGAAAACCGCGGGAGTCGAGAGAGTCGATCTATCAGGGTTCTCAGAGGGAGGGCATCAGGGTACTTTCACCCCACCCGAGAACCTGGTTCAGAGCGGAGAAAAATACACATAAATGCAAGAAAACCCGCGAGCTATTGAAATTTTCTTCACCTCAAGAATCTTCAAGTGTCTTGGCGGCGGGGTCATGACAGCATCCGTGGGACGATGAGGAGGTTGGATCGAGTTGACGTCGACTTCGGACCGAGTTATCATGCATGATGATCTCCCTCAGCTCAGAGCTGGTTTAGCGCCATCAAGTGCTCTTCCCGATACGGCATTCGATAATAAGTGGCTTTGTATAATCGCGGCATGAGGCTTTTTCTTCTTCTCCGAAGATGGGGGAAAACAAGAGGCGGGTGGACTTCGACGACTGGCCCGCGTTTGTCCCGATTTCCAAGACCGAGATGCCGGGCTCAACCCCCACGTGTTGCCAGGGTTTACTTCGTAATATGCAGGCGGCCAAGCTTATGCCACGTGGTGACCAACAGTCATGAAGAGGGTCGAGTCACTACTCCTGCCGTTCACGGGCCTTCTTATGGCATGATGGGAGAATTGCCGGCATCACTGAAGTGCTCCGGGAAGAGACTCGATCTGGTAGAACGCAAGAGACCCTGGTCACTAAAGTGGAGGAGCCGGCTTGGAGAGACTTGGGGGGGATTATTACTCTTCATATGACACTCCAGCCCTCACTTGATAGGAGCCAATAATCAGTCGTACCTAGTCGTAGATTCTACGACGCAAATAGATCGACCCAATGCTTACGTGAAGACCCAAGTCGATCTTTGCAGGGTCTTTATATTTATGATAGGGAAACCGCTATCCTGATGGATCTCGGAGGATTGCGTCGGTTTGTTGATGAGCTTGATCTCGAAACCTACTGAAGGGCAAGAGGTGGAGGCTGGCGGTATACCCAATAGAGCAGGATTTCATCCTGTACATTCTTGATCGTTTCTGGTACGTTATATCCCTGATGAAAAGCATAAGTCGTGATGATATAGTCTGACGGTTGGTATGAGTGGTGGCTTCGAATCTGCTCTGAACAGTGATCTTCGAGAGTTAGGGAAGTAATGGGGTCGAGATGGCATACATTTTCTAGCTGCCGTAAATCCTTTCTGGAGGGAATTGTTGATGGAGGAAACTGTGGTCTAAGTTTAAGTGAACCCGAAGCCGTTGTCGTAGCCCCCAACTCAGGGCTCTAATGCTTCGAAGTCGTTGACGTCAACCTCAGTCCTCTTGCTAGACCTCGTTTTAAATCACGATCGCTCGATCTCCATGCGCATGCTGCAGGATCTATTCTCTCCTCGTAGCTATTATGCTCATCCCTTCCAGTAGTAGGTCCATGCAGTCTTTCACAACCCATGCTGTAACCCTGCGAGCCAAGTATTAGCGGCTGTTCTTGGCAGAGATTTGGCTACCCTTGTGCTAGACGGCAATATTAAACTGTACGGGTATTTATTTACTATGCAATAGCAAGAAAACCGCCTAAATGGGATCGGAGGGCCTGGATAAGGAGGCAGACAAATACCCGTACGTGGATATGGATCCCATTGTTTATGATCAGACAGGAGATTCCACCCGCCCTCTGCATATCCTCTACAGTTGAAAAGGCAATCCAAATTATCACAGGCTGCAGACTCCAAGCGTATGCATACGGAGTGAATAACTTGGGGAAACTCGAGGATAGACTGTTGGCTAAAGAAATTTGCTAGAATCTACTAATAGAGACGAAAAGGCCGCTCACCTTCAGCAAAGGTGTAACGGCTTCATCCAGGGTACTGTGAGAGCGCCCGCCCAAGATGAAGCTTCTGCGATCGGAGAAAACTACTTCTCACAACGGACTGTAAGTGGTGCTCATGCTTAAACTCCTCACCATAAATACTAACGTCCATAGGGTGTGGGCCGGCCAGAACTTTGAGACAGTTTCTGGTAAACCTGAGGGAATTGTTGAGCAGGAAGATGTCAAAGGGGGACGTTTCACTCTTCCGGCGTCATCCATTCGTTACTTACATTCGGAGAGAAGTGATACGACATATACACGTCCCCAATCTGATCATCAAGTACCATTTCCTTCTTCAGACCTGAGTAACTCCTGCGTTAGCCTGAGCAGGGATGAAAAATGTTACGATCCTAACACTGGACCAATGCATGACGCCTTAGGGTCAAGATCGTGGGTGCCTGTTATGAAGTTAGTGAGGCAGTCAAGCAGGCGGTCACGGTTGTCTAGATATTCCTGTGGGTGATCAGTACCTCACTACATACGGACGGCAACAGCCAAGGGAGGCTTAGAGACGAAGGGTTCTGAATCTAAATGTTCCACTAACAAAGATCTATCCGGTGACCCTAATAAAGTTGAATCTCATGATTCTCGAATACATATAAACTACCTCGCAACTTATACGCCATCGGCTATATTAGGTAGATGATCTACCCACATTCCTGTCCCTCTCATGGCAAACTCCACTTTGCTTTGCATGGATCTGCATAATGTAGAAATGGGAGCTCTCCGCACATGTGAGTTAGAATTTGAAACACCCACGGAGCGTCTACATTCCAAAGGCACTAAGTGAATAGGAATCGCGAAGTGGCCGTTTGAGCAAAATGATAATAAAATTGCGATAATACCGCGTGGTACATCCTCGAGCGTGTTTAGATTTCAAGGGGCATCGTGCTCTGCACTTCATTCAATCGCATCCATAAGTATCCCGCAGCAGCTTCGTAGTCTCCGTCTGCACCCTTCCAACAATATCAGCTGCTTTCTCCAGTTTCTTGACCATCCCAATCCCCGTCCCGGCCCACATGGAATAGACATCCCGTACCTTTGTTGGGTCAGACCGAGCCTTCTCATAGTCCTCTCTTAGCTTCATTCGTACTTCTTCGATGCTGAGACCACTTTCCATATTCTCGTAGATGGCGTTCTTCAAACATCGGCCGTTGTAGGTCTCGGGCCAGGGATTCGGACCCCAGACCTCATCCCACACGCGTGACCTCGCAGTGGATTGTCCGCCGTCGGAAGCCTGGAAGACAACGTCGCGAATCTCTGGTTCTAAATCGCACTCTTCCGCCCCAAGGAATCCGGTTCCCATGACGACAGCTGCAGCTCCGAGAGTTATTGCCGCTGCTGTGCCGCGTCCGTCCATTATTCCGCCTGCAGCAACAAGAGGGATATCGTCTAATCCATTGTCCTGTAACGTATCGGCAACTTCGGGGAGTAGTGTGACTATGCTCGCCCCTTCCTCATGCCCGTGGCCCCCAGCATCAATACCTTGCAAGACCAGTGCGTCCGGATGACACATTTTAGCCGCTTCCAAAGCAGTACTGACACTCCCAACTTGTATCCAGACCTTTGTATCAGGCGATGCCTTCCGTATCCCCTGTGCCCAGAGGGCGAACCTTTCCGTATCTGCAAAAGATAGCCAAACCATCGCCGGCTTATATGTCGAGAATAAGGGAAGCCAAGCTTGGGGCGATCCGCCAGCAGCCACGATTCCTATGCCTATTGGAAGGATTCCTTCCTTACACTCTATGGAAGCATCCTTTAACAAACTTTTGGCTTCTTCCATGTCAGTTTGCATCGATCGAACGGCGCCCGTGAAGCCAATCTGCCCCAGACCACCGCTTCGTGTCACCGCGGATGCAAGTTTGCTTGTGGCGATACCACCCATTGGGGCATTGGATATAAGCGGGAACTGGACCCACGGGAAGTCCCGCTTGAGTTTGGAGAAGCCGAGCATTTCTTCTGCTTTGGGTGTGGAAGGAGGATAACTGTGAGACAAATGGGCTCGTGGTGGACGGCTTGTGCAAGCTAGAAATTATGACGGGGTGCATAAAGGGTGAGGTTGGGATTGGGTCATATGAGATGAACCGAGAATAAAAATTGAAATATTTATATAAGCTAGTCGGCGGACCATTCGACTCGGAGTCGGGCAAATAGTTTACATGAAAAATCTCCGAAGTATGTCTCCGGCCGGGCTAATAGATCTCGACAGAGTGCAGGTGTGTTAAAATCATCACCTGCTATGCGTCCTCTCGGCTTGCTCAATACGTACAGGGTGACGTAGGCCTAAATCCCTGAGGCTAACCTCATAATATTCTTTTCTTTTCTTTTTTAGGGGAAGAGGCTGGTTTGGTTTGAGGGGATTCAAGTCTTCATTTCAAAGAAAGGTTGATAAGTTTATATCAGTTGGACCATTTGCAGCCACCTCTGTCACGGGCTGGCTGGCCTTGATACAGGCCCGAAAGCGGTAAGACACGGCAAAAACAGAGCAGCGGGACGGCTGTAGTCAGCCGCGCGTCAGGTGCCGGGAAAAGTGATCGGAGGCAGAAAGGATTGAACGGTTCTGAATGTTCAAGAACAAAGGCCGATCGCTCTAGAGGGCTTAGAAGGGAAACGTCTATATAAACTACGGCTTCTACCATATGTCTAGTTTGTCTTTCAAGACTCTCCAGTAGTCAATTCAAGTACAACTACACCCTTACGCTTGAATATGTACTTCTTACGAATATCTTGTGAATACTGCTTGACTTCCTCGCTTACCCCACAGCAGGCACCACCTCTACCCTACACTAGTTGTATCCACCTGATACCAGTCAACGGACTAGTGTTAGGATTGTAACACTCAAGGGGGTGGGGGAGTTATATCACTTACCTCTACGCCGTACTGGTCGAATAGGGGTCTGCTAAGGGCACTGACTGAGAACTCTAGAAAGGATGTCAGGGATCCGTCCCAAGCAATTTTATCGGCAGACTTGTCGCGCAGTTGGTGGCTCATATAGTATTCTCGAAATATACCAAAAGAGTTTACAAAACCGAGACCGCAGAAAGGAATAAAGGCTTCACCAGTTGCAACGAGCCACGCTTCGAGACCTCCATCCGGAGCTGCGCTCAGTTCGGACACGAGGGTCTCTTCGCTAACTTCGGTCCCTGCGAGGGAGCTTTCGGGGTCGAGGCTTTGTGGAAGCCTCTCGTCAAGCTTCCCCTCTGCCACTATTGCCTTTGTATCGGGGGCGACCATAGTAGTATTCCGAGCCCTCAACATCGTTTGTTGATTAGCTAGGAAGTTATCTAGAGTCGGTGACATAGATTACTTACTACTACGACGCCATTGACCCAATGACTTCTGCCAAAGATGTGATTCTTGTGTATTACACTCCAGTTCATTGTCTGCGAATGACTAGAAAGATGGACCTCGTGCTGAAGATGGATTCTTCCTGCTAAAAAGAAGAAGCTGTCTCAGTTTCTGCGGGGGGTCTTGGCAAGGGCTGTCTTCGAGAAAGTTGTCCTTCGAGTTGTTTAATCCGATTCCTCATCAATTCGACTTCTTGAGCTGGTTGGATGGCTGGGGATAATAGTGCCGTGATCGGGGCAGTCACAAGTGACCCAGGTGGACGACTGGGCCCCGTAGAAGCAGAAGTTGAAACATAGTCAATAAGGGATGCGGGACTATGAGGCTCTAGTATTTCTCGGGACTCGATTCGCCTAACCCTTAAGCCTGGAGTCGGGGCTGCCCTAGCCCTTGATGCGGAGACTGGGAAGAATGATTTTCATAGATACACGATTCATTTTTGGATCGCTTGCAATTAGTAAAAGGGATTTCCCGATTACCCCTAATTTTGCGTTTCCAGCAAAGAGTACAGAAGCTGTATTCATCAACAAGGCTGTTTGTCAGTTAGGAATATTCATGATTCGGATGGGGAAAAGCCGCAGTCGGTCAGGTAGTGGTTCCGGGACATCTTCGAAATGATCGAGTGTTGTATACTAAGACTCAAAGATCCATCAGGTCATGCGATACTACGTTACATGTACATTTATCATGTCCGGAGAAACGGCTGTGACAGCCCAGCCGTTGTAGTTAGTTTAGGATAGGTCAAATCAGCTCGTCGGGTCAAGTTCCGAGGCCGGGGAACATATGCAATAACCCCCACAAGATCCGGGAGGGAGACAGGGAGAACACATATGTGCCGCCTTGCAGTCGGTAATGCTTGGTCATTGCTTTGCAAGATGCGAGATTCGGGCACGGGTTAACCACGAGACTGAGGGCATATATGTATAAATAGACAGCCGCACACATACTCACCGCAGCACGCTGGACAAGACAGATCGTAGCAAAAGCAACTTAACAACTTAGATAATCATGATATAATGAATAGAATATGCTAGTTCGACCAGTTTGTTGAAGAAGAAGAAAAATGCCGACAGAGATATGAACAAGTCAACATAAGGGGGAAGAGACAAAGGAAACAGAATATAAACTGCAAGATGCACATCTTGCCACGGACCCTGCCCGCGATGTCTGATATTCTGGCTCCATCCATGCCCACCAGACCCCACAGGGAACTTCCAAAATATGAACATGAATAAAGAAGTACCAAGCTGGCATAAATGCAAGTCCCATATCCAAAATAGCCGCCTACCTAAATGACATGCGGCCCTCACTCCTCGCTCCTCGCCCCTATTTCCCCACGAAACTAGAATCAGTCACCCGTCTCCACCGCCGGTCCACCTCTGTTTACTTAGCATTCGTACCACTTGATGTTGATTTGTTGTGTCAGTGCTAGAGTTGCGTCATCGTTGGAGATCATGCCAGAAGCAGAAGACTTGGTGGAGGAGAGCGCGACACGGTTGTTAATGTTGAGGATGTCAGAGGATCCACCGCAAGGAGACCGGATAACACTGGTGGCGGGGACAAAGTCCTGCTGGGTGTAAACTTGGCCATCAGCCCAGACACCGCCACCCTTAATGCTGGTGCGGGTAGTGCAGGTGCTGGCGGCGTCGCTGCTGAAGTAGTAGGTGGAGAGGAAGTCGCCGGTGACGCCAGACTCAAGGAGGGCAAAGCCGTGGTAGACGCTGTCGACGACGGCAAAGCTAAAACCTGAGGGGTACTTGAGATTCAGATGGATCTGGCAGTTCTTGGAGCGGTCCTGGATAGAGGTTCCTGGTCCGATGTAGGTCTGGAACTGGTCGAAGCCGAGAGTGATGATCTGCGAGGGGATGAACCATTAGCTCAAGCTCAGGTTATAGACATTATAGTCATATGAGATACTTACAGTCTTGTCATTATTGAAGATGCTGGAGACAGATCCCTGGGGGCAGCCATTGCCAGAGTGCGTCACAGAGCTGATTGTGATCTGGTCAGCAGGAGGACCGGTCGCAAGGACAACGGCAGGAAATGCGAGAAGTCCGGTGAGGAAGCGCATTTTTGCGGTTAGATTCGAAAGTTGTAAAGGTGCGTTAGAGAGAGATGTGTGTTGAAGTGAAGAGGGTTAGTGTCCGTAGACTTGAGATTGGTAACTGAGGTTATGTCAGGCTTTCAACTTATATTTTCTTGTATCAGAGGATCGAAAACGGGATCTACACATCGGGGCGGGGAGGAAGCACATTAAATACACGGGGTGCTTCGAGGATATCTCATGTTCTTTTGGGGTTAAAGGCAATATCGAGAGATCAATCTAAAAAGCTCGCGGTGCTAACATTAGAACCTTTGGACAGGGGTTCACACCCTTGGGAAAGAACTCGGCGTTAGGTGTGGGCCAACTTGGTTAGACGGAACCGCTCTCCCCTGACAACCAGTCTCGTCCAACCGAAGGGGACCGCGCCGGATGGAGTGATGTTAGTTAGACTAGGCAATATTCCCCAACCCATGGCCTGACGCATACTAAGAGACTGTACCCCAAAGCGCAAGAGCCCATACTAAAGGGACTTGATCGGGGCAGACGGAGGCAACGATGAATGACGGGGGAAACCTGGTTGGGTTTGCCAAGCTTCGAGTCTACTTGAGCCTCGGAGTAGAAATGGAGAAGTGGCCACTCGCATGGGCAGACTGCTACCCAAAAGTCGAGTTAAGCAATCTATTCACACACATTTTCAACGCAAAAGAGGCAGCTGATATATCCTACAAATTAAATTATAGCTGTAGCACGGCATACACCTGGAGACTCCTATAGTGGGTGTTCTTTTAATAGAAGTCTGAGTCCCACCACGGTACCCTTCTTTCCCTTCCTCATCTCCCTTTTCCTATTAGCTCTGCTTGTGGCTCCAGCAGCCAACCGAGAGCCGGAGACGAGCGAGCCCTGCGTGAGGTTCGACTTTAGGCTGATCAAGAGAAAGATCTTCACCCGCCACTTCTGCTGTCGGAGCATGCCACATCGACGGTCTGTGGCAGAATCCGGACAACGGAGCTGGCTACCCAAATTCCTCCCTGGTCCGATTAGGTGCAATTAAATTTTGATTATATATTGCCTCTTGATTGCCCAGCATACCGCTTCGTTCAACCGAGCGGGCTCTTTTGAGAAGTGAGGTAGCACTCACACCATCTCACCCGCCATTTCTTAATTTTTCTTCGTTCTTTTTGTTTTCTGCGAGAACCCTCGACTCCCTTCTTATTGCACTGATGAAGGGGGAGTAGTGTCCCGTTTCAGCGATTGGCTCTGCTCAGCTACAAGTTATTTCCCCTCGGTCCAGGAATAGAACTGGGGACGTTTACAGGAGGGTGTGGATATTATCAAAACGACGGTCTGGAGAAAAACCTCTCCCGGCCTTGGGCTTGGCAAGGAGACGACAAATTCGTCAACATGTATGGCTTTCTTCAAGCTTCCGCTGTTCATTACCCTTTGTGGGCTGGTGAAAATTATAGGTCCGAAAAGGAGATTTCGATTGATCGATCTGTTCAATCTTGCGTTTCCCCAGCCCACGGATTCTGATCGTCACGCCAAGTGTCTTTTTTTATTTCATATTTTCCTTTTTATTAATCCACTTCTCTTAATAGATTCTGGGACATCCCAATCAGGTGTCTAATCTGTGCCCATGACAACTTAAAGAAACCGAGTGAAAAAGAAGAAAAGGAACACCAGTGAAGAAATATAGTAAGTAAACACCAGCCGGTGTGACAAGTGGCAAGGAGATTCATTTCGGCCGCATGTTTCCATGTATGTATGTCGAAATAACGTGCACGGAGTTACCCGACCTGATATGCTTGACTTCCACATCCCCGTATTATTGTAAACCTTATACTAGATTACTCTAGCTTTCATGTAGGCTCGCCACACATGACGTAGAGACCCGCATGTGCCACCTACGACATAGGCTCCTGATATCTATAATTGTCTATATTATTGACGTACGACGACATTTTGTGCAAAGATCCGGGGCTGGCCGGGGAACGGCCTCTCAGCGAGTCGTTCCCGATCTACGGAGGAAGTTGCGACTGGTGCGATGGCATTTAGATGTGCGCTGATCCAGGTTTTCTCTTCCCGTCTAGTCAGCTATCCGCCTGCCCATTGACTGAACCGCGGATTATCGAACGTGGCATTACGAAGTAGTGGGGGTGAAGTACGTTGCAGAGCTAAGAAAGAAATAAAAAGCAGATCAGGGTAGATTATTATGGTAAAAACCAAGGAAAACGAAGACTGCTAGGCCCGGCGTTGAATTTTCTATTTTTATCCTTCGACGCAGGCTATTAGAAATCTACATACGGCCGGGAGCATCAAGATTAGAGCATGACTTTTACCTCCAGTGGTCGGTAGAGATCCAGGGCATTGCATAACCTGCGCATCGCATTGCAATCTTAGGCGAGATCTTCTAAAGCTGTGATAGGCAGCAGACCCCTCCCTCGTACCACTCCCTCGTACCAAAACGTAGTCGATGCCGTCAAAGGCCCAGCTAAACCCCTATTACATCCTAGCCTTTAACCGGCTTCCTGGAAACTTTCGAAAACCTTCAATCCGCCTCCTTACAACTTCATGGGTCCTCCATCTTCCTGTCCGTTCGCTTCCGTTGACATTCTCCATTTTACTCAATCCATCCCGCTGAAACCGTAATGAGAACCGTACACATATCGCCGGCAGAGTCGCCAGAGTCATAGGAATTGAGCACTGCCCCAGGCAAGTCCAGAGACTACCTAACTATCACCGTCAACAACCGTACGGTTCTCGCTCCAGTCCGGTCGTCCGCATTAGTCTTGGTGGGGATGATGTCCCGAAGTCTCTCGACGTCGGAACGGCAACGAGCTCAAGGCTTTCGAAACCTTGCGTCGGACAGACCGTTGTGTTGCTGAGGCCGACGCCTCAGCTTCGGGATTCTCGAGATAGGCAGGTGCTGACTTACCCCCGACAGATGAACTGGCGCCACGATGCTTCAGCTTTTTCTAAAAGGAAGGAGTTCGCGGCTCAGGCTCAGGGGGCACTGTGCGGCTCTCAGGGGATTCTTGGGCAGCGCGGGACTCTTCAAACCCAGATGGACCCGAGACTGGGAACCAAGAGAAGGGATCGTCGGGTTTTGGATCCCAAGATGGATCTTCCATGGCCTCTGCGGCCCCGCTTAAGGACACCATCTTAATTAGGTCCCATTGCAACAGTAAAATCTCGTAATTGGGACGCGAGGACTTGTCGGAGGACGTAACATCGATGATTTCTCCGTCAAGGATGGGTCGGCCTGTGACCAAATGTCTCACGTTGACACTGCCTGGGCCATCGGGTGATGCCAGCAATTCGTCAGGGTCAAAGATCTCCGGCATCCTCTGACCGAGAGCAAGACCAGTTTTCTTCAACCAGCGGAATCTCAACCTGACTCCATTATCAAGTTGGGCGATGGGCTCAAGGCCAAACACAGCCTTCCCCCACAGTCGATGTAGGCTGGGGCTTAATGCGAGCATATTTTGGGCAGTGTCGACAATGTTTTGATCACCGACGAGTAGGTGGCTTATGCGTTCCTCCTGATGGCGTCCCCAAAGGCTGAAAAGAGTCGCTTGGAGACAATTAGAGGTCTTATGGGGCTCCTTTAGGGAAGAGAAAGGGAAAACGTGGCAAGCATCGGGGTACCGAGCTCCTGTAATAATACACCGGCCAGCATCCCTCAATAGACACTGCGAAGTTGATTGGTTAATGTCCTCTGGGGTTCTGTCAAACTGAAGAGAAGGGCGAGGAAGAAAAGGGGAAGGTAAAGAAAAGAAATGCCAACATACCTTGTCAGCCTCACTCCGGCTTCTCCTCACACTCTCGTCTTTCGACTCGGCCTCAATACCGGCACCTATTCGAAGTGGATCCTCGATAGGCTTCGTTAAGACTGGACATAGAAAGGTTAGGTTCCGCTTCAGGCTGAAGGGGCAAAGGATTGAGCTTGCATGTTTTCAACAGGATCATCAATGGTGGTATCAGAGCCTGGATCCTCAAAACGTCTGGCCAATTCTTAAGAGGATGGAGAGGTTCGAGAGGAGCAATCATCAAAATGCTCCACGAAGCAGTGTTCCAGTAACCGAGATCCGGGCCACGCTTGGTCAGTTGCCAAAATTGTTGAGCGAGATCAACCCGTGTCTGAACATTATCAATGAGGGCCATGTCATTGACATTTCGGATCGGGCTTGCTTCGAGAAAATAGATGAGCGCCGTTCGATCCTGGGCAGTTGTGGAAGGATTCTGTTCGAACTGGGTGATGAGGCTCTGGGCTCGGGCGAGCCAGTTGTTCGCCATTGTGCCGTCGATGATTGGGAGATGGAGATGAGGATGAGGATGAGGATGGAATGGGATGGAGATAGACTGGATCTGATGGCTTGTGGAGGTAAAAAGGAATTGGTTACAGGTCCCGAAAAAAAAAAAAAATAAATAAAAAATAAATAAAATAAAAACATTGAAGAGTGAAAGGAAATTCAAATGTGGTGGGTGGCCCGAGTAAAGTCTAAGCAAGCAGTGGAAGGCACTCTGTAAGATTGGGGCGGTTTGACCTTCCCAACCTTATTTTGACTAGGAAGTACAGCCGGGTGGTTCCTTCCGCATGACATATCCTGAAAGCCGGCACTGAACGCCAATTCGTTGTCCAGGAAAGATTGCTGCAACGTCCCAAAACACCGCGGGGAACAGGGCCCGAGCAAAATTATCCGAAGTTAGAAATTTACGTGTCGAGTACGTCAATAATAGCTACCCCATGCATGCCTCCAGTGGCATTTAACCCGTGGGACACTGCCTGTGTAGAAATCCACTTTATTTGTAAGAACGTACTGCCGAAGCAGCTGGGTTTTCTTGCATAAGCTGGTGGCCCATACTCTAGACGAAAATGGAGTGAGCGAAAGTGACTGAGATCAAGGTGGGTAGGGGAAAACAAACCGCTTCCCTCCATATTGCTTCACCAGTAGAACCCCTGGGCATCTCATCAACGACCACGCCATCTACAAGCCAAATAATTTGGCTTGGTTCGGGAGGTTTTCCCCCATTCTTATAGTAGTTGATGAGATATTTGATATTTTTTCGCTGCCGACGCGCCTCAATGGAATCCTCATTCAGGAGCTCCTGCAAGTACTCGAGCTTGAACTTGACAAGATCGAAATTTCCAACACAGGCAGGTGCGAAAGTAATGCGCTCGCTTCGTTCTTCCGTTTGTTTTCCTTGGGCCGACATGTTGAAGGATGCTTTGAGGGAGGTTCTGTAGCTCCAATGGAACCGGAAATATAAAACAAGGCAGAAGGTTGGAAAATAGGAAACGACAATTCCTGGCTTCTACATCCCTTGGCTTGGTCATTTCCAAGCTGAGGTTGTAAGAAGCTTGTGCCATAACCTATGAGGTCCTTCACCGTGACAATCGGGGAAATATCGGTTGAACGATTTAGAGTTGAAGTCTACCCATACAAGATAAAGTTTCGAATAATGAATGAAAATGCAATATTCTCGGGTTTTCCACTCGTTTATGCCTCAGTATGTGCCTAGGGTGCATATCGCTAAGCAGCACGTCGTTCTTGCCCAACTCAGGACGCTAAGCGGGTTCTTCAGGGTATGCCTGGTTCACGGCCCAGATGAGATCTTGGATCGCGGGATGGTACTTCGTACTTGATGATATTTTGAGAGTAACATAGATCCCCGTATCTCCCGGAGAGGCTTCGTGTAGTCGAGGGACTTCTCTGTCCGTGATCATCGCACGAGATTAGGTGTGTCTACGCCGAGGACGCGTGCCAGTAACGGTGCTTCGACTGGTGGGCTCCATGGCCAGTCGCAGACGGCCATAGTGATCACTCGCCGTTCTCGTCCAGAGACATGGCGAAATTGGGGGCGGAAATCAGAGCAAGCCGAAGGAGGAGGTTGGGATTCCAAATTGGAGACGCTAGGGCAGTCGCGAGCTGGGCCAGCCCGGCTGTCGAGATCAATCGGCCAAAACCTGCCCTGCTCTTTGAAACCTCGAGTCTCCCGAAGCACACGTAGTTCGGCCGCCAATGGTCTCGTCGCGACATCGCCTCATAAGCATATCGTCTTTGTAACATTTTCATGACGCCAATTCTAATTATTTGAGGCTGAAGTTTTGCGGCACCTTTAGCGGCAACCCTAGTTGAAATCCCAACTTACAACTCTACCTTGATGTCTTCGGCGGCGATAGCCTTCTTCACGCCATCCAACTCTCTTACCTTCTCCATCAACCTAGCAAAGTTGGGAAACTTCGTCTTACGGTCAGGCTCCTCATCACTCCACCACCACCAATACACGAGCAAAAGAAAATCCACAACCGTCAACGCCTCGCCGACCGCAAACTCCTTCCCCTCCAACTTCTCCTCGATGGTCGTAAACGCCTTAGCGATAACTTCCCTCCCTCGACGCTTAATATTCTGCATCGTGGCTTCGTCCGAATCATCCGCAAACCGGCCCGGTCGCCAAAACGCCGCGAAACCGTTGTTTTGTATCGTGTTGGAACCCCACGCCAACCACTCGGCCACCTTGGCGCGGTCGATGATGCCGGTGCCCAGTAGGTTGAGATCCGGCACGAGGAGCGCGATATACGTCAAGACGGCCGGCGTCTCCGTGATGACGACGGCATCTGGACCGTCCCCCACGACGAGGGTGGGTACGAAACCCTTGGGGTTGATGGCGAGGAACTGCTCGTGGGAGAGGCTGCCGTCGGCGCCTTCGTAGCGGCTGTTTGTGGAGTTGCCGTTGGGGGATTGTTTCATGACGACGAATTTGTAGGGGATGCCGGCGTGGGCGAGGACGCTGTGGGGGCCCAGGGAACAAGCACCCCGGCTGAGGTAGAGAGTCGGAGGTTGCCGCGCTGCCATGTCTGCTGAGTTAAGGTGGGTGTCGGATGGTGCATGCTATTGGTGTCCCTGCGATTGGGTTTCAGTGAGAGGCGGCCCAGAAGGATTTGGGCTCCTTTATAGACTTGTTCCCAATAAGCGGCAGGCCGGACGAGACACGCCAGCGCAGCGGATCTATGGATGAATGCCCCGAAACATGCATTGAGGGATCATCGACCGATTTGTCAGCGAAGTGCATTCAAATACAGTAAGATTCTAAATAAGGAAGCAGCCATTACTCGTTACATCACCAGACCGTGAAACCTCACATCCATATCAGGCATTGGACGGACATCACACAAACATTGGGTGGGGAAGCCGGTATTCCTAGGCAGCAGAATTGTATCTAGGATGTCGATCTCAGGGCTGTGGCAGCACGATGATGGCTAGCTGAACCAAGAGCCACAGCAGTAGAGCCATAAGATGCGAGTTCAAGGCGCGAAGAGGGGGATAGAAGGAGCAATGGTGTGCATGGCTGGCATTGATCAAATCTGTAGAATTTCCCAGTTTGATTACTCCTGTAGGGTTCAGGCTCTCATATCATCCTTCACCGCCGCTTAGGTTGCATCTGGTTCGTCTCAGCTTGCGGGTGCGCGAATAGTTCCACTCAAAGACTCCTATTTCCGGTGAAAGTGGAAATGGGATCAAATATATCGTGTTTTGCGTCCACTTCTGATATCAGAATGGCACCACGACACCGGCCAGCAAGAAATCGAGATGTAGATCTCGATGATTGCATTCAGAGTGTGCACTGAAGGATCAATATAAGATACGCCCATTTCTTTCGTGAGTCGACCACACCGCAGCATCTCGGATTGGCGAGTTCGGCTTACATAAACGGGCCCCCGCGCGCCGGATGAGACGCTACATAGTCCAACTGCACCCTCTCAGCTCCAGGAAGGGTACATCGTGACTCTTTTCTACTCACATATCCAAACGCCATACTCTAAGCTATTCGGGGTCTCCTAGTCTCTATTTCCTGCACCAAATGGACACGATTTCCCTCTTAGATTTCGCTACCGAGATCGATGCAAGGACCACTTTCGACGCCAACCACATCGCGCCCGATGAACCCCGCACTACCGCCGAGCTCCAACCCGAGGAATGTCCCGATTGCGGAGAAAAGCATATCCCTCGCCGAATAGTTTGTTGCGTTGACGGCACCTGGATGCTTGAAGATGGCGCTGAAGGTAATCGCTCCAAGGAAGAACCTGCAAAGGGCCAAGCGCGCTGAAGGCTAAGAACAAAGGGATATTAGGTTATTTTCAGAATAACCCATCCAATATCTTCCGTATTTGGATGGCTGTGAAGCCTGGGCGAGTCAAAGCTCAGAACGGAACAGAGTGGGAGCAGGTGAGAGGTTCAGCTGGTGTCTACGAGATGACTCTCTGCTGCTTTCCTACTCACATGCCACTTCAGACTAGGGAATATTTCAAAGGGCTTGGCACAAAACAGCCAAAGTGGAAAAAATACTGGCAGGGTACGACAGGAGACGGGTACGAAGCTCTCGTCGCCGAGGTTTATGAGGTGAGTAGAAAGCCGGCCCAGGCACAGAAAAGTCCAGTCCAATACTGGCCTTGGCATTTTCGAGCCCTCGAGTGCTGATCAACATCTTCTGCTTTTTCCTTTTATTTTTTTTTTATTCTAGCACTGCGCCAAAACATGCTGTCCCTCACAGGATGAACTCTTCTTATTCGGATATAGCCGGGGAGCCTGTAAGTCTAATCTGTCCAGACGACCAACGGGAAACGCTAAGCTGAGATTTGCTCACTCTAACGACTCACAGTCATAGTTCGTGCCGTAGCAGGGCTCTTTTCATATATCGGCACACTGAAACGCGACGCCGATGACTGGGAAGAAAAGTTTTCCCAAGCACTTGATCTGTACAAATCGACTCGATTAGAGAAGGCAGTTAATCCTGGGAAGCACTCTGTGAGCGATATTCTTTATTATCTACCCCATGGCCTCGACTAACAGGGATATCTTAAGGCTTTTCATTTCCTGTGAGTAACCCCTTAAACACGTGAAACGGGAACTCCTGCGCCGTGAAGGCTAAACGTGGGATCGGGCCAGCACGCGGTTTACCAAGGAGTCTCCACGAATCACGTTCCTCGGGCTATTCGATACTGTCAGATCTATTGGCTTCCTGGATCCAAATAAAACCCCAGCCTGGCTCGACGCTGCCAAGTCCACTATAGCGCTTAAGCGGCTCTTTGAAGATCACTCCTATGATATCCGCCAGGCCGAGAACACCTACCACGTGCGGCAGGCGCTCGCGCTACTGGAAAAGCGGGACATGTTTAAACCAGAGAGGATGGAGAACGGGCAAGGAGAGAAGTTACCTGCCGGCCAAGCCGAGAGGACCTGCTTAGAAGCCTGGTTTCTCGGTTATCACGCGGACATGGGTGGTGGCTCCCTGCATGATGGCCTTTCTCTCTGGCCGCTGCAATGGATCCTTAGTGAGGCTTCTGCCCACGGTCTCGTTTTAGATTTTGTGGCCCCTCAACGCTTAGTCAAGGATATACAAGATCCTCTGCAACTCGTGATGCCGACGGGTAAGGGCCCGCATCAGATACCATTTAAGGACCACATAGCTGTCAACATGTGGGACTTGAATAAAGAGTTTGATCTCCCAGGCTTGAAGCCCGTTCCCAACCCACCGACAGATGCAACGACTAAGCTGCCCACCTCGGAGAGAACTGTATTTACGAGTTCAAGTAGTGGCTCAGGTAAGAGACCCTCTTTTTCATGGCATACCTGGAAGGCCTTGTACTTAGTTGGCCTCAGTCACCATAATCCACCCCTCGGTGTACTGGGCAGACGATGTGACTCCACTGGGGATAAGATTCCTCAGCCCCATGAGCTTCTCCGGCCAGATTCGCCAGAGGATTAGCGATATCGATATCCGGCCAGAATCTCTGTACTGGAACCAAAGTCACACGAGGATAGTCAACGTCCAGCGCGGCCGGCCGAGAGTACTCTTATGCGGCCCCTCCGGGGTCGGCAAGTCCAGTTTGATCAACGAGATCTTGGACAAAGCAGTGGTGAGCAGCTCGGTACAAGACGCAGGACCCGGCGTGTGCTGCCAGTTTCACTAACGGGGTTGAGGGGTAATAGACCGCCGAAAACTCCGGCCCTGATACTGTCCAGCACGACATCAACTTTGAGCTTGGTGGTAATATCTCAGTCGAGGATGGCAATGATTTCATTTTTCACGATACCTGCGGGTTCGAGAGGGGAGCCGAGGAGACTGTAAAGAGGGTCCAAACCTTCCTGAAGAATCGCCGGGGGATGACCACTTTTCAAGATCAACTACACTGTATTTGGTAAGGCCACCCCCCTTGATCTACTACGAATCGTAATAACGCGTGAAACAATCCAGGTATTGTTGCGAGTCCACGGGTCGAGTTGAGGAAGCTGATCGGGAATTCCTGAGATCAACTGGCTTCCACGGTATCCCCGTTCGGCTTGTCTTTACGAAATACGATGTTCTCGAAATGGACTGTCTAAGGGAGGCTTGTCGCCAGTATCGCGAGAAACACCCTGGGGCCCCCAAGTTCAAGTACGATCGAGTGCCTGTAGGCGCACAGGACGATGTCTACTCGTGCACGGATTCGATGCTAGCATTGAGACGTGCCCAGCGAGAGGCGATAGCCGGTGAGCTATTTCCAGAGAATGCCGAAACTAGTTTTGTAAGCATTGAAGGTAAGCCTTGCCTCGGTAACTCTCTTTACAGCGAAACTCATCACATCGGTGGCGGCCGACCGGCTCTAACTTATTGGGTCTACATAAGATGATGAAACCATCCGAGAGCTCTGCGAGAAGACCCAAGCCTGCCTAAAGAGCGACGTCCTCATTCGGATCCACAACAAAGCAATGCTGGCCCATATCCAGCAGACTCTTCCCGTAGTCGTTGGACAGGTCACTCAACGTGTCGTGGTGATTTGCGGCGCGCGCCCTAGGGTACTGTTCGATAGGAACGAACTCATGGCAGAGAGTCTCGCCGCCGTGGAGAATTTTCCCGCTGATCTATCGCGCATCTTGCCTTCATTCTACGGTCTCAATATTGCCTCGGAGGTCAACACAGGAAGTTATCTCGAGTTATTTTCCGAGATCCAATTAGGCGAAGAGGCTACAAATTGGAAAGATACCTTGTGGGAAACCTTCAATGTGATTGGGACGGGCCATCCGGCCCAGGCCTGGAACGATGAAAAGTTCGCTGAAAGGTGGTTTGTGAAAACTCGGCGCGCCCTGATGCTACAGTCAATTTTCGGTATCCTGACACACGAGAAACTCTTCTGGCTAGGAATCCGGGATATCCCCACGAAAGAGATCCCAGCGCGAGCAGTGATCGACGTCCTCAAACATGCGGTCGAGATAGATCGAATCCTAGACAAGGCTGGGTTCGACGTCTCGGGAGGTGCTGAAAACTTTGAGCGTGTTTTGGGCGAGATGGTGGAGAGAATGCGGAGCAGTTTGCGAATCACAGAATCTTAAGAAATCTCGACATCCTATCCTCCGAGTTGGGCGCAATATGCTAAGCATTACATCACACTCTTACAAATATCTTATAAATGATATGCCCTTTGGTATATCGTATACCAAGCCATATCTGTCGCCTCCCTCGTCCGGGAAGGGAGAAATTGCTCGTCCTTTGGTCCTGGGCCGAGCTTCGTGGTAAGCTTTATGCCACCTGAGGCCCCTGCGAGTGCTCGAACGTGTCCTCTTCCATACAGCGCTTTAAGTGGCCTTCAAGCACTGTCTAACCAGGGCGGGCGAGGCTCCCAAGACGGAGAAAAAAGGAGAGAAAATGGAGAAGGGAAAAAAAGAAAGAGCCGTGGTCTTGACGCCAAAGACATTTGTAAAACACCCGTCGATCACCTTGGAAGAGACTGGAAAATTCAAACCAAGCGTCTTAGTCATTGGTTGGTTATCACCAAACTCCTCATTTCGGGGATAGAAATCGCGGTCGGCTGTCGGCGCCGGTTGCTAGGACGGAATCAAACGATCCTGATGACCCCAGACCGCAGCCAGTCGGAGATCAGCCGTACAGACTTGATAGAGACTCGGGAATGCATGGCGCAGTCCATAAGACTTAAAAATGCATGTTGCGACCTAGACCGTGGACGAGAAGAGTCTTGTGAAAAGCCTCGAGCAGATGATTTCACTTCTTGACTATGTTGTAGACTTGTAGTCCCAGTCTAGAATTTTGAGTGTATGAAATGGACGCCGATCGGCTATGCAGTAAAGTAATTTTTTTTCTCTTTACCCTTCTCTTTTCTCTAGGGTTGGGGGGGTTGGCGCGGGGACGAAAAGGAGAGAAGAGGGGAGGGATATTAATTTCAACATCAATACCTCCCGCAGTGGGAGGACGGGCGTGGGATCCAGGGTCGGCCGCCGCCAAAGCGAATAGGGCCAACTGGCCGAGTTGCTTGGTGCTGATTATGAAAAGGCGCGTTGGCTGTTCAGGATTTGCGGGGCGGAGTTTAATGAGCGACTCGACATGGAACTTTTGAAAATGCACGACCCGCTTCATATCTACATCATACCTAAACAAACCAACCTTCTCCAAGTGAAGACCTGCGATGATAGTCCTCGTGGCGGAGTAGCTAGGGTCAAATGGGCAGAGGGACTTGCGAACAGCACATGTTTTAGTTTAACTAATATCACTTGTTTATTACGCAGAGCGATAAACTACTTGCCAAAAGGAAATCGGGGGTCTGTTCCTTTGAACTCGCTCGTTCGTGGAGAACTTCTGAAGAGGTGGGTAGGGCCAATGATTCAAGATTTGATGGGTCCATCCTTGCTGACAATATGAAATCCGCATATTTTTGCAAGGCGAAGAAGTAACATGAACCATCTTTGCCCTGATCGACCATTCGGTCTCTGGAAGGCCTTTCCTGCGTCTCATTCTGCGCCACCCGCTGATGCTGGCAGACGACTTTCTTACTCTCCCGACACTTGGAATTCCCGTTCGCGACACCCGCGCCTCCGCAGGTTTCTTCGGATGGGCCGTTGCATGGGCGGTAGGATTTTCCGATCCTCGATCAATACATCTTGGAGAAACGGGCAATCCCTGCATGCGCGAACATCCCAGCCACAGCCAGTCAACCAAGCCCAGAGGCGCGGTAAGCACAGAAGCACAGCCACTATAAATTACAGGCGAGGAATTTACCTACATGTACGTATTTAGGATTGATCTTGGCGTGGTTGAACCATCAAACTTTGCTAGTTGTTGATTGATTATATTTCCTCTTTCTAACCGCCTTACTTCGTACAGCCGTATCTTCATCGCACCACCCACCACAGACACCATTTCAACCGCTTTCAAGAATATAATCATTATTATCAGCATCACAACGTCGTGAAATAATTTTACAACAACTAACAAAAAAATGCACGCGCGAACATCAGCTGCTGCCCTTGCGGCCATCTTAGCCATGCTTGTCCCGCAAGCGACCGCGGAGCAGACAACCCTGGTAATTGATGCGACTTCTCTGCCCAAGATTGAACCTCTCGGGGCACTCATCTCCCGCCTCCACCTTCGCCCGCTAACTTTCTTCGTAGCAAGTATGGATTCCTATGGTACCGCTGGACAACCCAGGGTTCTATGACGAGGTGGAAGCCATCGTCGAGACTATCGTGAGTAATCGCCCTTTGCCAACCACAAGCTCCACGGCGATGTCGCTCGCTAAAGAATAATGCATAGACAAACGACCAAACTCTGCTCGGCATACGGTACAAGGGCACCGGTGCGCCAGAGGACTACCCTATTCAGACCATCACCGTCGGCCAGAGTAGTACGAAGAACCAACCCCCCCTCCCCGCCGCCCCGCTGCGGCGCCGGGGGACACGCCTTGGAGCTAGCAATCCTAACTACCGCTTACAGCTTTCAGATTCTCAGCAACTGCCGACCCCGAGCACTACATCTCGTAAATGCCCCCGCAATCTAGAGCGCACGATGAGTTCACCCACTGACAAGACCCTCTAGGTCCACCGTTGTGGATTGCACCCTGACCGGCTGCCCTACCGCTACGACAGGCACGTGCGTCCTTATCGACAGCACCTCAGGAGAAGGCCTCGCCACGACCACCGAAACGGTCGATGCCTCCCGCCTGTCCTTTTATGCTATTTCCCTCGTCACACCCTTGCCCGACGCCGCCGCTCCCGAGTGTGGTACCGAAAACGCCGACAGAACCACGCTGACTGGCACGAGGCTCCCAAGTAGCACTGAGAACGGCAGTGGCGCCGGCGCGACCGAGACTGGCGCGGCAGGCCCCGATAGCGCGGCATCGAAGGTTGTTGGTTCGTGGGGCGCGATTGCGGCTGTCGCGGCGCTAGCTCTTGCCGCCTAGATTTGAGGTGTGAGGTGGCATTGAAAATTGAGTCTTGACTTATCCTGTGCGCTTTCTAATAATACGATGGACCCTCATCGTCAGGCGAACCTTCAGCGTCCCTCCCTTCTTTTTTATAGGCTTTCTGTATAGGCGATTGAGCAGATAGAATGCATTAAGAAGATACCCTTCAGCCACGCAGTCCACCTTGACGTATCTGGGGCTGTGTCGCTCTTACCCCAGCAGTTGCGTAGTGGCTGTACCATCTCTCCGGGAACAGACTCCGTGCGACATCCATGACACCTGTCGGCTTAGGATCAAATGTGCAGCATGCCGACAGAGCGACGAAGGGGTGTTCAATCCCGCTTACTTTATTAATCTCCCCAGACATCCACCGCCAGTGTGGACACGGTCATGTCTAGCTATCCCCCATCAAGGCAGGATGCCCCCTTCCCAACAGGCTGGCGAGGGGTCTCCAGAACGAGAAGTCTCATTCGCGATATGGCACTGGGTTCCGTCGGGATATTCAGATAGGCTGAATGACGAAGTTGCGCCAGGCCAAGCAATATCGAATCCTTTTAAATTTCTGTAACGTATTGACCAGAAGGCTCGCTTACTGCATGGACCGTTCGCGGGCTAGCCATTGTCGCCGCTACCCCGCGAGCGATGATACCTTCTCTGGCAACAGAACCACATTGTGGGTGAGGGTGGTATTAGCGGAAGCGAGATCGAGCCCCAGTATATTTGTCGGTACGCGAGCAGAGACACCCAGTGACGACGCACGCTGATTAACGAAATCATCTACTGTCAGAAGACCTGCAGTTGCAGGCACCATTCGTGCGAGATGACGCTATCACGATGCGAAAGTCTTGATTCCGACAACTCACCCATCCCGACTCGTTACGTGAAAATCATGGCATCACTGGAACCAGGGGGGATGTCCTTGTCCATCGCCTTGTGCGAGACGACGGGTCAGACTGGAAAATACATAGCGCTGAGCCACAGGTGGACCCCCGAAACAGAACTTGTAAAGGCCTTAAGGGGGAAACTACGCAGACCGGATCGGCGCCGGCGGCCGCCCCGTCCAGCTAAAGGCGCTGTTGATCTCCACACCTCCACCCAGGCGATCCGCTAAATGTTGCCGGAATCTCAGTTTCTGGAAGCATGGGAGCCGTTCAGCGGCCGCCTTATCGCGGGTCGGCCGCCCGTACAGGTCGACAAACCTGTTTATTAATCCAAGACCGAATCCGAAAGCACATCTCCCGTCAAGAATCTCCGCGATAGGTGCATTGAGCGAGAAGGACGCATTTCCCTGTAGAACGGGAATCGAGCCTGTGGACCGAAAAATCCAATCATTGGAACTTTTTGAAGGTCCTGGGGATTAGAACGAGCCGAGAGTCCCTAGAGTGAGAGAGGCGAATCCAGGGAGACAATCTACGGATATGAAAAGCCTCGGTGTTCCCATCCTATCGGATTCAAATCACCAGGTCACTGCGACGCCTAGGCCAAGTCAAATAAGCACAACGCAGAGCTGTCTAATCGCTCTTCACCAGGCAAAATGAAGCTCATCTCATCCGTCATCTTCTGCCTCAGCATTGCCAGCGCAGCCTATGCTGCCCCGCAGGTGTGTAAACGCCTCATGATGTCATCGTTTTCTCTGCTAATAGCCTCATTCTTGGCCGCAGTCTGACGTCCCTACCCATCAAGGCCAGATTATGAAGCGCGACGACGGCAGCTTCTTTCTTCACGTCCCCATGCTTGCCGGCGAGAAGCGCGGGTGTTTTGAATGCCCCTGTGACAGGTGGACTGGGCCGTGTTGCTGCCCTGAGGGTGTCAATTGCTGCAACCACTGCAATACTTGCTAGATTTTTGACTATTCTATGGATCGAGACGATGCGTGTTTGGGGGGCTTTACTACTTGTTCCCGCAAGCCCCGAAACACCGAGAGGAGTTTACAATGTCACTTCTTCGCTGGGTTGCGTGACAGAGCTAGATTTGAATCTTATTTCGTGGCTTTTTGTGTGTACAATAAGTCGATGCGTCCTAGAGCGGGGTGGACTTCATCCGGAATATGCCCGCGTTATTCCGTAGCGAGTAAACCTCATTAAGTAGAGCACCGGTCGTTGTAGAATCGATGTTTTCTTTTCATTTACAGGTGCCCTACTACTGCCTCTTCTATCCCAGCGCAGCGATCGCCAGAGCTGCATTCTGAGCTAGCCGGGCCGGGTAGTCTCCCAATCAAATGGTCCTGTTTGGACGATGGTGACAGCGGGTTCCCCCTCGCTGTACCCCGCAAGGTTAGGTCCGGGTCCCACGGCTTTCTCTCCGCGCGCATATTCTCTTAATCCTACTCTGAAGCCGCGCTATTTCAAAGCCCATATAAATACCTCAACATCAAGTAGCACAGGCCGGTTGAACCCTGGTGATACCTTGGCGAGAGCCGGGGTATGTAGCCACGGAGGTCCCCATCGGTTTGGCTGTCATTGATGAGCTCTGACTGGTTGCTAACCTGCAGCATCACCGCGACTTCGGAAATTCTCCGACGACCTAAAGCTACTCCTGATTCCGTGATATTGCCCCTGCCTCTGTTCTCCAACCTTTCCCTCTTTACAAGGGACTCTCAAGTCAAATATACAACTATCTTCCCCCATGCACTACCCTGGCAGTTGGGCTGGCCGAGTAGGTTATCTTAGCGCGGAGCCGAGATATATTCCGATGATTATGCGCTAGTAGGTGGGCGATGCACTCCTGGGCTACACATGAACCTCATGATGCACCGGTGTTGGTCTGCGTAGGGTAGAACAATGCGGAATAGGGTATTGAATGGAAGGAGGCCCAAGCAGGCTCATCCACCTGATGGCCGACATTCTTATATCAATGTATTGCACAATATAAACGGGAGCAAAAGAAGGGATGAATGAACAGTAACTTAGGCTTTTCGTTCAGATGGATACATACTGATGCATCTTTTTGTTATATAGCTCAGCTGTGAGTGAGTCAAACATGACACGAGGTTCCAGTTATTATTAATAAAACAAGAGCCAACATCCTTCTCTCACTCGCCTGGAAGCGAGAGGAAAAGAACCGCAAGCGCTGCCAAGCTAGAAATCGAACTATAAACGAAGAAGAGATTGGCTCTGCGTAGCTAAAGGGTCCAACCGACTCAGCTGAAGGGATCCTGGTTGTTGTCCCCACCACTAAGACATTCCTATCAGCCGACGCTCGGCTAGATTGCGCCCTTACACTCGCAACGGGCCCGCTTGAGGACATAATACATAATCTACTTCGATGCTCCTCATGTAGAAGGAATCTCCGTCGATTGTTGATGAGGCAATGATCCAAACATTTATTAAGTCAAATAACCCGCCAGCAGCGAACGGCGGCGGTATACCTGACCTCAGCACAGCATTTCCCTTTCGCCAAATTTCCCAGGGCTTCTAGTTCGTTCCTTATAGCTCGACAAACGAAATAATGGCGAAACTCAAGGAACTCACCCCTGAAGAAGTGGCTCGACATTGCACCGAAGTCGATGTCTTCATAATAATTCAGGGCAATGTGTACGATTGCACCGAGTTTCTCAAAGACCATCCGTAAGCTTGCACCTGCTCTGACTTTCCTTTAACTACAGATTTTGACAACTCTGCAGTGGTGGGGAGGACATAATTATGGAGGTCGCTGGCGAGGATGCCACGGAGGCGTTTGATGATGTTGGGCACAGTGACGAGGCGCGAGAGATGTTGCCAAAAATGATTGTTGGGAAGATCAAGCAATAGACGGATAGGGTAGGGTAGGGGGTCACTGTATGAATGAATGCGTTTGACATAGATGCCACTACTACTCCATATGTGGGACATACCACTCTTACGGTCTTCACCTCTCTCCATTGGACAGGCAATGAAAATACAGCAAGGCGAGGCTGCTGCCCCAGTGGCCAGTGACCGCCCGCCACTTCAGACCCGAATGAGGAGAGAGGGGCAAATTGCACTTTTACGCCTAATAGTAACAACTCCGGGCTTTCATAAGGGCTGTGTTGATTTGGTCTCGTGACGAGGCGTCCAAATGTTGATAAGCTGACGAGCCATCTTGACGGCGGGAGTCGGCTTGATTATTGAGAGGGCCATCTCGGTGGTCTGAATGAGTCATTGGGTCCCTGTGAGAAGCGTGTTAATGCCAGGTTCAATCATCGGCGACATAACAGTGGAGTGGAAACATCAGTAGTTCATAGAGTCAGGCAATAATAGCTAATGGTCGCCAACCCATCACCAGTCGTAGGCAAACCGAAAAGACCTTTCGTCTTGGCGGTACGATACGACGGTTAGCTTTCGGTCAGATCTATTAGTGGTTCCTCGGCGAGCTACCAAGTTTGATGACGCGGTAAATCTCCGCCCTTTTCAGGCCATTACCTTCATTGAGAACAATGGGAGTGTGAGCGCCTCTTGGCAAAAGCCTGCCACCCCCACATGGACCAATGCCGATCGTCGGCAACCAAGCGATTATGATAAATGATACTTGATAGGCGGCACGGAGAACGACGAGAAAATACGCTGCGAGCTTAGAGCTGCGATCTCGATGCTCTAGACCCGGGACTCCGGGAGTGTCAGCCATCATCGGACTATTCTCTCAGGGCATTTGTGACTCTTCCACCAGAATGTCATCATGTTAGCCACTTGAAGCCTTTTTTTTTTTTTTTTTTTTTTTTTTTTTTTCTTCAAATAACATATATTATTGTTATAATTTTAACTTACCCTCCCATCACTCTCATCGGCGTAATCTGCACACATCTACTCGAGGCCTCGGGGTTTATACAAACACAAACACAATGACTTCCATAGCGGGCAACAGCCGCGGTTCGTGAACATGCAGGTTCCTGGGTGGTTGTATATTGCTAATAGAGAGTCATCACAGATGCTGTTAGAGCTAGAGCCAACACTTTTCATGAGTGCGAACTTCTAGAGAGGATCGTGATGACGCCTAATTCTTCCATGTAAGTAATGGTTGTAGCCCGTCTTACCTCCCATCGCTGATTTTGGACGATCGAATTCTAGTTACCGATTCAAGATACCCTTGGATTTGAATCTAGACATTCCCACCGGTCAGCATGTGCGTCTTGCTGGTGATGTCGTTCTACCAGATGGCAGCTCCCAGAGATGTGTTCGTTCATACACCCCAGTCACTATTGATCATGAGGCGCACTATTTTGAGCTTCTCGTCAAGTCATATCCTCTGGGTAAACTTTCCAACTACATTAGCTCTCTCAAGGTCGGCCAAACGATTCATGTGTGCGGCCCGCAGGGCAACTTCATTTACAGACCGAACATGGCCTCCCGAATCGGAATGATAGCTGGGGGAACGGGTATCACACCGATGTTACCGATCCTTCGGACGGTCGCCTGTGGGCGCGCGGGAGGGAGAGACAGTACCACGATCGACCTGATCTTTGCCAACTCGACGATTCAAGACATTGTTTTCAAGGATGAGCTAGACGAGATGGCTCGAACGGACCCGAACTTTCGCGTCCATTACGTTTTAAGCACAGCCCCAGATGGTTGGACCGGGGGAACCGGGTACCTTACTTCGGACATGATCACTGTGAGTTTCTATGTCCTGACCTTTCATTCACACCCTACATGATCAGTCTTATCTAACGATCTATAGCGCTGGCTCCCTGCCCCAGGTGATGGTGTGAAAATCCTCCTATGCGGCCCTCCTGCGATGGTCAGTATGGTCAAGAAAACTATGGACAGCCTGGGATATGGAAAGGCTCGTGTGGTTAGCAAGCCAGAAGATCAAGTCTTCGTTTTCTAACGAGATGCGGCTCTCTGGGCAACGATGAACAAGAATCATTCCTGGCGCCTGTTCCACAAATGTGAATCTCCCCTAGCAACACCAAAAGCCAGAATTGAATCTTGTTTCATTTGATGCGAAGAACCAATGTTCATACAGCAATTCGATGTAGCTTGTACTAGAACCTGAACGCGATGATGATTAAGAACGGGGAGGCTATCATGTAGAAGCCAGGGAGATAGGGAATGAAATATGTCCTAACTCCATTTCGAAAACGTTTTTGCACTAGCTTACGGGCCATACGGCAGTCAAATTTAATGTCTATCGACCCAAGACGAGCTTGAGATCGAGTCCTCAGCCTTTCATGTCCTTAGGCATATGTTGTAGTCAGGTCTCATCATCCTTCCCACATCTTACGCTAAGTCCTTCATACCTCTCATGAGCTCGCCCCGTGCGTTATTTTCTGGCTATGGTCAGTGGCTAATGGCGTAAAAGGCAATCCAGTTATCCTATTCCGTCGCGGTCCGCGGAGCGTGCGTCTCGCAGTGGCTGCTTCCGACATGGCAAGAGGAGTCATACTCGCTATTGCTGCAGGAGGCAACGCCAGACGTGGAGTTAAGATCGTCATCGACCTCTGGCGGAGAAACGGAGCGCGCTGAAATACGACCTTGGCGGGCACACGTGGGGCCAGAGAAAAGGCAGGAGTGTGCAGCTTTTCCAGTAATATTTCCTCGCCGCCACGATCAAGTCGGTATTCTTGGCCCTACCTAACCCTCAACCACTCAATTAATAATAGAACTCCTTGATACACGATACCTGGCTCCGTCTCGGACCAGACAAACCCTCTCAAAAGTGGAACCGCCAGAAGACTAAACTTGAAGGGTCGTTTTTAGCCGACCGTCGGTTAACTTGCCCGACTTGATGAGATGTCTCTCGCCAACATGATGCATATCCGTGCCAGTTCCAAGGCAAAAGAGAACAAACCGGTATGCTACTTTCTGATTAATGCAAGCCTTATTTAGATAGCGGCTCCGATGCCTAAACAAAGCGAAGAAAGCAGATTTCTACCCTTGGCCCCTCCCCCGGCCCCGTTAACACTAGATAACAACAGTACCTTTAATATCAATAGTAAATACAAGTATAAAAGGCGATTGGGAGAGTTGATGGACGATGCTGTTAAGATTGCTAGGTGCTCGTCTGTCATTCACCAAGTCAACTTCTACCATGTTTGGGCTTAGCTTGAGGGGAGTTGGTAAACAATACTAGTTGCCAGCCAGCCCTGTAAGCCAGGGCAAGAACCTTGGCCGATAATATTACAAGACCCGGTCACAAAAGCCAGTTGGCATGGGTCAACAGAGTATATTGTTCTGTTTTCGTTTTGTTTTGCTTCCCCGCAGGCTCCCACTGGTGACAGATAATACTAGAGCTTGCCAGGCCCGCGGATGTCAATCATAACCTGTGCCCGCACGGCCGTGGCTCGGATGACCCTTCCCTTCCCTTTGCGCTCCATGATTACTAGTCCCCCGCCTCTCGGGGGTTCAATCAACATCGTGCCCATGACCTTGCCATAAGAAAGCACTTATCTCTCTCGAACTGTAGTGAAGAGCATGCTTCTTCTTAAATATGGGATTTCTTCCATGATCTCCAGAACAAATCCGACCATCCCGCTTCCTAATCCTTTCCCTTGTAGTCGGGAGTCCACCCACAGATCCGTGAGATACGAAAAAGCCGTAAAGTCGGTCAGGCATCTGGCAAGTCCAATAAACTGCAAGTCAGAACTTGGGACTCGTGTCATCGGGCCGAGGTTGCTTGTACCATACAAAAGAGAGTGAATCTTCGAGCATTTCCCCAATCACTTGTGGAGGGAGAGTTTTGGCCCAGCGCAAGCAAGTTAGATGTGTAATATAACTGGATGATTGGAAGATATGGAGCAGAAAAGCCCCAGGGTCGAGACACGGGTCCCTCGGGCTTAGAGTGGCCTCGGAGACCCGGAAGTCGAGATGGGAATGGCGTGGCTCATTACGGATTCTGGCAGCCGTGAGTATGAAGCGAATGGTCTTCCTGAGATGTATCGCTTACAAATGTCCAGTAACGTTGCTCCAGCTGGAACTTGATTTGACGAGTGATTCAATAATCTGCGAAAGGGCGTGAGATGATGCACCTGCGGGGAAAACTGTCATGGCGTGTTGGTGTACGTATCTAAGGATTATCTGCGTAGGTTCCTGATACAAGCCACTGCCCAAGCGCTTTTCTGCAACTGTTAAACAGACACTATTTTTTTTTACCCGACTGTCGGAAAAGCGCCGGTCTGGCTACCGCCCACCCTCGCCAGCCACTCCACTAGTGGGGGACAGGGCAGGGGATGTTGGAGCTTGAGGCGGAAGACCTGCTCCATTGCTAAACTTGGTTTGGCTTGGTTTGGTCTGTTCGCACCTGTTTTTTTGGGTGAATGTTATCAGTTAGTCGGGGGAGATGGATGTGCCGACGCTCGCTTCTCGCCTCCTTCGACTGAATCGTCCGACTCCCTTCCTATGAGCTAACATCGATATTTAAGTTAACACCCTTTCCCCTCAGCCTGGAGAGACTGAAACGTTTCACACGCAACGGCCTCCTACATAGCCTTTCCCACCGCCACATCTCAGCTACACCAAACCCCAGTGCTCACGTCCGTCGATTTTCTTCGAGACTACCACCATGTATTTCTCACCAGCCCACAGAGAGACCGATCTCCGTGTCCTCCGACAGCTTATTCGCGACTATCCCCTCGGCACCATCATCACTGGCATCCCCTCCGCAAAACATCCCTTTCTCCAAGCGAGCCATATTCCTTTCGTGCTTCACGTCGAAGACGAGTCCAGCGAAACAGAAAAGGGCCGCCTACGAGGTCACATCAACAGGCAGAACGCACAAAGCCAGGCAATTATCGAAGCCTTGACTTCTCGACCGACCCCGGACAATATCTTGGAACAGGATGTACTCGTGGTCTTCACCTCGCCCGATCATTATGTGACTCCCAGGTTCTATACGGAAACCAAGCCTACCACGGGAAAGGTGGTCCCGACTTGGAACTACGCTGCCGTACAGGTCTATGGACGTGCAAAGATATACTTCGATTCCAAGTCCGAGGAAACGTCGCAGTTCTTCCAGAAGCATCTCACGGACCTGAGCTATCAGTGCGAAACGAAAATCATGGGCTATACGGGTGGTGATGCTCCTGAGGATTGGAAACTTTTGGATGCCCCCGAACGATACATCGACCTGCTCAAGAAGAGCATCATTGGCATAGAGATAACCATTGACAGGCTCGAAGGAAAGTTCAAGATGAGCCAGGAAAGGGACCACGGGGACAGACAGGGCGTTATACAAGGGTTTTCAACCCTTCAAACCGAGGGTGCTTCGACTGTGGGCAGGATGATTAAGGAGCGGAGTGATTTGAAGGATAAGCTGTAGTAGATTATTAGTAGATAGGCTTGGGACTGCAAGGAGATGCAAAATTGACCCCTTTAACTTTCCTTTTCTGCTACATTTATTTTATGTTTTGGAAGCTATGATAACGATAGAAAATAGCCTTACCTATGGAAAAATGATTATCAATGGTAACTGGCAACAACAAAGTAGGAGTCAGAGACTATCTGCAGCCTTCACCCTCACCGCCGTCCAAAACAGGGTCAGGGAACGAGGATTGTTGAGCCAGGCAATGTACCTCGGTACTCGTGGGCTAACAATACAAGCCAAGACTGACGAAGTTGAGCATCTCCTCGGAGTTTATACTGCCGTCCTAGACCGCCTTTTAGATGACTCGAGTCAGTCGAGTCGTCGCTCAAAGATCCTCTCCACTGACTCACGATTAGCAGCTCAAACTTGTCTTCGTGCCAGTAAATATAAGAATTAGAGACATATATATTCCTCGTGAGTGATATCAGCCGTACATACGAATGGAATCAGACTTTAAGAGCATCATCCAGCCGGCTGGCCGGGGACGTCACGCAACCCGGTCAAGGAATGGCTGTCGAACCTGCCGGACGAAAAAGGTGAAATGCGATGAAACACGACCTGTATGTTGTCGATGCAGTCGACTCGGACTTCTTTGCGATTATGCTCCCCGACCAAAGAGGAAATTTGGACCTCTCAAAATAGTACAGAGGCTAAGTATGAACCTTGCATAGAACCCCCCCTCAAGGGCATGACCTGACGAGTCCAGAATAGATGTCAAGAACGGCGCTTCCGCCTCACAGCATATTACAACGTGGCGCGGCAGTCAGCTCATCCATCTATCTGCGATGCAGACCGCGGCCTGCTCATTGGATCTGAGCTCGATGGACCATGAGGCGATAAGATACTTTCGAAAAACCGTTGCAGCTACACACCACACCAAGAATCCCGATTATTCCGTCTTTGCCATCATCTTTCATATCGCAAAAGATAATGCCATGGTTATGCATCTTATACTTGCCCTGGGCGGCCACGAGATCGAGTTCCGCCGAAATACAATTGCGGCCCGGGCGGATGATTCTGGCCCGGAGAGCCCATTGCGACATTACTGTGCGGGTCTTCGCCTCGTGTCAGAAGCGCTGGAAATGCAGCAGAGAGGCCAAGGGGACCTGGAGGCACTGTTTGCTGCTCAGTACTTGATGCTGATGTATGAGCAAAAGTTTGGCGACTCTCAGGGACTTGGTTTAGCAAACCACCTCAGGGGTGCGGCCTGGGTCACGACGAATCACTGCAAGGAAATAGCTGCTTCTATCGTTGGGGGCTCGGGTACTGGAATCAACGCACAGCCTACCGCTCTGGCAGGGAGAAGGCACGGTCCCGGTCATCGCTCAATTCTTATGGCTCGTCTGCTCATTTGGATCGCTTTGCAGGATGCCGCCGCGTCCTCCTTTGGCCTCGGGGGACAACTCAACCGAGCTCTGCATCAAGCCATGAATAGCCAGGAAGAGGCGCCTTGGGAAAACTTTGAGCGTCTAAACCTCTTTTCCGGTCCGCTTTACAGGATGATGTGGGCTCATGGCTATCCCCAGGCCGAGCTGCTTGATGACATAGAGAACCATCACGTATACGGCTTACTTTGTGCATGTAGTCAGCTGCGCTTCATGGTGGCAGATTGCAGTCGATTAGATGGTCCACATAAGCAGGATCATCTAGCGATCGTCAAGAACGCTATCGAGCATGTAGGTTATCTCTATAATGACCTGCTTCAGGTGGCAGGAGGCCTTTCTATCGAAACGGATAATTCGCACAGGCTGGTAGCTAATATCCGTGGCATCATACCCCACTACTACGCGGTTATCCTCGAGTTCCACCGGCGACATCCGAACCAAATGAGCCCTCATCGCCTACAAGATGCTGTTCAATCAATAATGGATCTTGCGGTCCAGGATTACAAGCACGGCGGCGACGAGTCCATGGTCCGCGTCTCATGGCCGTTATTTGTGACGGCGATGATTACGGACAAACCTCAGCACCAAACTTGGATCCTAGGTCGTCTCCAAAGCATTGGTCGGTTTGGAAAGAACTATGGGCGTGCTGCTAAGTTCCTTGCTAAAATGCTCGAGATGCAAGATAGCTTGGGACGGAAGGTGGACTACGACGATGTTTTGCAATCTACAGGCATGGAGACTTTTGTCATTTGATATCGACCCCAACTGCCGCCAGTAGAGCTAGAGACTTCAACAGCCCTGAAGCTGTGTTTTCGTATATAAATCTAATTCCATATTTGCCTTGTCTGTGAGACCAGCTTTAATACCTGATTGTGTGGTGGAAACGGCAGTGGGCGAAGATCGTTATGATCCTAACACTGGTTCTTAGTATATCAGGTGGGTACAGCTGGTGTCAGGGTCGAGGTGGTTGTCTGTTAGTGGACAAGTGAGGTAGTCAAGCAGTATTCACAAGATATTGGTGAGAAGTGCATATTCAAGTGTAGGGGTGTAGTTGTACTTGAATTGACTACTGGAGAGTCTTGAAAGATAAACTAGATATATGGTAGAACCTGTAGTTTATATAGATGTTTCCCTTACAAATTTCTCCAGAGTGATCGCCGAGTCCCCCCGCGATCACCTTCCCTGATTACTGCGATCGTAGGCGCGATCGCGACGATCACCTGCGGTGATCGTCAACATCCTTTGGCGATTGCTTTTTCTGTTGTCCATCGGGCGGCCGAAAACAGCCGCCCCGCCACTGTCTTTCTGCCGTGTCTTATCGCTTTGGGCCTACATAAAGGTCCGCCCGTGACAATAAAGAGAATTTCAAAATAATATTATATTTATTTTATATAAAAGTTTTTTTTTTTTCTTTTTTTTTTTTTGGGGGGGAAAGGGGGGGGGGGAAAAAAAAAAACAAAAAAAAAAGAAAAAAAAAAAAACCCCAAAAAGAGCCCTGTATCAGTATTTATTGTCACTACCTCCCCGTGTCGGGATTGGGTAATTTGCGCGCCTGCTGCCTTCCTTGGATGTAGTAGCCGTTTCTCAGGCTCCTTCCCCGGAGAAGGAGCCTGAGAAACGGCTACTACATCCAAGGAAGGCAGCAGGCGCGCAAATTACCCAATCCCGACACGGGGAGGTAGTGACAATAAATACTGATACAGGGCTCTTTTGGGTCTTGTAATCGGAATGAGTACAATTTAAATCCCTTAACGAGGAACAATTGGAGGGCAAGTCTGGTGCCAGCAGCCGCGGTAATTCCAGCTCCAATAGCGTATATTAAAGTTGTTGTGGTTAAAAAGCTCGTAGTTGAACCTTGGGCCTGGCTGGCCGGTCCCCCTCACCGGGTGCACTGATCCAGCCGGGCCTTTCCCTCTGTGGAACCCCATGGCCTTCACTGGCCGTGGCGGGGAAACAGGACTTTTACTTTGAAAAAATTAGAGTGCTCCAGGCAGGCCTATGCTCGAATACATTAGCATGGAATAATAGAATAGGACATGTGGTTCTATTTTGTTGGTTTCTAGGACCGCCTAAAATCCTCCCCTTCCCTCTTAGAGTTAATGATGCTATGATAGCTAAGGTTCTATATAAGAAATCCGGCGGCACGTACGAATACAACAGTGGCGCCTCTCACATTACAGGATTTTGGGGGGCGGAGAGATCCGAGATGACCAAGTTTGCCACAAGAGTCACTAGAAGGCCAAAGGAGTCGGCGTAGGCGTACCATCTATCGTCGTGTTCCCCAGCCGCCTCCCTCAGCGCAACGAGATCTCGGTTCTTCAGCATGCCGCACGTTGCATTTGTATTCAGGTGGCCGGCGTAGCCGACGGCCCAGTCCCGCTCGTTCTCGGCATCCCACAGCGCTCGAGGGGACGGCGCAGGGGCGAAGGTGTATTCCGGCATGTTTGGCCCCGGCTCCGATATTCGAGCGTGGAGAATACTATCAATAATGAGGATGACAGTTGCAGCTCTGCAAGCTGAATCATCAGAAAAGAGTTGTATGACTTAGAACCATCAAAGAATACTAGAGACATACCGGCGACGCGATTCGAAAAAGACCCAATCTTTCCACGGAATCATCTCACCATTAAGCTCATCAGAGCTTACAATCATGCCAAAATTTGTCGAGATATGACGACAGACTGCCTTTATTTCTCCTCATTGGTGAATATGTATATTTTAGAAGAAAGGGGTTGCGGGTGTGAATTCTAGCTACTCACCTTGACTGAAATTAAGAGCCGGGAATCGAAGTCGGTATAGTCACGACGCCCCTCATTAATCCTCATTAAGATGTACAGAACGAGGGACTGCAGCGCTTCGAGACTCTCCCACTTGTCGAACTTCGGATGCTTCCAATGATGCCTTTGGTTAGCTACCGGATGCGCAGACCTGAGAGTTGCAGCACGTACATCGTTCAGCAGCCGTTCCTGTTCCATCCGAATCAGCCTCCATATAAGAGCCTTGTTCACTCCGCGACCAAGAACCAGCATCTTGGCTAAATTCGTAGCAGCAGAGAGTGAACTCGGACGACTTGTACCGACGGGTATCAAATCCTGATACATTGTATGGATGAAAGGGGGAGGGGAGTCCCCATCAGCCATCATGTAAAGGTAGGAACGTAGAATATGCAGAGCAAGATCACCCGTAGCCTCAAGTTCCATTTGGGAGAAATGGCGGCGTTCAAGTGTTGAAGAAGGGTCTTTGTAAGATAGCGATACCGGGATCGATGGAGACGGCTGTCGTAAATGCCTGGAACCCGTTGTATGATCGGGAACACCTTGGGTTTCGTCGCTCACGGTACTGTCTTCTGTATGAACAACCAGATGATGTTCTCCATCCGGAAGCGTCAGTAGGTCTAGGACATCTGGAACTAGAGTCCATGAAGCCTCATTGTCCCAAGTAGAGGCCGTGGGTGGGAGCTGGTCGTTTCCCGATATTGTATCGATCAAAGGAGTGGCAACAAAGAGCCCAATCTCATCCAGAGACAGGTTCTGGTTGTCTACAGCAGATGAACCGATAGGCTCCGGCGTTTTGCCCTGCGAAACGGTGATTCCAGAGGAAGCAGGGGTTGGATCGCTAAAGTCCAGGCTGTGCGAGAGACGACCCGGGTAAGTACAGGGGTTGCCTCTGGAGAGGCATCGAGAGCAGCCTGCAGGATCAAAGCTGCAGCGAACCTTGGCCCGGACGCATTCATCACAAGCTTTCCTTCGAGACACTGAAGTCGACAGATTTTTCTTGCGACAATAGGAGATGTGCTTGCTCCTAGCTCGTCCTGCGCGACGTCAGCCGGTGTCAAATAGCTTTGCTGGCAGTTGCATACGGTTGCTCCAATTCGTATAAGGCTTTTGGCAAAAGGGGCAGCGTCGATCGATTGGCTCGGGGACTGGCACCTCCATTTTGGGCAAGATCGAATTCGCGGAGTTTGATAGTAGGCCTTCGGATTCGAATAGACTCGGATAGGTGTTGGACTATTGATCCAAGGTCTTTTCTTCGAGCCAATGGTATGTGTATGGAAAAAAGGGAAAACAATAATAGGAAGCTCCGTTCTGTCTCGACTTCGTCCGAAGTACTTCGTATGCATCAAGATGTCCAACGGAATTCCGTCGGCTTGGAGCTGGGGCGCACCCCACCCCTATTGTCATATTGTCAGAGCGGTTGGCCCCTAAAATATTAGGCTAAAACTGACTAGCCCCAAAATAGGAAAAGTGGGCCAGCCTCTTTGTTGTCCTTACCCCACGCGCACATGTCAAACTGGAACATCCCAATCTTGATTAGTAATACAAGGAACCTTAACTCGCACTCTGACGAATCAAAGACCAAGGGCCTACTTCGTAGCTCGCCCGTATACGAACCCCGGTTTACCTGAGAAGGCGTAGAAAAGCTCAATGGTTCTCCTAGCGTATTTCACCACATATTTGAGCATTCCACCCGTTGAGTCGGTTCGTGCTGCAAAGTTGCTGAAAGCTTCCGGTAGGCCGCTTTCAAGCAGGGTTGTGGAGCTTGTGGAGCACTAGCAGGTGCCAGAGCACGTTTACAAGAAGACCACACGCCAACCAGCCCCCATATTCATTCTACAGCTAATCATATGGATCGAAATATAAGGGAGGGAAGCACTGCATTCACCTGTGGGCTGGGATAGTTAAACATGATCGATGCTACTTGCAGTCTGCCGAGACCACAGCTGCGCTTTAGGTATGTCTCAAGCGCAGTTGGTTCTCCAATGCGTAAAAGAAAGAAAGAGAAGCTAAGGGGAACTAGATGGTAGCGCAACGAAACACAACCATGTACTTGGAATGAATAACAATGGGTTTCATCTAAAGTTTCTTCTCAAACATCTATTCCACCCCAGCCCATAAAGGACACCCCCCAAAGGCCAGTGTTGAGTAAATCAGTGCCCATGATCTCTTCCTTCCTGGCCTTCAGTTCATCTACATCCCAGTTCACCCATACGAATTTTCCTCTAAGGAACTTGGCTTCCTGGCTAGCCAGCCACACGCAAAAGCGACCGGGCAGTTCGACTACAGCATACTCGATTAGTCTTGTATCATGCGATGTCCAAAGCCAGCACCCGAATGGGTGAGCTAGGGAAATACTAACCATCATCTAGACCTCCATGACCGCTCTTACGACTCATGGCACTTTCGATAAGACCAGGGTGGACGTTTACCACATGGATGTCGGGATTCTCCATGGCCATGTAGTCAAATAGCTTGTTCGCAGCCGCCTTGCTTGCAGCGTAGGCGGAGATGCCGACCTCCAGCGGCGGAATGTGAGAAATGCACGTAGAGATATGCAGGAGACAGGCTCCTTCAGCCGCGTATTTGACGAACCCCTTCACAGAGTGTAGCACCCCGAGGACATTGGTGCTGAACGTAGTCCACCAGTCCTGAATGTCGAAATCGGGGGCGAGCAATGGCTTGGGTATCGGCAGGAACCCTGCATTGCTGACGAACACGTGAATCTTGCCGAAAGCTTGGTTGATCTTGTCGAAGCCTTCATCGACCTGCGCCGTGCTAGTGATGTCCGCGACCACAGCCAGGACCTCTACCTCGGGAAACTCTGCTTCGATGGCCTGCTTGGTCATGATGAGGTTCTTCTGAGTGCGACTCATGATAGCTATCTTAGTACTCCCAGCGGCCGCAAAGGCCTTCGCGATGCTGGCACCAATGCCAGTACCGCCACCGGTGATAACGACAGTTTTGCCTTTCGCCGAGAGCTCCGAGCGCGAGGGTGAGATGGCAGGGTACGGTTTGCTGTGCCATACTTTGGTAAGGGAGGGGAAAGGTGAAGTAGCCATGTCTGACGGCGAGTCGAATGTTGAATGTTGGTTGGATAGAGTCGGTGTCGTAGAGAGAGAGAATTGTATTGAGCTTGAGTTGTAGGGATGCAGTGATTATAGAAAAAGTAACAAGACATACTGAAATAATCACTTCCCTCTATATACTTTGTCCGAGTAGGACATCTCCGGATAGGTTCGTTAGAGAGTCCGAGAAGTAAGAGATTCTCGGAGTTGTCTAATAAGACTACTCCGAGAGTTTATACACATCAAACGAAACCAATTGCCATATAGCTGCTGTTTCCTTGCCCCAAACTTCGGCACGGTCGAGGAGACTAGTGATTTCATGAACAGCGATAAGTTTGCGGAAAATCCCAATTAGTTCTGAACTCTCAGTAAGAAGACAACATCTGCGACATTTGTGACAGCCGTGATGCTTTCTCCCAGAGTTGGTCTACAATGAGTGATCAACCTGTGTAGGATAAGACGAAACAAAAGCTACTAGATCCTAATACACACCAATCGATGAGTGAAGGAATAGCAGCTTGGAAGACTCGGGATCAATATATATATTAAGTTAATTTTATTAATTAATATATTATTATATAATATTAGTTATTGACGACGCTCATCAACTTAAGACCTTACGTGCCCTTCTACCCACGGTCCAACATCTAGACCCTACGAGCATGGGGCTAGGCCGCCTCTACTACTGGCGGAATAATAACAGCTTAAACTTCCTTTGCAACGAGTGTCAATATAATCCACAGCAAGGGCAGAGCCGATAACTGATTAAGAGGTGTGGCCTCTCTGGACAGAGGAACGACAGCTTCCACTATTATTGAACTACATTATATCCGCCACAACCCGACATAACTTTTTTTAACAAAATCGATCGCGAAGCGGCGACCAGTAATCCAAGGCTCCAAATATTTTATAAAATAAATTAAATATTACATCAAATTTAATATATAATGGAAGCGAAAACATCTCATGTCAACACCTACTCATGACTGCACTCCTCTGGGTAAATTAGGCAACCAACACCTGCTTCTCCCTCTTGATCTTCTCGACAAACTCAATAGGAACGTTGAGAGTCTGGGCGACAATGTCGGCGGGAGTGAGGGCGAGCCATTGGCCAAGGGCGATGTCCGCCACGCGGTCCGATTTGTAGATCTCGATCCAGATGAGGTCTTCAGTGTCAGAGGTGTTCTCGATGTAGTGGCTAGTCACAAGTTAGCTTAAAATTCACACATCCCTGTATGCTGGCAGGTAAGGTGACTCACCCCGAGTTGTCGGGGAAAGCAGCAGTATCGCCAGCGTGGAAGTCAAAAGTCCTCGCGTTGCCGTTGCCGTTGAAAACAGTAGCACGAGCTTCGCCCTGGTGGAAGTACAGCCACTCTTCGGCCTGAGAAATGTCACACGTCAGTTCAACCTCTTCATTTTAAAGTATATTGATATGCGAATGGCTCACATTAGGGTGCCAATGAAGCTCCCTCAAACCACCCGGCTTGAGAGTGACGAAGGTCGCCGCAATAGTTTTGCTGATAGGGAAGTTGGTCGAGTCGATCTTGTAGAAAGTGCCGCCATTTCCAGGAACGGGTTCAGGGTCATGCTGGAGCGTCTTATAGACAAAGGAGTGGTCGCCGGTGGCGGCACCCTCAGACGTAACGGTGCGGTTGCTAACGGTGCCCTTCTGGATGTTTGGGTTAGGCTTGGGAATATCGTCAAATACGGATTCTGGGACGCCAAAGTTCTTGGCGAGGACATCCTTGGGAGTGTGAGAGAGCCAGTCGTCAATGTTGAAGGTGACACTAAAATCATCTCATTAGCGTATGGTGCCTACATGAATATCGTGTCTTTTCTTGTCTTCGCCTTACCCTGCGTTGTCGAACTCGGGGTTATCAAAGACCAGCAGAAACTCGTTCTTGTCTTCGAGACCCTGGACCGTATGGGCAGTGCCCTTAGGGAAGTACCAGATATCACCGTAGTTAAGTGTTTCCTCCTGGTGGACGCCGTACTCATCGACAGCGGAGATGAGGACTGAGCCAGCATACACGAAACCCCATTCAGCCTAGGACAGTCCACGTGTCAGCAGCCCAACGACTAGCGGTAAAATCCCAGTTCGAAGGAAGGTAACAATAGATTATAATCATGATCATAAAACTCACATTCTTATGCCAGTGGAGCTCGCGGATGGTACCCTTGGAAAGGTGCTGCTGAGCCGCCGCGATATCGTGGCTTTGCGGAAGGTCTTGGATCACTTGGGTGCGCAGCCAACCACCTGGATAGTTCCTGGACTTGGAGTCGGAGAACCTCCATTTGAGGTTTGGCACGAGACCACCATCGGTGGCTTGCTGACCTAAGTTGTCTGGGTTCGACTTGTCGATATACTCATCAGTGCCGCCTATATCACGCTTGTTAGTGAAACAGCCATTTAAGTAGAGACGTTTACCCCAGGTGCCAGATGAACTCACCGACGAGTGGTGCTCCCTTCCCATGGCCAATTGGCTGGCCATCCTCAAACTGGGGCACCTGGTCATCGACGGTACGCTTGTTCACGATCTGCGCACCAGGAAGGGCAGAAGCACCAGCTACGAGGAGCAGGAGTCCACCGAGAATCTTGGAGCACATCACCATTGTGTCGAGGGCAGAAAGTCCAGCAATGAAGGAATGAAGAGTGGGACGTTCTAGAAGACGCAAGGAAGAAGGTGAGGGGAAACGGTTCCAACGTTTACCTCGTGGACATCCGGTGTTTTATGTACATTTGCTAGCCCGCTACCAAGAACGCTACATGTGAACATCACGGACATTTATCCCCCGTCTCGCGATCAGCGCGGTAAACATCGCGTTCGCCCACACATGATTAATCCGCCCAGTAAGAGCGCGACATGCTCCTTATTTCGCTATAATATTACTCACGGATACTTTCTCGGTTCTATTCACCCCACGCGAGCAGCGGCCGTCGAAAATTGAAATCAACGGTTCGTCATTGACACACCTAATGACGCTCGGGGTTTCTCCGCGCAAGTATCTGTTTTCGTTGATGATTTTTACCTGCGACTTTTTTTTCCTCTTGTCTGCAGGCCCCAGTACCTGTAGAACAAGCTTACATTTCCAGAGTCGCAAATATCCGAAAAGATGTAACGCAAAGGGTCAAGGACTGCGAGGATTAGGATTAGGATGCCTGCGTATGGTGTGGGTGGTCATTTACCGTGCCGCCGAGCCCTAAAATGGACACCATCTTGCGGATCCCTTATTCCTCATTAGGCCGGCAGTAGGAAACAATTAAGCTTTTGCTCGTGGATCGACGCTCGTGATTCCCGAATCGTGAAGCCCTGGCGCGGCAATCCGGCACAATCTCGAGGTGGCTGAAAGCCACATTACCTCCCAGATCGAGTTAGGCTCCCGCAACCGTAGACGCCGGTGCCCGCAACAGTCGCCGTCTGGAGTGGGGGGCCAAGGCCGGTGTGGCCCGGACCCGCGGTGGGGGAGGACTCGGAGTTGACAGGGGTGATTTCGACATCGGGGCTGAAATAACGTGATGCAGCGGGATCGACACAACGACAGAACAACCCTTCCCAAAGAGCAGAGTAAGAGGCAGACAGGTTCGAATGGGAATTACGCTTCAATTGTAATAGGCGGTTTTGTCTGTTGTGATTCCCCAAGTTGGTGTCTTTCCCCACAAATTCCTGACTTTTGACAGGCTCGCGTGCTTGTCTTTCGTCCCCCTTTTTTTCTCTAATAGCATAGCAAGGTGAAATTCCCCAGCCATTTGGTTTTGCTTTAACTCAAATAAATTGAATCCTGGAGGGTTGGATAGTTAAGGGGCGATCCATAATCCCGGAATCGCAAAACGTGGAAACCATGACGATCACATCCCCTCTTCCCCCTCCCCCTCCTCCACGTCTGAAAGAGGCGCCTTCTGGTGGCTCCTTGATTAAGCTGATAACTGGCAATTTGTCATATTCCTTGTCCTTTCCGAAGCTGCCGCCATGTAAGCCCGGCTCCGAGACCAAGTCTGAGCGTCAGGCCCCCATTCTTAGGCACACTAGCCCTTGATTTCCTGGTCGAATTCTTTTAAACTAGAGTTATATTTCGCCGAAGCCATTATCCTGGTATTCCCATTCAAGTTTTCCATCTCCCAGATCTAGTTCAGGATCGGCATGCATGTCGGAAACGTCATCGAGGCGCCCTGGCTTGAAATCTCCCGCTAGTCTGAATGCTGCGAGTCTAAGAGCCCGCAGCTATCCTTAGCGTCAAGCCCCTCTCGACACGCCCAATGGAAAACCAGGTCGTGACGGATGTGCCGGTTGACCAGATGCAACGCTTCCCCACCTCTCGGCTAGCCGAGTTCTCGAATGCCTTGACGTAGCCGTATCCTTCGAGGACTTCTAGATCTGCCGTCGCATTGAGGCTCTTCATCTCGGTCCCTTTCTGTCTTACCCCTGACATCAACCTAATGCAACTCCCCAGACTCTAGGAACTGATCGACGCTGTCGACATCGATTAGGCCCAAGTCTGGAAGCGTAAAGAAGGGCGAGCTCACCGCCGCATTGGCTGAACCGAGCGTATGGTTGTTGATCATTGCCTTGTAGACCTTTCCTTCTGTCATCCCGTCTTTTGTTCAGCTCACGATGCCATCTTGGTCATCTTGTCCATCATCATTTCACCCCCACAGCCGAGCGCCCGCCATGATGCTGTTGATGGTGATGCCTGCTGCCCTTTCCTCTGGATCGCGAACTGAGAAGCCTCGATGATGCCATCACCGCTTGCCAGCATGGCCGAAAAAAAGTTCGTGATGAGTTCCCCTGCTGTGCCTCAATAGTTCGGGGGGCACTACGGCCAAACCTTCGGCGTAAGAATTAGGGGCGACGGGGAGAAAGTGCCCGGAGAGGAGGTGGGTGCGCAATCGAGGAGGTTGAGGAGGAAAATCTAAGTCGGAGATGGATGGAATCGAGGGCGATCTCTTTGACTATAAGAAGTCTGTCAAACTGCCTCAAACATGCTCAAAATCTTCTCTCATCATCATCAGCATCTCATCCAACCTTCTCATCGGCTCTCACATCTTATCAGCCACTTCTTCATAAGATCTTGTGCCCCTTCGCAGCCACTCTAATCTCATAATGTCTGCTGTCATCTCTTCCGCCATCTTGGCGGCGCTCCTGACTTGCCCAGTAGTCGCCTCGCCACTGGACCTCAGCATTCCTGGCGGTCTCATCCCTGCCATCCCCGGCGTCACTGAACCGTTGGCCGGTATTGCCCCTCCCCTGCCTGTTCTCCAGGTTCCGACCCCCGCTCTCCCCAGCGAGCCCTTCACTGCCTCGAACCTCAAGCCGAAGAAGATTGGATACTTCTGGACTGGTGCTGGTGACAACAAGCACAAGGACTTCCTCGTCGCCACCAGTCTCGATGATGTAAGTCATTCTTTTTCCTCTCCTCGATGCTAAAAACTTGATACTTATTGGCTCGCCAGGATACCTTCGGTACCATCATTGATATCGCGGATGTCCCCACCAGCGGCAACTCGCCCCACCATCTCAGCCCATCCCTCGATGGCAAGACTCTTGCTGGCGGCGGCCTGTTGTCTCTCCTCAAGACTCAGGATACGGCGTTCTACTTTGACGTCTCGAACCCGTACCGTCCCAAGTTCTTGAAGAGCAACAGGGGTATTCTCAGCTCCATCGTGGATGAGATCCGCGCCAAGCCCGACGGGTAAGCTGGCAGTCCTCTCTTTCTCCCTGATGTCTCTTTCCATAATATAGGAAGTGAAATAACTAATCTCTTGCTTCAGTGGTTTCTTCATCACCTACATGGGTAGTGCCGTCGGTACTTCTCCCGGCCGTCTCGTCGAGACTGATGCCAACTTCAACATCATCCACGAGTGGCCCGAGGATGTCGAGGGCACTCTCAACATTCTCGGCGAGCAGTTCTCGCCCCACGGTCTCACCATCGACTTCGAGAAGGATCTTATCCTGACCTCGGATTTCGTTGTCCCGCTTAGCATCCTCAAGCCTAGCTTGGGCACTAAGTATGCTAATACTCTTCGTCTCTGGAACCTCTCTACTCGCAAGATTCTGTCTACCATCACCATCCCCAACGTATGCCTCCCCACTCTCCATGAACACAAGATTACAGAACCTGGTGCTGACTAACTGCAATGTAGGGTGGCGGTATCCAAGATGTCAAATTCATCCCCGGCAACCCCGAAAGCGCTGCGCTCGCTACGTAAGTCGCAGCTCTCCCTTCCCCCAAAACTACCCAACTAACACAGGATGGCAGTGCTGTTGAACCCGGTCAAGTCTGGATCATCTACCCCTTCCGAACTGGTCCCGATGGCAAGCCCGGTGTCGCTGAGCTCCTCTACGACCTCGGCGAAAAGGCCAAGAACTCCATCGCCATCTACTCCGACATCACCGACGACGGCAAGTACGCCTACTTCACGATCACGCTTGGCAACCACGTCGCGGCGCTCGACATCTCGGACCTCAACAACGTGAAGCGTCTCGATAACCCTGATGAGCAGCAGCCCATCATTGGACCCCACTACGTCAAGATCTCCCCCGATAAGAAGAACCTTCTCGTCACCGGCTACTTCGTCCAGGGTGGTTCCGTATGCGTCCCTCCAATAGCCCCTTTTTCAAGTCTTTCCGACGCTAATGAAATTTCTCTTTTCTAGATCTCCATCTTCAACACTCCTGGCGACTACAAGGCGCACTGGATCGATATCCTCGACGACGGCAGCCTCAGCTTCAACAGGACCATCGACTTCGAGAGCATCTTCACCCGCGACCGTGGTGGTGCTCGCCCTCACTCTTCCGTCATCTTCGACTTGACTGATCCCGAGAACCCCAAGTACTACTAAAGAATTCCAGGATTTCCGGCGGCGGTTTCTACCATATAGTTTGGAGAGGAAGGAGTTGATCATGGGCGGAGGAGGCTGTTGATAGAAGATATTGGCTGGGGTATTTTCTGGTTCTTTCAGAACTACATTCTTTTACGGAGTATAGAGCTCTATTTTCTTAATTTTAATTTTTAATTGCTTTCAAGACTTTCCATTTTAGCGTGATCTGACTGGTCAGGCCTGCCTATGTTAAATAACGCCAGTCACTCAGTAAGTCTCTCTTGCAGAAGTGATCGAGTTTATATAGTGGCATTCTTTTCAAGATATGTCTAGGAAAGGTGAGGGTGATGAACAGGAATGCCAAACGTGGTGAGGTTACAGAATACTGCCCATGGAATGAATTACCAGGAAACATAGCATAAAGGTACAATGCTGATTATAGCAAGTCGACAAGGCTGAATACGGTTTCCACATTGATCGTCCTGCTCCAAGCAGGCCTCTCTTTGCTACACTCTCCAGACACATCAACTCTAAGTTTCCAGAACTGGAGGTTGAAGTTAGAGTGATATCCAATTAATTGTCTCTTTGACTGTACTATAAAGAAAGTCTACATGTTGGTGCGAATATTTCAATTCTGGTTGTGATCCAGTACTAATAAAGCCCACCAGGGTGCTCCTTCCTTTCAAGAATCCATGAGTTATACCTTCCACATCTGCTTTCCTTCCTCCTTCCACCAGTGATTAGGGCTTTCTCTAGTTCTGATTTTTTTTTTTTTTTTTTTTTTTTTTTTTTTTTGATTTGATTTCTTTTCTATCTAAGAAACAAAGGCTTCCTCAGTTTGTCCTTTTCCTCCTACACATCTTTTCTCATCTTTGACTATAAACACATCGCACCGTTGTCTACAAACCACACCCCTCATTTTCTACGATATCATGAGAGTTCCGAGGTTCTCGGCTGTGGTCACCCACCTCCCTCTCGTCTGTGCCTGGAGACTGTTTAACTCTGAACGTACGTGAAACTGCCCCGGCAAGGCCCGGTCCGTTCCAGCGCGGCCAGAATTGAAACTAGAGACTCGAAAGCGGAAGAACCGAGAGTTCAGGCTAACATTATATTTGTCTCCATTGTAGCCGCAGCCAAGCAGCCCGTCGTACCGAACCAGATCCTCGATGCAATCGATAGCTCGTCTTTCGTTCCAAACGTTTCTCTCAACGTTGCCGGCATTAAGCTCTATCCTGCTGCTCCGAATGATGGAAAATGGATCTTCACTGTCGCCAATGGCGACATCTGTTCCTTGCAGTACGGTTCTGTGTGCTGCAACAGTGATTGCATTGATGTTCCAGACACGACGTCGAAGGTTCGTCTCGGAAACACTGAGGTCTCCTTCGAGCCACTCCCAGCGCAATCTTTTCCGGGCACCGAGACAATCAATCTAGCCTCTTTCCAAAGCCTGCTCGGCGATTTCAACTCGGACATCCTTGACAATCTCAATAAGGCGGTAGCCAAGATGTTCGACTTCGCCCTTTCCGTCATTGCCCGCTCTGCTTCGGAGGACCAATCTCGGAATGGCACAAAGCAGCTGGACCACGCGGATGCTCTTTCGGAGGCCATCGCCGCTATCGATCGGATTCTCCCCGCAGGTGACCAGACCACTCCTGCTGGCTCCAAGTCTCTCCCTCGATGGGATCAGCTCATGGATCGACTGATCCTTCAAATGGGCCAACGAAACAAGAAGAGATCTTCTAATTCTCCTAGCCTGTTCAACCCATCTGCTGTCCGTGCCATGACAAACCGCTTGCAGTGGTTCAAATCGCTAGATACTCATCTAACCACCAGAGACGTCAGCGGTCCCTCTAAAGATCTCCAGGTCGCGGCCGGCCTGGTCCTGTACGACCTTGGAGCCGATGCTGAGTTTTTGGGGCCTCCCATTTCTCAATTCAATTTAACCAGCCAGGGATCCATCCTTACCGGCATGGAAGCTTTTGCCAACCAGACGGATTTTCACAACAGGTTGTCGTCCAATGATAATGTCACGACGCAGCATCTCGGCCGAGACATGCGATCGTCCCTCATCGTCTTGGAAGACGATACTTCCCCAGCCCTCGTAAACACATTTTACCACACTCTTGATCGCGCTAATGGTCGTCAATACGATGGTGTCATGGGGTATTTATACCACACGAACCTCTCGCGTCGCCATCGGGCCCTGGTAAGGAACATGGGTTCAGTTTCCCACATCTACGAACAGGAGCTGGCAGAGGACGTCATTCCAATCCGAAAATACCCCCTTCCTCCGGGTGAAAAATTTACCACAACTAAGCCTGGCAAGAAATCCCGCCCCAAGGCGCCTCGTGGAAAGCCCGATCGCCAAGGACCTCCCCGCAACCGGAAGTTAAAGTCTCGGATGCCCCCTGATCCTTTGGAGCCTCAACCCGACGACGAGAACGAAGTTGCAACGCAGCTCGAGGCCCCGATACAGTTGAGAAGAGTCTCCGAGAAGCGCGGGGGGCCACCGGTCAATGAGCAGGACTACAAATTCCACGAGTCTGCTGGCGGCGATGATATCATTGTTTTTGTTGCGGATAGCGGCCTCGCCCATGACAAACTCAGGGTTCGAGTAAGTTGTTGTTTCCCGAACCTCCTCCTCTCTCCCTCCCCTGGTTAAGATACCCCGTCCCTTTACCCATAAAACACCGACACACACACACACGCACATATATATAGCAAGACTGACCTGACTTGAACTTCTAGGAAGAGCTTGACCTCCCGAACACTGGCTACGAAACCTACATCTGGGAGACGCCTCTCGAAGGGTGTGTGCCTCCTGACGTGAATCCAGCTCACATCGTCAATGCCCCCGATGTGTGTCTAAACTACCAGAACGAAGGCCACGGCACCCCCGCCGCAGCACTTGCAGTCGGTTCCGAGTTCGGCATCGCAAAGAAGTCGACCATCTTCAGCCTCAAGGTGATGTGTGCGTGGTACGAACCAGAGGAGCATAATGAGGACCTGGTTGTTATGCAGGCGACTACCCCAACTGCTATGCTCCTTGCATTTCAACGAATCGGTGAGATTGTTCGGGGGAACAATCTTGCAGCCAAGGCCGTTGTCGTTTTGCCACAGGGTAAGTTTAGAGTCATCTCATCCCCTCTTAGTCTCCTCTTGGTGAAAAAGAAACAGTTAATAAACAAGACCATAATGTTGGACTAACTATACATCTTCATCCAACACAGCGATCACCGCCGAGCCCGGTACCCAGTACGATCGAAACCTCGAAACTGCGTGGCGGAGGATCCTCACAATGACCCGCGAAGAAGGCATTGTCGTCGTCGGCACTCCTGGCAGTTTCGCCGTTGAATGGGTTCTTGGCGAGAACGGAAATTGCGTCTGGAGCGATGTCCCAAAAGCTACTTGGAACCGATATCCCGAGATCATGCAGGTACAGTTCCCGGAGATCGTCATCGGGGCATCTACCACTCCCAGAGGGGCTTTCGCTCACCTGAACTCTCCGCACATGAGGGAATGGTCGGGAGAGTGGGTGTATGCTCAGGGATGGGGCATCCTGTCGATGGATGCGGACGGGGATGATAAGCTTCTCGAGGGGGACGGGTTCGGTGCCCCTATAGTGGTAAGTCCTTTCCCCATCCGTGCTAAGTGCTTTTGCTTCATTACCTTCTTTTTCTTTTCTCGATAAGACCCCAAACTAATTCTCTATTTTCCTCATCACAAGGCCGGCTTAGCAGCATACTTCCTTGGACACCCGAGCTATCGTTCCCACATTTGGGATGGTATAAACAAGCAAGTCGTTGCCCCCAGAATCAAGAGGCTCCTGAGGCTGGCGGCCTGGGAACGCCTCCCCAACGGCGACCTTAAAACTCGACTTGGCTTCGTCGGACCCGTCGGACAATGCAACAATCTAGATGAGATGTACGACACGTACCCCTACGATGTCCCTGAGTGGATTCCAATGGTGTATAATGGCGTCCACGGTTACCAGGGCGGTAAGATCTCCTTTTCTTTTTCTCCCCCGTGCTTTAGAAAAGAAAGCCCAAGCCCAAGAAAGCAGGGAACCTAGGCTAATATGTGTTGCATCTCCTCTTCGCATCTAGACTGTATCAGGGAAACCACCCGCAGGGCTAAACGCAGCCCCCAGGACGAGGGCGAAGTTCCCGACCCGAATGATCCCTTCGGCGGCGACGACCTCGTTTGCAAGAGACGACCGGGTAACGCCACGGCCACGACTACGTCGACGGCTCCCTTGCCGCCCAGCACGCAGCTCCCCGACTGGGAAGACATCGGATGCTTCGATAACACCGCGGAGGGGCTCGACGCTGTCCAGGGGCAACCCATCAATGACCCCCAGCTGAGCTTGGAAGGGTGCGCGCGACATTGCCCTTGCGCTAACATGTTTGGTGTGCGAAATGGCAATGAGTGTTTCTGCATCCAGGAGCAGATTCATATCGTAGCTGGTGTCGTGGATGGAGCGCAGTGTAATGTTCCTTGCGGTGGGAATGGGCAGCAGATGTGTGGTGGGCAGTCTGCGACGAGGCTGTATCTGAATCTCGTGGGGTTTACGGCGGAGGACCAGGCCGAGGAGAGATGTAAGGCCGGATAGAGGTCATCAATGGGTCTGTGAGTTGTCTATTGTCTACGATTCTTGCGGTCCAGCAAGGGTAACGACACTTCTCACGTGGACGTAAGATATCTACGATCGAACGGACGTTGATTTTAAGTTAAGCAACATCTTTTTCTGTTTTTCTTTTCCCCGGCTTGAGACGCTTCAGAGACTCTGGTGGTGTCTCATCCAAAAATATCCCAGAATGAGACAGGTGGAGAGAGGTGGGAGGATATGAATTGAGACAAGACAGTAATGATATTGCCTCTTTCCCCATTTCCTGTTTGCCAATTAATCCAAACAAGCGGAAGGTGACATCGTGAAACTGCATCGTACACCATCACACTACACTAGGCTCAAGCCTACCCGGGTATAACTCTGAACGAGGCGGTCCTTTTGCGCGTGCTTGGCTGTACGCTGGACATTTATCCATCTTGGCCAAACCATGGCATCATCGCGGTTCCGCCATCGAGCTCACCAACACGCGAGCTTAAGGCCGGGAAGAGGAGGCGAGGGGTCGGGAGGAAAAGATTGTCCGGTGGTCGAATGCGACGTTGTAATTCCGCTTCACTGGATACGACGGGACGGGCGGGCACGAGAAAAAAAATTGGGAGAATTTGGTATTACATGTAGGGAGCAGTGATGCCACGTATTGAACCGGACCGAGAATCTGGGACTGGGGATCCATTCTCCTTCGCCTGTGTGAGGAGCTCGTCCACCTCCATCCTCTGGGTATCGGGGAATCTGTTTACGAAGTAGTCGATTGTCCATGAGAGCAATTTCCTCCTTCGGACTGTTCAATGCCCACGACTGTTGGTTGAGACTGGTAAGCAAGAGCAGCAAAAGGAGTCGCCGAGCAGCCGAGGCATCGATTGATCTCGTATCCCTTTTCTCAGGGTGTCTAGTGTCCACTATCAAGCAAAGGGGCTGGACCATCTTGACTCAAGTATCTTGTTGGCACTGCATCCAAGGTAATTTACTAATATGTACGGAATAATGGAAGAAAAATACGAAGTTGAAGAAAACCAGGTTCATTAGACTCCACGGAGCCCACAATACTCTTCCGGGGAGAGAGTAATACTTGCAAATCCCGTTTCCGCGTCTTGTGCAACAAGTGTAACTATCGGTCACTGAAACTGCTTGCTTAGGCGCCCTCAATTTGGCGATGTGATTATTCGAGGGCGGAAGTTTTGTAGCCATTGACCCTCGAGACAAAGAGGAAAGACGCCACTGCCGAGCATAATCAAGCAGATCCGGGGACATAAATGCACCGAGATGGATAAACAGGTAAAGGTAAAGGTGAAGGAAGGGTGAGTCATGGGTGCGACTTGGTCCATCTTCCCGCCGAAGGATCCACTCTCACTCTCATGGACCCCAGGAACCAGCAAGAGTGAGGCCATCTTCGTGTTGGTTGAGGATGGAAAATCCCACCAACGACAGCTTACGAAGTAGTTTACGAAGTAGTGTAGCTGGGAGGTGTCCGCTTGGAAATGCGCCCAGAAGACGAGGGTGGATTCACTGCAGGCACCGCGTTGTGATGGGCCTGGTATTCTCAAAGGGGAAAGTGGCGTCGGTTAAATATAGCTGTTCCCCTGTCCTGGGCGCATAACACCTAAGCTTGATAGGGCAAAGCGTTGAGGGGCGAGCTGAAATTAACAGATCCACACTGGACGAAGTATTGGATCGATGGGAGCTGGAAGGAAGTGGAGGAATCTGGGTTCGGTGGGGAAACACGGTTGCTTTACATGTACGAAGTCGACATGGGACAACTTCATCGGGTTGATTATCCGTTAGGGGGAATGGAATGCCTCGTTCGGGTGCTCCGGAGAGCCCCTGCCCCTTTTACTTACACCTACGGAGCAAACTACATCGTGAGCGTTGTCACCGGAAGGCAACATTCTCTTCCAGCTTGTCTGCCTGAGATACCCAACGAACTGGTAGAGCAACCCGATCTTCACAATTGCCAGCGAGGACAACATTCTCCGTAGAGCCTAGGTCTGTGGGGGACTTAAAGAACTTGCATTCAGCATGAGCAAATACTCGGTCGATAGTTTCGTTAGCACAGGAGTGTACTTCGTGGCGGGGTGTAAACTGACTGCTCGGAAGCAAGATTCAGAGTCCCGCCTTGGCCTGGCTAGCTTCCTTCCTCTGATGTGTGACATTGATCAACAATAGTTTCTTTCCTGCTCCTTGGTGCATTGGGCACTCCGGAGTTTAGTGTAGCGTATTATACTCCGGACTATTAGTTTAGAAGACCACTTCATCCTTCACAGCCGACCCCGTAATTAAGGCCAGGGAAACCAGGAAGCCGGATCAATCGATGTCTTTTTGAGTCTGTCGTCGGTCACCAAATCTAGACAGACGCAAAAATGGACAGAGATGAGATTGATTAATTGATCAAATCCGATGATGCAAATGGCGCATGGGAAGCCAAAAGCAGGACCACGTGCTGAGCCCCGTCAACTCGTGGCGGCAGCTGCTTCTTGTGGCAGTGGATTTGTTTGTGCAACTGAGGCCGGATGCACAATTCCGCACATTGGGAGCATAAAAAATTCCCCAGGGCTCAGTCCAGGTTAAACTTGAGCCTTTGTGCAAAGGTACCTCTCAAGCCCTATCAATGGGAGGAAGGAACGGTCACTGTCACCTGAGTAGGCCTGGCAAAGGTATTGGTTCCCCTGAACGCCACCTCATCTCCCATTTCTCGGTGTCATTGGCTGGTAGCGCAGGGCTACCGCGCTGATGTGGACTGTGCGCTTCTAGAATGTGGTACCGCTACTGGAGCGTACGAAGTACTCTTCGCTTCTTCGCTGCAATCCTTCAACGCTTGACTGCGGTCGTCGTACGCTTTCCCTCATCAATTTGAGATATCGTGGATCTCAAGGATCGAGTCGCTGCTCCCAATATATGGAGATGAAGAGGCCAAGAAGATCGAAGAAGATCGGCGAGGTGTCAAGCCATTTGCGGCTATTTGCCGAGGTTCACTAAACATAGTGTGATTTGATGTTAATCCCAAGTGAATGCTACTTCGTACAGACAAGGCTGGAAGTACTTCGGACGAAGGATACAAGCATGGCAGACTGTGAAGTACTACATTCAAAATGAGGACACCTTTTTCTCGACTCAACTCGCTCCCCGGCATCCCCTCGCCTGGCAACCTCTAGGAACGGCGATTCCCCTGATGATCTATTTTCCATCCCATCTCATTTCACGCGGTCTGGCCTCATCATTCGCCAGCTCTCGGCGGATCACTCCACACGCAGCCATCCCGACCCGCGGAGTGGAACCCTGTGCCTGGCCTGTCCATTGTTCAGTAATACGTCGTATTATTTCTGATTATTTTCGACCATCCTTCCACATCCTTCCAGGCATCGCTCGCAGGAATGTGGTCTCCACGGACAAAATGTGATTACTTGTTCGTATTCTTCGAATTGAGGCAGTATTTTTGTGGGTTTTATTTCCCCTGCATCCTGAGAATTACCAGCATGTGGCTTAACCAGAAGTAAACTAATCAAGCACCGAGGCAGATACGACAACATCAATCAATTAATCAATTAGAATAATCTGGAAAATACGAAATGGAGTATTTTCGGAAGCATTAAAGTCGCCAATTTATCGTAACCCGGTTCCTGTTCGTTAATATGGGGTCCCGAGGCGAGCCACGGGAGAACGGCACGCGAGAGGCTGCCCTGGAAGCCCTTCTGATCAACTAGTTTAGCTCGCAGCTCACTTCTTCCTAGCGCTCAGTGCGCTGCACTTTTTCTTCGTGTGCGCCGACTCGACTAGAGAAAAGCCAGCTGGACGCACTATGAAGTACAGAAGACACGCCACGCTCATTAAGTAAAACCACCACTGCAAGAGGTGACGCTGGTCACGAAAAAAAGACCCTGTCCTCTCGGTCAAGAAGATGGGATGTCGGCCTTCGCCCTTTTCAACCTTGCGGACCACGTAACTATCCTCGTACGTCTGATTTGTCGATCCAATACGCCAAGCAGGATCAACGGCTGGGCGAGCATCTTTTTTTGGAAGGGCTTCTCTGGGGGGTCCCCAGCTCCACTGCTACCCCAAGCCAGAACCCGCAAAGAAAGGAACCCGTGAGGGAAATACGTTGAGGAACTTCCGCGAAATTAGCGCGCTGGACCTCGCATTCAAATGGCCTGGCCGGAGGATTCCACCAAAAAGGTCAGTGGACAGACATGGCAGGACATTGGGGAAATAGGGAAATAAGCAGATGTCGGGTACGAAGTAATACGACGACCCAATCCGACTCCGACTCGACTCACACCCAATGCCAGGGGCAGAGAGCCTGTGCACACGCCTCCTGCGTCCATACTAGTCTAAAGAGGGAAGACAAAAAACAATGGAGCCGACCAACCAGTCGAGCCCATCACGAAGCTCTGCAGGCTTCGAAGCCAGCCATTCCACATGGAGACCACGCGCCCTGGGTATTTTGGGCCTTTGGCTGGACTTTTTGCGGTTGACGGACACGCCCCTCCCCTTTTTCCCTGGAGGACCTTGCTGGACCTGCTGTTTTCCGTGCCCGGGTTACATCGCACCCACGATATATATTCCCGTCCCTCTCATCCAACATCTCTCTGACTAGTCTCTCGTTCCTGATCCAACGAATGTTTTGTTCTTTGAACAGGTCCGCTCGCTTATACTAATACAGGCTGCCATCTTCGTCGATCGGTAGTCCTTTGACATTCGTTGGACCCCTTCCACACCCTAATAATTCCAGTCCTTACCTTATCTTTCCTTATTAATCCTCCCTAATAATCAACCCTAATATCGCATGGTTAACATGTCCAACCGTCTTGCTACCGTCGCCGCCTCGGCTCTCCTGGTGGCCGGCGCCGCTGCTGGTGCCGCCGCCTCCGTCGACGGCTTCGTCTACGTCGGATGTGCCGAGGTCGAGGCTAGCGCCTTCGCCAAGGTCGCTACCTTCACCGCTCCCTTCACCGCCGAGCAGTGCCTTACTGCCTCCGCCGGTGCCGCCACCGTCGCCATCGGCGCCACCTGTGCCAGCTCCGAGGTCGAGGTCAGCGTCAAGCTTGTCCATAAGTCCAAGTGCAAGGCCCTTTGCGTTGCTGGTGATGCCAAGTCTGGTATCTGCGGTGGTGAGGGCGTTGTGAGCCTCTACAAGAAGAAGAGGACCGGCGGTGATGACGAGGAGTGTGATGAGGATGAGGATGATGACGAGGACGATGATGGTCATCACGGCGGTGATGATGGTGACGATGAGGATTGCGATGAGGATGACGGAGATGACGACGATGGTGATGATGACGGTGAGGATGGTGGAGATGATGATGAGGACTGTGATGAGGACGATGGGGATGACGACGACGACGACGATGATGGTGAGGATGGCGGTGACGACGATGAGGACTGCGACGATGAGGATGATGGTGGCGACGACGACGATGACGACGGTGATGATGATGAGGATTGCGACGACGACGAGGACGATGATGAGGATGATGATGATGATGACGACGAGGATTGTGAAGAGACCACCTCGGGCGTCCCATCCGCCACTCAGCCTCCCGCCACCGAGCCTACCGGCGAGTCCTCCACCGAGTCCTCTGGTCCCACCGAAACCGGCACCGGCACCGCCCCCACTGAGCCCACCCCCACCGCCTCTGAGACCGAGGGTCCTTCGGAGACTGAGACCGCTGGCCCCACCGAGACCGAGTCTGAGTGCCCCGAGGAGACTGAGACCGAGGGCCCCACTGCCACTGAAACCGAGGGTCCCGAGGAGACTGAATGCCCTGAGGAGACCGAGACTGAGGGTCCTACCGCTACCGAGACCGAAGGTCCCGAGGAGACCGAGTGCCCTGAGGAGACTGAAACCGAGGGTCCCGTCGAGCCCACCGCTACTGAGACCGAGGGTCCCGAGGAGACTGAGTGCCCCGAGGAAACCGAGTCCTCTGGTCCCACCGAGCCCACCGGCACTGCCTCCGAGACTGATTGCCCCGAAGAGACCGAGACTCCCAAGCCCACCGGCACCGAGGGTCCCAACGGCCCCTCCACCGTGACCGAGACCACCCTCCAGACCATTACCTCTTGCGCTCCGGATGTCACCGACTGCCCCGTCCGCCCCACCAGCACCAACCCCCCTACCTGCGAGGGCGGCGAGGAGTGCCCTGAGGAGACCGAGTCCTCTGGTCCCACCGAGCCCACCGGCACTGCTTCCGAGACTGACTGCCCCGAAGAGACCGAGACCCCCAAGCCCACCGGCTCCGAGGGCCCCCACGGTCCTTCCACCGTCACTGAGACTACCCTCCGCACCGTTACCTCGTGCGCCCCTGACGTGACTGACTGCCCTCTCCGACCTACCTCCGCCAAGCCCGAGCCCACCAACCCCCCTTGTGAGGGTGGTGAGGAGTGCCCTCCTGCCTCCACTGGCGGCAACGGCCCCAACTCTCCCGCTTCCACCCCCGGCTCCGGCTGTGAGGGCGGCGAGGAGTGCCCCCCTGAACCCACCGGCGGTGTCTCTCCCCAGCCCTCGGGTGGCGTCAAGCCCCAGCCTTCTTCTCCCGACTCCGGCTGCGAAGGTGAGGAGGACTGCCCTCCCACTCAGCCCACCGGCGGTGTCGAGAGCTCCAGCCCCGAGCAGCCTTCTCCCTCTGGCCCCGTTGAGGTGAGCGCTGCCGGCCGCAACACCGTTGCCTTCGGCGCTGCTGTTCTCGGTGCCCTTGCCCTCTTCGTCCTTTAAGGGATCTCCTCCACATCCTTATCAGATGAGGAAAAAAAAGAAAATAAAAAACTAGAAAAAAACATGGAAGCCCCCGAACATATACCTTTCATTTCACGTACATTTTCTTGAATCTCCTTTTTATACCACTTTTCTCTTTTAGCATCTTTATTATCTTTGTTTAATTCCTGGGGGTTTCTTGCATGGACTATCGAATTACCTCTTTTCGCATACGTTAATGAAAATGACAATTGTTAGAAACCTTTCGGGAATGTAAACACGCTTTTATGATTCGTGATTAAGGGGATGAGGTGGATTTGGACTCTTATTTTTTACGCTTTTAGACCTTTTACGTAGTCCAAATGTTTAATTATATGCTTTTAGTCCCTAATGTTGGTGATTAAAGCTTTCCAGGTGAGGGCAGGCAGTCGTACATCGGGGTTCGGTTCGCAGATGACGCCGGCCTGATAACCCCCTTCGACGAATTGTGCTTGGGCGATCCGACCAGATATCGTAGTCGGTTATAGGACGCGACCATGCTATTAAAACCTGGGGTAGAAGAACCGTGGGGAGGGAAGAAGTGGCGGGTCCAGTCCATCGCAATGCTGGACCTGAGAGCTAGACCCGACAATCGACGATGAGAAAGCTCTTATCGAAGCACCATGAACATTGAACAGTTTCTCTCGCTCTCGTCGCGGCGCGGACAAGGTTACGTCTTGGGAGATTGAGCGAAAGTACGTTTTAATCCTGGTCTTTGTTGATAAAGTCGTGCTCTGGATCAAAGAGGAAGGTGCTGTGAAATGGCGGAAAGCACTGGCAGTGGCAAGTGGCAAGTGGCAAGTGGCAGCTGGATAAATTGGCAGGTGATATTTGGTGGAGACAGGCTTGATCCTTCCGTACTCCAATGCTCCTATTGCTCACCCCGTCTTCAAAAGTTCCGCCGACACTCCGACACTTTTGTGAGGGGTTCACCAAACCCGTTTCTGTTTTGGCAGCAGCGAGAAGGGAGGCTAGGGAACTTTTCGATGCCGGTAGGTATGAGGTATCTTGGCCTCTGGGACTGACGATGATTGGCGTCGGGGTCGCCGGGGGATTTTTATCTCGACCCGACGTCCACTGTCGATAAGATCTTGGTTTGTCGGTGTCTCTCCAGAGGGTACGAGGCGACGAGTAGATCGTGATGACGGTGCAGCACCACATTACACAGCAGGACTGGCCACCGTGCCGTGGAAGCAGTGCGTTGTGGTGCGATGCGGCACGGCATGACTCGGTGGCGGCCAGCCTTTGAAGAAACCGCAGTTGGGTCAATTGATATTTCCTGTCTAATGTCCTAGTCACTAACTCTATGGTTATTATTTCAGCTTAGCGGGTACGCGACGACCTCAAGTGGGATTTCAAAGAAAGAAAATCTAGACAAGTGCTGCTTCGTGCGACGCGAATCGAGATCAAGCTGAAGGAGCGAGTCTTGGGTCTTAGGTCAAGATGCATTCCAGGATGCAGGATGGGTTGTTTCGAATCCCGACCAATCAGTGCCCCATCATTAATCAATAAGATGGGCGAGCTTATCGAGAACTGCTGCCAGGATCCAAGATCCGAACCAGATCGGATGCATTCCAGATTGGTCCAATGTCCTATCGAGGAAATCGAGGCTCGATCCAGAGATCTTGCTGGCAACATCCAAACCCAGTCGCTCTCTCCCCGCGTCTCTCGTCATACCCTTTTTGTCTTGCCTCTACTTTCATTGACCCCCGCATCACCTTCCCGGATGAGACAGTGTTCCGTTGCCCCAAAGCCGCGCCCCGGCGGAGATCACGGACCCACGCGCAATGTCAGGCCTCCTCTGCTCCAATCCCATGGCTCGACAGCAGATCCTTTCTTCTTTGTGTTGGCTCTTCCCCATTAATGCTTCTTTTCTGGATGATCCAACAAGGAACTGAATCGCTCAAAGCCGGACAGACAGACTCTTTACTTTTTTTTTTTTTTTCTTGCAGTCGCCACCAGTACGCGCCGAGGGGACACTCTGTGTGACGGAAACATGCCAATCAATCAGCTCTCTACACCGGCTCTGGGCCTTTTTGCTTCTCTGGCGTTTCCAGCAGAGATCGCGGGATATATTTCCTTTTCTGAATACCGATACCACCAAGATCAAGGAACATCGAAGTCTGCGGAAAACACCCCCCGATTCAAGCGGCGCAAGTGTTGACAAAACTTCTTCCCCCTTCTCAGACCCCAATACGTCTACGACGTAACATTGCACTTTCATCTGCAACCTTGATATGGACTTGGATCCTGCTCCACCCAATGGATGCATCAGAAGAAGTCCAATTCTACGATTGGGACCCTTAATTGTTGGCATCTTGGCTCCTCGCCCCATCGGCGGATCAATACTAGTAGATGGTATCGCTTCAACTCCCTCTTGGCTACAAACGGCAACATCTCACACTACTACCGTACCAGCCACTCCGTCTCGATACCCAAGATACTTGCTAACCCTTCCCAAGCCGAAACGGAGGCGACTCCACAATGTCTTCTGGTCGCGTGGCCTTGATTAGCCTCGGTGTTATTCTCCCGCCATGCATCCTGCGCCAGCATGACTTGAGGGTGAGCGGCTGCAAACTCGCAAAGAGGCTGACCTGCATGCGTCTCTGGTGGTTGGGTTCCCACAATTGGCCGGTCTACTCCCTTCGGCCATTGGCCAATCGACCTCGAGATGTGTTTGTACGTGGGGATCTCTCGGTCCTGATGGCACGGCAGCTCCGCAATCGTGTCAAGGACATGCGTAGGCGAGCGAACATATCTCGGGTCCCTCCCTCTATCTACAGGGCAGACCCCTCGGTTAGGGTCGCACAAAAGTCCACAAAGCCCTCCATCATGTAGTTATGAAGTATCAGCCAGTGCGACTCTCTTATCGCCTCGATGCCATCTGTAGATTTTTTTTTACCGACGCCCAAACCGGTGTCTCCCAGTTTTGCTTGTCTACCAAGGTACTTAAGTCGTGTCCTCCCCGTCCAAGTGTTCCTGTCGCTCCCGTTCCTAGACCCTGAAAGATGAGAGAGCGTGGCCACAGGTCTCGATCACAAGTAAGTTGGCTTCTTGCGCGCCGTTACGGTACTAGGTTCTTTCACGAGCTAGACTGTTACCAGAGTCAGGGTCTCCCACGTGCTCTTGGTTCTGAGGTCTGTTGTCAATTCGCCTCTATTTAGCCTTTCCTCCTGATGCCCAGACGCCGGGAAACCTTTTCTTGCTTTGCTCGCATCCTCTCCCAGCCGTGATCATGTCCACAAAGGAGACTCGGGCCGCGACGCCCCCTCCGACAGCAGCAGCAGCCGCCTCCCGCCCCGTCTCGCCCTCCGGCTCCTCTCTCCGCCGATACTCAGACCCCGCCCTCGACCCCAAGAACCAGCACGTCCACTCACACACCCATCACGGCCCGACCGCCGAGGACGGCACCCACATCCACGCTACCTACACCCGCGGCACGACCTTCGACCCGACGCTGATCCCGCCTCAGTCCCTGATCCATAGACACGATGACGTCGAGAACATCGCCGCTCAGGGCCAGGTGCTGCCCGAGTACACCAAGCCCGAGTCCGATGACAAGGAGAAACGCGACGTCATCGACACCTCCGCCGGCGAGGACAGCCACCACCAAGACCCGTACCGCACCCCCAGCAAATTCGGCCTCTTCTACCGCCGCCACAGAATCTTCTTCCACCTAGGCATATTCCTGCTCTTCACGGGCTGGTGGATCGCCTCCCTCGCCCTCCACCACTCCGACAAGAACTGGGTCGTCCCCTTCCTCGTCTGGCTAGCCATCTCCCTCCGCCTCCTCTTCTTCCACGTCCCCATCTCCATCGTCTCGAAACCCATCCGCTTCATCTGGCAACACACGGGCGTATTCATCCACGACCGCATCCCCGCCAAACTCCGCACCCCGCTCGCCGCACTGGTCACCGTGGCGGCCATCCTCCTCGGCGCCTTCGTCTCCGAAGAATCAGAAGACAACACGCGCGAGAACCGCGCCGTCTCCCTCTTCGGCCTGGCCGTTCTTATTGCCGGCCTCTGGGTCACCTCGCGTAACCGCCGCGCTGTCCAGTGGCGCACCGTCATCGGCGGCATGCTCGCGCAGTACGTCATCGCCTTGTTCGTCCTCCGCACCTCTGTGGGCTACGACATCTTCGCCTTCATTGCCAACCGGGCCGGGGACCTCTTGGGTTTCTCGCGTAAGGGCACAGAGTTCCTAACGACCAAGGAAGTCGCCAGCTTGACGTGGTTCTTCATCTCCGTTATACCCGCCATCATGTTCTTCATCTCCCTCGTCGAGGTGCTCTACTACGTCGGCTTTCTTCAATGGTTCGTCAAGAAATTCGCCACCTTCGTCTTCTGGGCCCTCCGCGTCTCGGGAGCGGAAGCCGTCGTCGCGGCAGCTACTCCTTTCATCGGCCAGGGCGAATCGGCTATGCTCGTCCGCCCGTTTGTCCCACACATGACCCGCGCCGAACTCCACCAGATCCTCACCTGCGGCTTCGCCACCATCTCGGGATCCGTCCTAGTGGCTTACATGACCTTGGGGCTTAACCCACAGGCCCTCGTCTCCTCCTGCATCATGTCCATCCCCGCCTCCCTCGCCATCTCCAAGCTTAGGTATCCCGAGACAGAAGAGACTCTCACGGCCGGCCGCGTCGTCATCCCCGACGATGACGAGCATAGGGCCGAGAACGCCCTCCACGCCTTCGCCAATGGCGCTTGGTTCGGCCTCAAAATTGCTGGTACAATCATCGCTTCTATCCTTTGCATTCTCGCCGCTGTTGGTCTCATCGACGGCCTTTTGACTTGGTGGGGTCGATATCTTAATATCTCCGATCCCGATCTCACTCTGGAGCTCATTATGGGGTACATCTGCTATCCCATCGCTTTCCTCCTCGGCGTCCCACGCAACGGAGACCTCTACAAGGTCGCCAAAATCATCGGCACCAAAATCGTCAAGGCAAGTGAACCAACACCTTTTTTTTTTTTTTTTTTGATTCTCTTTCCACTCGCCCATTTCTAACAATTCCCAGAACGAATACGTCGCCTTCCTCGCCCTCTCCGCAGAAAACCTCTCCCCCCGCTCCCGCCTCATCGCCACCTACGCCATCTGCGGCTTCGGCAACATCGGCTCGCTCGGAATCCAGGTCGGCATCCTGTCCCAGATCGCCCCGTCTCGCGGGGGGGACGTCAGCCGCATCGCCGTGTCGGCTCTCATTTCGGGCGTGCTCTCGACTTTGACGTCGGCTGCCATGGCTGGGTTGGTTGTTACGAATCAGGCGAGTCTAATTCCACAGCCTTCGTAGGTCGGGGATGGGGTCCTAGAGGTGGCAGGGTGGAATTAGAAAAGATGAGGCAATCTTCACGTTTAGAGTAGCGTCCGATGAGTGAACTGATAATAATATTCAATGAGTTCTTTTTCTGAAACGCAATGAAACCAAAAAGCAATGCTTACAACAGTCTCCGTTACAATACAGTGAATACAAAAAAAAGAAGATCTATAAGTAGAGTTGCGTTCCCTTTTCCCCATCATCAATCATAAACACCACCATCCGCCGCCGTCTCTCAAGCCACACAGCCGCCTTCGACCCCGTACTCACAGACTCCTAAACCGCCTATTGAATTCCTCCACAGCAACCGCCACCATCCGATACAAAAACCTCCGACTATCCTCATCCCCAACAGGAATAAACGGCCCGTTGACCCCATCCCTCAGCGTCAAGCTCAGGCCCGTCCTCTCCTTCGCAATCGTCTGCACGTCCCTCAGCGGCACGTCCCACTCCGACGTCAACCGCTTGCTCCGGATCATGAGGATGCGCGCGTACGTCACCATGACCACCATGTCCTCGCGCGGCAGCTCCAGGTGCGCAATGTACGACTCGTCAAAGTACTTGCCGTTATCGACCTGCTTGAGCCAGTACTGTCCTAGGGCCTCGCGCTGGTTGTAAGGGCGGATGATGCCATCTGAGGGAATGAAACGGGCGAGGCGCACACGGTCGAGCTCCGAGCCGTCGAATACGGTCGTCGTGTTGCGGATCCCCTCGGACACGTTGGAGACCATGTCGAGCACGCCAATGGCAGGCTTGGTGGCAAGGCCAAGTACGCCCTTTCCTACGCCCTTCACGAAACCAAACGCACCTTCTTGCTCAGCACCCTCGAGCGGTTTTCGAGCAAGGCCACCCACTCCCGACGCGACGCTTGTGAGGAACGAGTTAGCTCCCGTGGTAACGCCGTAGAGGGCATGCTTGGGCCGGTTGCGCGCACGCGTAATGCGTCGCCGATCCTGGAACTGCTTGTCGAGAGTGGCCGCGGCCAGGCCCTTGGAAAGACTACCCGTAAACTTGGAGAAGGAGTCGCTGACACCATAGACGGACTTCTTGACAAACGAAGTAGCGCCCTTGGCGATGCCCAAACCGAACTCTTCGGGCTTGTCGCTGAGAATGAGACCCTGGTAAGGCTCGTAGAAAATATCAGTAAGACCGGAGCTGATGTTGTTGAACAGGCCGACGGGATTTCCGAGGAAGTCCGCCGAGCCGAGAATCTTGTGGATCTGGTAGAGAGCCTCCTGGCTGTAGTGGTTCGAGATATTTTGAATCAAGACGGGGGTGGAAACCCGCACGTTCTCCAACATGAGCGCGTTCAGCCTCAAGGGAGCATCATTGACGTTACCCATGGCCATCGTCATAACGTTGAGGAAGAACATGAGCGGGTTCTTCGACGACGTCTTACTCTCGACGTTGACTCGCTCTGTCCTCATAAAGGACAAATCGAGCTGCATCGGCTGGATGTTGAGGAGCTCAAAGTACATGTCTTGTCCGCTGTGCTGCTGCTTCGGCTCCGGAATGCCAAGCACTTCGGCGCAAAGCATGCCATCGCTTTCATTCTGCTCCCAGGCCGCGCCGGGGATGTGTGAGAAGTCAAACAAGGCAAAGACAAAGTCCTCATCCAGCTCAACCGTCATCTGCTGGATGAGCAGCGTGGCGTACTTGACGTACAGGACGCCGTAGGAATCATCCTTGACCCGCGTAATCATAGCGTGGATCGAAGGGTGTGCCTCGATCTCCTGCGCCTTCTTCGGGACGACGCTAGGATACAGAACAATGGGGAAGATGCCGCCGTAGAGTTGGTTGTCGATCTGGATCCACTTTATAGACAAGCTGACAGTCTGGTAGAGAGGCGACTCGCTGTACTTGAGAGAAACGTCGCGGAACGTGACGTACGCAAGCTCCCTCAGCTGTTGGTTGATAAGCGAAACACCAATGCCAGACAGTCTAAGCTGCGCCTTGAAGGTAGTGTCTGTATTCAAGTCCTTGATCTCGAAGCCGCTGCCACCAGCGCCAGTGCCGGCCGACTTACGCCTTTGTCGGTACATACTCTTCGACTGCTTAAAGTTCGAGAGGATCAGTGTTTGCGTGGGTCCGTCCGCTGCGACGTTAATGTCGATAATCTTCTGTTGTCCGGATTGCGTCGCAAACTTCATTGGAATTTGGTTGCCAATCTCGGCAAGCTTGACATGCCTCTCCCTGCCCGCCGCGTTGATGACAATTTCCCGGAACCTGGCCGCGGGGAAGTCCCAAGCATACGGCATTATGCTTCGGGGTGGCAATCGGTAACGAATCGGCTTCCACCCAGAACGGTCCTCGACCTCTTCCTCCTCGACGTTGGGGTTGGCCTGATAAAAGATAAACTCCGTGTCGCTCTCATTACGCATCGAGAATGGCCAGTGCTTCGTCTCCTTACTAATGTGGATGAAGATAGTTGCATGCTCCAGGAGAATCTCGGCTCTGATCAGCTGTTGTCGCTGTCCAGACCTCGCAATCTTGATGTGCGTCGTGCCAACGTCGGAGATGTTGAATGGCGCCGTCCACGGGTTATCCAGGCCCGGTAGGCACAAACATAACTGCTTGACCCTCGACCTCTGCATGAACTGAATAGGGTGGAGGCTACCAGCCTTCAATGTGAGCGAACCGGAAGAGCTCGGCTCCCGAACAAGGATATCCTCGCGCAACTTATTTTGCAGGATGAATCGCGGTGTGAGGGTAACTACATTGGTCATCTTGTACTTGCCCTGTCCAGACTCGACGGAAATACCAACATGGATTTCCCTGTTCCGATTCGCGGTCGACGATAGCACCACCTCGGACGTGCTTCCAATGGCTTCGAAAGACTGCGGTTTACTCCACTCGGAATCGCCAATCTTTAATTGCACGCGGTTCTTGGGATCTTCGTGGGCAAACGAGAACATGAATGGGTGGACCTTGGGACGTCCGTCCTCGGAAGTGTCGACGAGCGGGAACCGTCCGGCTGCGGCCTTCGCTCCTTGCATGAAGCCCCTAGCACGGATATCTAATTCCAGGCCGGTCTGGTTCAGGACGACGTACGGACTGTAGACGGTGACCTTGAACGCGCCGCCGCTGTCAGATATGCGGTGGTAGTGAAGTCTGAGGTTCAGCGTGAGACCTTGCTCATCTCGACAGACTAGCTTCTCCTCTTTCCTAAAGTCTGCAGTGCTGCCCGAGTTGATGACGGCGAACTCGCTAGGTTTGAATGGCGTATCCTGCATGTCGACGCTCAGAAGCAAGAGATGCGACAGCTCGACAACATGGACAGGACTAAGACCTCCCTTCCTGAGAAAGTTCGTCCAGTCCTTCCTTGTGTTCTTGTCGTAGATGCGATACTTGAAGTCATAAGGCAAAAGGTTCTCCAGCACGACAGGAGCAGAGAGCTTGAGCCTCATGTAGGGGTAGGATCTGTGAAAAATAAGTCAGCGACGCTGTTATAGCTCTCACTGTGTGGGAAGGAAACATACTTGAGAAGAGGATTGCCCTTGTCAAATGAGGCATAAAGCTGAAAGTAAAAAGGATCCCCATTATCCCCCTTGCAAACCATCGTCCGAATCGGCCTCTTCACTAGATCCCTCCAATTAAGCGCCTCCGACGACCACGAGTAGCCGAACCCGGAATCGGGCCGCACCAGAAGCGACTTCACGTACACCGCACCGACCGGCGCAGGACGGCTCTCCCCGGGAGAAATCTTCTCGATCTTAAGCAGATCGCCCTTCTCGGCATCATATACTCCGAGTTCGACAGGGATTTGCGTGTGATTCTCGACAAGGAGTGGCGAGCGCAATGTGACATACTTCACATTGTCGGTTCCGAGCTGGATCTCGACCATGATGCGGTGGACGGTGCTCTTCCCCTTTACTCGAAGGCTATACAGGAACTCACCCTCGCGGTTGAGACGAATGCTCTTCACGGGATCAAAGCCACTACCCTCGAGCCTGACTTCAACCATGTTAGAAGAACTATCCATAAGGAGAGTTTCACGCATCTTCTCCCAGGGCTCAAAACTCCACGGCACCTCTTGGCCGTCTGTTAAGTGGGCGCTCAGCTGGTCCTCGTCGGCTCGCTTCAATGCATCCACAGTGACGTCGAAGCCGGTATAGTTTCGGATTCGGTAGGGAGTCTCGACGCCCCTAGGTTTGCCGAGGACGTCTTGTTCTTGAGAAAGGAAGGCCATCGACTTGGATGCCAGAGCGATAGTTGAGGCGGTTACGGTCAGGTCCAGAGTCTTCCTCGATACGACATCAATCGACAGGCCTTCGGAGGGGCTTCGATATACGCCAAATTGAACATGCCAAGGCTCGATCAGGGGTTCCCAGGCAGACTTGGAGAAGTTGAAGACGTTCGCGTACATGTTAATTGCCGTCTCGGCCCTCAGCCTCGATGACCAATCCGCTCCAGTCGCAGAGAAGGAATTGATGCCAACGTCGAGGATTGGAAGTTCGTGCACGTCCCCGATCAAAATAATGCGAATGCCTTCCACGGTTGCCGTAAGATCCTCGCGCCTGATCGGCGTCTTATCAACTGACTTCCTTGAACCGCTGCCATGGGTCGCCGTCGTCGCCAGAGTTGCCGGCCTGACCGTGCCGGCGACTGTTGATGTGCCATGTCCACTAGGTGTGCGTCGCCTAGCCTCAGCCTGTCGAAGTTGTCGAGCCTTCTCCTCAGAACCCGTTGGTTTGGAGTCCTTGTCCATCGAGTCGGACAGCTCAGAAGCCTTGGTGATAATTTGCAGCGCCATCAGGATATCTCGAAGAGACAGACGCAGAATAAGCGGCTCAATGTTAATGGAGAGGCTCGCCACCGTCGGACTCGAGTTGTCCATAGACAATTGTATAGAGAAATCGTCGATAATTCGGAGCCTGCTGTCCTCGAAGCGGTCCATCCGGCAGAGGAACATGCCTACTTCCGACACCTGGAAGGTCAAGGCATGTTGCTGAGACAACAAGACCTGCTTGGTCCCGAGAACAATTGCCTCAGAGCTCGTGCTGAGAGGATTAGCGATGAGAATAACTTGGGCATCAACGACGTTGACGCGGAAAGACATCGTCATGGCTGAGGGCTGGTTCTGGGTTTGTGGGGTCCCTGTTCGAGTACTAAAATGCGAGCTCGACTCAGGGGACAAAGGCGACAAAGGTAGTCGGCGAGTGGAGAGCGCTACAGACTCTGCGTCTGATTCTTCCGGAATTTCTGACATTTCTTCCTCAATCACCATCGGTTCATCATCATTCTTCAGGGCTGTCATGGCGAAGTTTTGGAGAGCGAAGAGATAATCCAACGCGAAAATGACTCGCGGACTATCAACGGTAACAATCGCAATCATATGCCTCTCTGCGCCGCCAGACAGGGTTACGCTGGCCATCAGTTGCTGGACATCCTTGTTCGAAGATGTCATGATACGGCGATACTTGTTGTTATCGCGAGGTCGGCTGTCGTAAATCGTAAACGAACGGACCAGAAGCTCCGATTCAATCGAGCCATCGGAAAGCATGCGCAGCTTCACTTGGCTGTCATCAAGCGAGAACTGCGACAGGCTAGCCTCGTCTTGGCTGCCAACCGGTTGGTCTTCATGGGCGGTGATCAACTCGAGACCGACGGTGGGAATGTTGAAGTAGAGATCAAGCTTCGCCCATGCCTCGCGATGCAAGCTTAACTCTGGGTTCTGGTCCACGATCAACTCCTCACTGTCGGCCAAGGCTGGCGAAGTCGCACCCTTGACCGTCTGAAGCGTGCCTCCATCACCGCCATTCTGTGCCTGTTCTGCCTCCAGCTCGTTATCCCCAGCAAACGCCGCGGGCACAGACTTGGAAATCTCTAGAAGGGCTTTCAATTGATATGGGGTAATGCGCAGCTTCACATCGGAAATCTTCCCAGCTACCTCGATATCCGGCCGTTTAACCCCGGTCTTGTGCTCGGCATATGTGATATCGAATCCGAGATCAACGTGGTCAATCATCTCAAGCTCCTCAGAAATACCCCGGGAATAATGGAAGTCGGAAGTAAGGCGAGTATTGCGAATTCCAGCCGATATCTTCATGGCCATCTCCGAGTCCACGGAGTCGTCCAGTGGTGCAAACTTATTCTGGGCATAGATCTCACCGAGATAGGCAGTGACTAGATCTCGTTGGCTGCTGCTGGTAGAAACAGCGCCGGGGAACACTACGATAGGTGTTCGAATGACGACGTCAAATTTGATTCGCGAGTTACTCTGCTGGAGCTGGGACGCCTGCTCAGCAGCTGCCTGTCTAGCGGCGTTGTAGAGGGCCTGCATCTTTCCAAACTTGACTAGGAAGTTCACAATTTTGCGGAATGGCTCCTCGACGAAGTTGATTTTGACAGATCCGGCTCTCAGGAAGATCGAAGAGTCGTAGCCAGGATACGTCTCTTTCTTGCTCGCGTCAAAAGTCTCGTAGCGGAAGTCGGCAAGCTCATTCCCCTGGATGGTCATGAGTTGGCGTAAGCTCGAATCTTCCGAGACGCCGGCATCAACATCATCAATGAGAGTAAGATTTCCCAGCCTCGAGGAGACTCTCATAGTCTGGTTATGCAAGTGGATTCGCACCTCGGCATGGTTCAGGGAGAGAGTCGCAAGCCGAATGCCATCATTGTTCAAAATGAGACGGATACTCTTCAAGTCAACCTTGACGCGGATCGAACCGTTTTCATTTTGTGGCTCTTGGATGGCGACGGCATCTAGGCCTTCATCGAAATCGCCAAAGTCGGACCTCGGCGCGGGCAATCGATTCTGGTTGTTATTGTTGTTCGTGAAAGTGATGAGAATAAAGTCAAGAAGTGTGAGGAGAGTCTTGCGTGTGACAACCAGGTTAATCGTGGAGATTTTTGCGTCGACATTAGTCTCGATGCCTTCGTAGACCGACATGAATTCCGGTGATTGGCTGTTAACTTTGACGTATTTGACATGCACCAGGCTCCGGTTCTGTTCCCGGTCCTCAGAGTCTCCGGAAGACACGATGGACTTGAACTCTGCTGGAGGATTCTCGACAAAGTCATCGACAGTGACGGATCCCAGAGAAACCTCGGCGGCCATGTCATACTGGCGATTGTAGAACTCGAAGCCGAAAGACTCGGCCACCAACTCGACGAGCAGTTGATCCGGCTTCTTCCGCGCGGGATCGCTCCGGTAAAGGGAGCCCCTGAGTGTGTCGACGGTGAACTTGAGCTGGAAAATACGCTGCTTCATGCCAAGCTTCAGGCGATCCATGCCTGACAGAGCATCCACAAACTTGTCCTCATCTTGGGTAATGTCCTCGTCCGTAATAAATGAAGGTTGTGTCATCGTAAAAGGGAACGCGGTAGACAGCCGCCTAGTGCTCCGCCTTCTCGTCCGATTGGAGGGGGGGCTACCGAAACTGAAAGAAGATCTGGATGGTTGGGATCGAAGAGTTGGCGGCCGTTTCTCATCCTCATTACCGAACTTCGGGATCGCAACGTCAATAATTCTCATCAAGGTCTTGTACTTGGCATCGGAGACCGCGACGTGGAGCACGGGAAGGTGACCCGATACTTTGACTTTTGTCAAATTTGGAGCCTTAGGGATGATGGAGATCGCCACAGTAAAGCCAACGTTGATGCGTTCCACGACGTGCAACATCTTCTTGTCATCGTCGCTTTCCAACTGCATCTTCGTCTCCTCGATCGATGGTCCGATAAGGAGCTGGGTAGAGGTGAGCTGCACATGAAATTTGTCATACATGGCGGACTCGAGCCTCTTAAAATCTTCGTCCGTATATGACTGACGTTGTTTCTCTTGGATTTGCTTCATGGTTCCCTCATCCACCAGTTCGCTGGTCACGCTAATATGACCGGCATCCAGAATGAGACAGGTCGAGTTCAATGCCGTGACGCTGACGGGCACAATAATGAGAGGCGCTTGAAGATCAAGCTGAGCGTTGATAGTCTTGTGCTCTTCCAGGGCGAACTCTAGGCCGACCCTAGTCTGCTCTCGGAGGCCCTCCACAGTAGCACCAGCAGTTTCCATCAACGCGACAATGGACTCCATGTGGCGCTCCGGCGGCCGGAAAAAGTCGACAATACCGACGACCACGTTGGGGTTCCACACGATCTCAAGCGGTTTAAGCTTACCGACCAAGGCAAAATCGCCAGCGCGCTCAAGGGGGTTCTGCTCGATCTCAAAGAAAAAGAAGGGTTCTTGCTGGTTCTGCTCCAACTCCACGAGGGAGAGGCGCTTCTTGTTCCGGCTCGGTGCATCCTTGACACGAACAATCTCGGGGAATTTGGTGTTGGGTGTAGTGCCATCGTTGACGCGCAGGCCTCCAAGGCTCATATCCGCAAGGAACGAGTCGGGCCGCTGCAGAACCCTGGATTTGAAAACGTCGAAATGCAGGCTGATAAGGTCAATAGCCTTGTCATGGGTTCCCTTCTTCAGCGTAAAGCTGCCAGTGCTCAGAGACGTTTCGAGCTGGAGCTTGATCGAGTCGCGGGGCACATCGATGTCGGCAGCGAGGGCCGCCTTCTCGTCCCACTCGATAGCCTCGTAAAGCTCCTTCCTCTGCTCTTCCGTTATGGTTGTGTTTTCCGTCTCGTCCACCTGCTCGGCAGTCGGTTTTGAGCCCCATACCCAAGCAAGCCATCCCTGTTGTTCTTGCGGTTGCTGTTGAGGGGCCTTCAAAGCGGCAGCGTTCTCCCTCCTCAACTGGTTCCTCGCCAGAGATCTCCAGAAACGGAGGTCCTCGTAATTCAGCTTCCATTCCAAGCTATTCAGGTCATCCGTTTCAATCGGTGTTAATAGTTGATTTTGTTTCTTCTTTTTGAAGAGTTCTATGTAGCGTAAACGATCATCCCGTCGTTCGCGGATGTAATCCCAGGTCCATTTCCGGTTCCGCTCGTGAATCTTCCTAAGAACGGCGTTGCCGGCAAAGAGGAACCACGCCTTTGGATCTTCCTTGGGGGTGACATCTTTCGGTCGATACTTCTTGTATTCTTGATGTCGAATAAAGTAATGGAACAGGTCAACCATCATCAGGCCGTCGCGGTACTGGTCATCGTCTAGTACGAGACCAATCTCCTCAAACAGCAAGGCGGCCTTGTACTTGGGTTTGCGCAAATCCCCCGACTTGTCGAGCTCGATTTTGGCCTGTCCGCTGACAGGACGGAGAATGTATTGATGGTTCGCGGCCGGGTCGGTGCTACTCGTACTGCTGACATCGTCGTAATCGCCATCGTCCTCCTCCTTCTCGCCCGTCGATTGAATCATACCCTTTAATCTCGCCACCATCTCCTCGTGTGGGAGTTCTTCTTGTGGAGTGGTCACCTCTCGACCTGACCCTAGTAGCTCGGCGTCGGTATCCCAGTAGACGGCAAGGCCATCGAGTGTCGCGAGCTTGTGGGTGATGTCATCCTCGCCATGAAGGAATGCAGGCTGCCATTTACCATCGGTGCTGACGGCACTGAATTCTCCGAGAGTAACGCCAAGCGCGAAGGGATGGCCGGGCGCGGAGATGGAGTCCTCGTAGCGGACGTGTATGTTCTTGACTGTGACCTGCAAGTTGTCGACGATCTTCGTAATCAAGCTCTGTGTGAAGCTCTGGTTCTTCTTCTCTTCCTCTGCGCTCAAACCCTCGCGTGATCGCTCTTTCAGGAGCTCGGCCGATTCCAGCTTCTCCATCTTGATGCGTTGTCTCCTTCGCTCTTCCTCCTCCTCGTCATACTCGGCCTCTTCCTTGGGCGAGGCCAGCAAGAAGACATCTTCGACAAACACTCTGACAGGGGCTCCACGTAGGTTTGACCAGGGTATCACAAGGGTCAGCTCTCCAAGATGGCCCTCGACAACGTTGACGGGAAGCCGAAGCTGATCGAGAGCCTCTTTGCGGAGCTCTAGGTTGCGGAGCTTCACATCACCAGACCAGATGCCGACCTTGAGCTGTGTAGGGTCAAAGTTCTTGACATACATGCCCAAGAAGCGGTTGAGCAGGCCGGCAACGAGTCCCTCCAACATGGCCGCGGAGTGGTCGCCGTGACCCGGGCGAGGGGAATATGGGGTAGAATCGGTTCACTAGGGACGGGGACAATCGGGCAGGCGCGTATTGCAATTGCTTAATTATTCGTAGGTAACGGTATCGAGACGGCCCATCCGGTTCGCGAGTTAGGATGGTCCTTCGAGGATCAGGAGCTTCAGCGGAGAAGCCGTGGGGACATTTGTGAAGTGCGGGGTGCTCAGTCGCGGATTGATCTCGTGCACGAGGAGGAATGGAGCTCGCGGATAGAATAAAAAAAGACTTTCCTATCGGGTATCTATGTCGAGAATGACGGGTAGCAGCAGATTCGAAGGTGTCCAAGGTCGTAAAAGACGAGCTCGGGGCCTAAGTGGGCGAGCAGTATTAGCACACAAAGGGAGCTCGGCTCGGGCAATTGTTCCAACGAGAGCAAGGCAGGAATGGTTACCATACGAAGTATGATGCGTCAGGCAAACAAACTCGTAGCATCTACGGAAATGAAAGAGGAAAATAACGAATTCATCCAGTCGTCACTGGATGGCATATCCCATTTGCCTAGCAATCTGGGTAACAATGGGCAATCACGCTCGCTTGCGTTGGGCATGAGAGACTTGGGGAAGTCGGCATTTGATTGTCGTCAGTTGCTCTTGCCCTGCTCGAATCCTGGACCTCGAAAAGGAACCGCGGATGCGTGAGGGAGCTCAGTTGATCAGAGCATGGGGTGGCTCTATCCACATCTGATGCATGTCAATTGGCCGAGACCCGACAATTGGTTCCACATTTCCATAACAGACCCGGGGGTACCCTCCTTGAGCATCTGAGGCCAGCTGTTAGCCAGCTGGCAGCGGCCCAACCTGGAGAAGGACTACGGGGTTGACCAAAATCAACATTACGTCACGGCGATCCAGGCGGCAAATTAATTACGAAGGACGAAGTAATTGATTTCCAGATCCAGGAAGAATGGAGGCCAGATTGGCGAGTATGAGAATGTAGATTAAGAGGATGGCGTTTCACTATATTCCGTGGCGATCCTCAGATTCGACCCAAGAAAACCAAGGCGGCCCTGTTTGGCATGGAAGAATCCCAGCCTTGGACCCCTAAAGTTAGCACAAACTCAAAGACAGACTCGCTCAACGTTGAGACGTACTTCTTCTCAAGTATCCGCAAGATTTCTTTGCTCTCGTCGTCGTCATCGAGATGGTTCCTCGGCAGCCTGGCATTAATCCGCGTCATAGGCTCTCTAGGACTGCACCTCCGTTGCATCACACCGACGTAGACGTCCTAGGTAGACGGCTTCCCCAGCTCCGAGATTCCAAGCTCCCCCCCAGCAGGTTGGATGCCTAGGGAACTACTACATAACCGAGAGGAGAGTTCCATTTTACAGCTTCGTTGGAGACCAGAAGTGGGTGATTTGAGAGGTGGGAGGTAGAATCCAAGACAGTCGTCCTCAACGAAATACACCATAAACCCTCTCCTCACTGGACATGATCACTCAATCTCCTTCGAATCCATTACTGTTACATCGTTGATAGGAATATTCTCTGCAACTAGAAATCTCAAAGACCGCACTCGGAACATTCAAGAGTTGCGTCGCATCCCAGCGCTCCCCCAGAAGCATCCATTCTCCGAGCCCTGGTATCACACATACATCAAATCTACAACAGAGCAATAACATCCATAACAGATCGAAGTATCATAACACTCTATTCCCGTATTATTAGCCATTGAATAAGAAAAAAACCACTAAAAGCCCAAATAATCCCAATGCTCGCAACTCAAAAAACAACCCAGATACGTTTTTCCCCCATCGATTCAACTGCATTGTAAAAAGAAGAATGACCGGGAAAATCAGTGCCGATATGCATCCATACTCCCCCAAGTTCCCCAAACCAAAGGAGGAGGAGAAAAATCGACAAGCCATCAGGCACCCGTCTCTAGGTAAGAAGGTGGTAAAAGTGAACATCAAAACTTGGACCTGTACTTCATATATCTTCATGAAGACTCCCAAGCACCTCCCATTTCTTTTCCCTGCCGTGTGTATGGAAAAAAAAGCTGCCATGCTAAACCCTTTAAAAACGAAGTGAGGTGGGAGAGTATGGAGAGAAGACGGTGGGAAAAAGAAAGAAAGGCAGAAGTTAAAAAAAGAATGGGAATAGCATGGTATATCAATTCATTCATCCTCGTTTACTCGTTCATGGCCTCATAAAAGCTTGCTTCGCCTATAATAAAAAGAGAGACTCGTTAGTGTCGAGGGGCTTTTAGTCGCATTCCCTAGCGGGAGGCAAAACATACCTTCATCTGCTCAATCCTAGCCTTCAATTGACTAGTCACCTCAGCCGCTCTCTTCCAACTCTCAACACCATCGCCCCTCGAGTCATGAGGCGTCGTACTCTGGGGCCGCGAAATATAACTACCCTCGCCTCCAGCCAAGTTGCTCCGGTATCCACGCGCGGGACTCCCGCGTCCGGACGCTCCACCATACCGAAGTTCGAGATTCGCCTTCGCCGACGGGTAAGGGTGATCGCCATTCTCCTTCTCCTCGGACATGGTGCTGTTGAAGCTCATTCGCTGGTTCCTAGTGCCTGCAGAGCCGTAGCCACCATCCCTGTAGATACCCGCCTCATCATGCGTGGGCGAGGATAGACCGGGGCTGGCGAAGCCGGGACCGTGTCCCTCGGCGCGGTCGAGCGCTCGCTTAAGGCGCTCCAATTCGCGTCGTAGCCGCTCGTTTGTCTGTTCCGTAGCCTCGGCATCACTGCGTGCTCGCACTAATTGGGTCTCCTTCGCCTTGATGCTCAGAACGTCCCTCGTGTGGTCCTCAATCAGACTGGCGTTCTGGTTCTTAAGCTCTTGTACTTCTGATAGGAGCTTGCTTCGCTCGTGCCTCAGCTCTTCCGACAGGCGCGTCAGCCTCTCATTTGCCGCGCGGAGCTCCTCCAGTTCAGCACGCTCTAACGCACTCAAGCCGCTTGAAGGAACGGGAGATGGGGGCGCCACGGGGGCAGGTGCGGCAGCGGGCTTGGCTAGTGACCGGGCAGCAAGTCCGCCTCGGGCTGGTCCGAGTCTGGGTTGGGGAGGCGGCGCCGGCTGCTCTTCTTCCACGGGCGGGGGAGCGGCCGCGACTCTTCGGGGAGAAGCAAGGCCTCCAGGACCGCCAAGTCGCTTTTGAGGCGCTTTCATTCCGGCGAGGCCCGATGGCTTGGGCATTCCCAGCTTGCTAGCTGGTCGCGCAGTGGGCTGGGGGGCCAATGGTGCGCTGTCTGCCGGAGGTGCTGCTGCGGCTGCGGCTGGAGCTGCCTTCCTCAATCCGGCAGGTCCCTTTCTTAGGCCGGGGGGACCGCCTCCCATGACCTTCTTGGGTCCGCCAGGAGCGGCGCGGGCTGGCGCAGGAGCGGGCTTCGGTTTCTCCTTGGCCTTGACTTCCGCAGTCTCGTAAAACTCCTTGATCTTGTTCTTCCTGATGTCATCGAGCCCCTCCAAGTGGGGGTTCATCGCGCGTTCGCCGATAATCTTCATGACGGTACCGAGAACCTCAGCACCTCCAGACCGAAGACCCTCACTAGACTCCGAGAGCAGCTTCTTCGCCGAGTCGACAATAGTTTGAATCTCTGCTTTGCTAGGCACATCGCGAGTGGTGCGCAGACACCGAATGAGGAACTTCATGGTCCCCTCCTTGACTTGGGGATTCTTGTGCACTAAACAGGCCACAATATCCTCGAGACAGTCTGTGAGACTGGTGGCGAGAAAAACGGCGTCGAGGGCAGCTCCAAGAGCGTCCGCGACAGCCTGCTTTTTCTCCTTCAAACGCTCCATTATCGGGCCCATAACGATCGACCGATACTTGCCGTATCCCTTGCGCAAGCCCTTGGCAAGAGCCTCAATAGATTGCGCTGCGTGGGTGACAACCATAATATTCGCATCCTTCATGCACTTTGCGAGGCTCCTGTTCAACTCATTAAAGTCTGAGTCCTTGATACGGGGAACGTTAAGAACTGCGTAGAGGCCCTCCAGCGCTTCCTTTCGATCCTTCCATTTAGACGAACCGAGCGCATCGTAAAAGTCGGGAGCGATCTTGCTGAGAACGTCTTGAGGCTCCGCAAGATCGAACGCATCAATCTCGGCCGGCTCCTCATCGTAACCGCCGTCATCACCTCCTCCACCACCTTGCGCTCCCGACGCCGACTCCATGGCGGCCTGAGAGCGAAGGAGACGCTCCTGTTTCGGCGCTGGCTCTGCCTTGATCTTTTCGAATTGCGCTTCGAGATCGTTCTGTTGTGTCGGCTTTAGGTCACCCCAGAACATGGGCTTCATCGCTTCTCGGAGCCATCGGTAAAATTCCACTGCAAGATTCGTCGCCTCGGCTCGTACATTCTTGTCTGCGTGGCCAAAAGCCTTAGGTAGGGCCTTTAGCACCGGTTTCGGATCGACGGTCTTGCAGCCGTAGTTATGGAATATTGTTGTGAGCGCAGCAAGCGTCGCCGCAATAATCTTGGGTTGCTTGTGGGACAGGCCGGGAAGTAGATCCTCGATAACGGGTGCGGGGGTATCCATCTCGATGTATAATAAAAGGGCCTCGACGGCCGAGGCTTTCGTAGCTGCTCGAGTCGACGCAAGGCCCTTCTCGACGATGGGTGTTATTGTGTGTCCGCGAGATCGTACTGCCGCATCCGGTCCGCCAAACTTGAGGAAGGCACATAGCGCGGCGATACCCTCTTGCTGCGCCGCAACATTCGAGTCTGCAGCCGCACCTTTCCATAACGCGGCATCTTGGATGAATGGTCGGAAGACGGGGTCGGTTTCGTTGGGCGTGGCGGCAAACTGCTTAGCGGCATCTTCGTAGGCTCCCTTCCTGACCTTCCAGATCTACAGAGACAACGAACGACTATTAGTAACTTGGCTTGAACGGCGTTGGCTCGCAAGGAGGTCCCACCTTATGTGTCCAGCGGTCGGTGAGGGGCAGGGAACTGTAATCCTCCTCTTGGTCACCCATGGTGGTCGCTAGAGGATAGGGGGTGTAAAACGGATGTTCGGGGCGTGTTGGTGAGTCGTTTGAGAGTCTATGGTGGGCAAACTAGCTCCGGCAAACGGATTAGCAGGGGGAGGTTCTGGGAATGGCACAGCAGCTACGTCGAAGTAGAGGGAGGCGCTGTGTTGTTGAGAGTCGAGTTGGAATGACGACGACGTCAAAAAGGCGGGGGGATCCGATTCGAGAAAGAGCAGATCAAAGAACAAGTCAACTTGATCGGTGGGGAAAAAGAAGTCAAAACTAACCTATGCGGAAGTGAAAGGCACAGGCCGGAATGACAAGGAAACTGATTTAGAGGGAGTACAATTCGAAAGGTGCGACAATCTAAACAGAAAAGGGTATCTTTGTCGCGTCTTACAGCAAAGGTCTACAAGTCAAGTTGGGCTCGACTGTGGTTTCAATCACCAGACTTGAGTCTTGTGGTCAGTGTTTGTTTCTCGGGGGGTTTTCGGGTAATATTTTTGGTTGCCAGGGAATACCCATTGCCAGGACACCGTGAGTCGCAGCACTTGCTATCAGGTGACTGACGCGTGGATACGCGTTTGACAACTAGCATCAAGGTGGGATGAAGAGCCAATTACCTTCGCATTCACATCAATCAATTGCGATCCAACAACGCATTCTGCAGGATCACATCTGCCAGGCACCAACCATATCGGGCTCGCATGAGCAGGCCCAAAACCCGAGACTGGATTTTATGAGGAAATAGGAAAGAATGCGACCATGCCATGGCAGCATCGGTGAGTATTTGAGATCATGCTCCACACACTTGCAGATGTACGAAATGGGACATTCTGGTAGGTCTTACCCACCACTGAAGAGATGCTCAGATTGCCAGTCCATCTGCTCCTTCGAATATCTACACGATTCACAACTGTCAAATGTAACAACTAGATATCAGGTAAATAGCACTGTTCTTTTATTGCTTATATAAATCTCTCCAACGGTAAAGGGTATGTGTTAGGATAACTCCAAACGCCGAAGTGTGAATCCAAAAAACCGGGATAAAGAAACGACAAAACGAAAGATATGTCGCAGAGACAGGTGATTAGGTTTTCTTGTTCGAGAAAAAGGATAAGTGATCGGTGTCTTTCCTTCGTTATTTTTCCCGCATCGGCGCATCCCTCAGTGTTTTACTGCGTAGGGGGATGTTGGGCGGCAGGCTGGACGGGCTGCTGCTGGATGGGCTGCTGGGGAGCTTGCTGGGCAGCGGCTTGCGATGCGGCCGCAGCCTGGGCCGCCTGGAAGTGGACTTCAGTACGACCACTGCGATGATAAGTGGCGAGAGGAGCGTTGCACTGTTACGACAAGTTAGTAAGAGCGGGATACCGGCTGAATATGAAGGATACGCACGTTGGGGCACTTGTGATGTACATCCTTGAGTGAGGCGATAAGGTAGGGGATACAACCAAGGCAGACAACGCAGCAGGCAAGCAAGGCCATGAGACTAGAAACCAGTGGAGTTAGTACGAGTTAGACGCTTGTTGTCTGCGCCGACACGTCGGACAGAGTACCAAGAAGGGGCTGCCTACTGGGTGAAACCACCGGATTCGTAGCTGACAGCGGTCATAACACGCTGGTGGCAGTTGGGGCACTGGACGGGTGCGGGCTGGGCAGCGAGGCTCACAAGTGGCACGCCGTAGGAATCAGGAGCGATTCCATACTGCGCGCCAAAGCCGGTGGCCTGGTGCTGAGGGGGACCATATGCGTTGGGCTGGCCGTAGGCCTGAGCTTGGGGTTGAACCTGGGGCTGGGGCTGCTGCTGGTAGACAGGAGGGGGAACGCCCTGTTGGTATTGAATAGGCTGGCCTGGTTGAGGAGGGACAACCTGACCGGTGGTCTGGGGGGTGACGTAGCCCATCTGGTACTCGGCACCAGGGGATTGAACTATTGGGAAGGGACAAGATCGTCAGTAAACCTCGACTTCAACCTGCAAAAAGGCCGCCAAGAATTTTCGCAACAGAAAAGTAAATTTGGCTAACATTGGGAATGGAAAACTTCGCTTACCCTTGGGATCCATTGTGAAGGAGAGGCGATTCGAATGAGCGGGCTGTCGAAAGGGGCTTCGTTCAGTGAAGAGAGATTGGCTTACAAGTTCAGAGACTGAGAAGCGCCAACACAAGAGAGGGAAAAAAAAGCTGTAAGAAAGACAGACAAAGCGAACGTCGGCTTTCCAGAAGGAGGAGCAAGGGAGCCAGTTTTGTACCTCCCAGACGAGAGACTAGCTGGAAGGATCGACTATCAGTCTATGTATCACCTGTAGCCTGGTCAGGCTGCTCATAGGGCGAACATCAAATTGTTAAAATTGGCAAGCCGCAATTGAGGTGCAGGCGCGTTCCGCCCCCGCGGTGATTGGCTATGCAATGTGGGCATACGAAGCATTTCAACTGGGTCGCATGGGCTACAATGCATGCTTGCCACACACTAGTCCCCATACATGCCCGAACCCGACCGCTACTTTGACGAGAGACTGAGAGAACGGCGATACTACAATCTTGCTTGGAAACACTATGGTGGGACAAGTACTGCTCCTCTCCCCACCTCCATTCGCCTGTACCAGTACCCAGGGGTGAGGGTCCAAGACAGGCATGTCGCAGAGTATGGCTGTGCAACCCGAGATAAAAAAGACAATTGAGGCACAGCTGCAATCCGAGTCAGATGAAAGCCAAGACCCAAGGCACTGCCACCCTCATCGGCGAAGGTGATTCCCTGATCAATGTGGCAAGACGAGATGGTTCTTCCTTTCTTCTTCAGACGCAGTGCAGAGACTTCAAGAGAGGAACGAAGGGGAGTCAAGGCTCGGTTCTTGTTTACAAAGTACTTTGCAGCCGATGCCTGGTCATCGTCCTTGATTGTCATTGTACTTCGTACATTAGGTATTATGGAGGTCATTGGGGACCGCCCATTTGTCGATGAGAGCAGGATAGGAAATGGCAATAGGGACAGTATCCACCAAGAGACGGGAGCAAAAAAAAAAAAAGGTTCAATTTGTGAGGTGGCATCGTCCTCCAGGACTCTACGAAAGTATGCGTTGTCCCGCATAATCCACAGCTTCAAAGATCATACATCCCCGTCTCCCTGAGACAGCAAACAACGAGGCAATAAAATGCAAGAATCCTATGGTGACAAGTAAAGGACGAAGAAAACCTATCGAGGAAGCATTCCGCCTGCCCTACAAGTCACGTGGGGATCGTCCAGGTCGCTTCGCTTCACTGCCAAAAAGGCAACCAGTGCAGGTAAGACGCGGTAAAATTGACCCGAGCAGACTCGTCCAGAAATAGATCAGAGAAATGACCAATTTTATTCTTGTCAGTCATCCTCAATTGGTCGATTGTGAACCGGGGAAAATTGAGCTTAACATAAAAAAGAAGATGGGGAAAAGCAATCGATAGCCCTGCATTTTCCCTCAACTCGAGCCATGACATTTTGTCTTCGGGCATATGAGATAAGAGATCGTCGATCTCCCTCTCCCATCGAGTTTCTCGGGGTGCATTTTTCGATGGTGTATCTCCTGGTGGTGTCGAGGCGCGAACTGCTTGACAGATTTCACATTGTCGGCACGCCGCCTTCAGGTCTTCCACTTCAGATCTCAAATTTTCGACCAACTCTTCGAGATAAAGGGAGTACTCCTCAACTGTGCCTTCGAATTGAATATGTCGTCGTCGAACAGCCATCTACTCGATTACGGGTATGCTTGGGTGTTGCTCAAGTCGAGGAGCGAAAGCTTGATGTAAGGTGGACAGAGGGTGTTTTTTTTTTTTTTTTTTTTTTTTTTTTTTTTTTCCTAATCGGGGGGGCCTCATGAGGGCCCCCCGATTAGGAAAAATAAAACAGGGGTGATCCATTTCGAACGGATGGACGACGAATACCACATCTCAGCATTAGTCTTTCTCCAGCGCGCTGTTAGCATTATCAGTCTTATCAGTCGTCGTCATCCTGGCACTCGTTCCTTCGTATTCCAGCTGCTTTAGATTTGGGTCTCGAAGGCTCCCTTCCTCGAGCAGTCGAGGTTGAGGCTTGCGTGGGCGATTGAGGATTGAGGAATCAAAATTTGTGGAATATCACAAGGGATCACGCTTAAGCTGTGCGTCTCGTCATTGATCTCAACTCCATCATTAGACAATTAGTAGCGTAATGTGTAGCCTCGAAGCTACCCCACTCCATCGCCGGTTCTTTTCTTTTGCCATGCCGCCCGACCGGCGTGGCAAAACGGCGCCGGACGGACATCCTCCCGCGAGCTTCTGATGCATCCCGGACCCAACCGCCCTCGCCGGCGGCGTCCTTCCTCCATAGTACCCACAAGCCAATAAAACCCAGGACAGATCCTTCTCCGTTACTTTTAATTGTTACCATGTGAATATCACAGGAGAGATCCTCGCCTTGTAAGGTCTTGTAAATCCGAGTAGGAGCCACTTATACCTTCGTCCAGATACGTTGGAGACCGGAAGGTTGACCGGGGAGAAAAATCCAGTCGGTCACAAAGCCCCTACCCGTAACTGCTCGACAATATAGATGGAAAGATCTCTCTTTCGTAACAAGATAGACTGCGAGGAGGAGTAAGACTAGTTCAAGCAAGAGCGGATAACCCCGCCTTCCGTCTCTCAGCGGTGGCAGGCCAGAACGACGTACACGGCAAGATCGAAGCAACCAGCCCAGTTCACGCCATCGAAGGAGCTCCGGACAATTCAACCCCCTCAGAAGTTGCCCTCCCTTACACTTGAACAGATTGGAGGCTGCAACTGCATTGAAAGTAGTGGGCTGTGAAGATCGTAGATACTTGATGTCACAAAATAGCTAGCTCTTTCCATGATATGTCCTTGAACACAGAAGTCATGACCACTATCCCTCTAAAGAGAACTTGGTAATATATTTTGCCCTCTTGACTCCGATTCCAAACTGTCTCCCTCTTTTCCCAGCATCCATTCATTCTTCTATGATCCATTCAGCTTGTCAACCGTCCATCATCTTCATCATCTTCCATTCATCATCTTCCTCCATCGTGAACTAATCGTAATCCATCTCCTGTGCCCTGGTTCAGTCTCCAGTTTCCATGTTCCATCGTGCCCCGTTCCCCTTGTCGTCATGTTCCCATCTACCCAACGGCTCCTTAGTTATCGAGCATCTCTTGTATCGTCGGTCCTGGAATCGTGTGTTAGTTTCTCCCAGTTTGATGTGTAAGTGCAGTTCTCCATTTCTTCTCGGGCTTCCCAACACTCCCGAGAAGCCACGTCACAGATCAACTAATCCGGATGGGCAAAAACATGTCAGGCAATGTGTCAAGGACCTCAGCTTCGACTCCCATTTTCGCCGCGCAAGACTCTGTCCCGCAGGGCACCGCACGTAGTGCAGGGAGTGAAATCTCATCACGGGTCCCAATCCCTCACACCGGTTCTTTATAGACAAGGCATGTACAAGTGCGGGCGAGTGCTCCCCGACAACTGTGCGTTCAGGCTTCGTCCCCGCGCTCTGAACCTTTGCAACCGGTGCCAATTGCATCGAAACGGCCATTGACTGACCTCCTCGCTCCCGCCATAGACTTATACGAACCCGATCAGCTTCGCTGACCTCCCCGCTCTTGGTAATGGCGAGCCCTTCTCGGGGACCGCACAATATCAGGGTGGGTAGTGATGATGCACACACTTTCTGACGCTCTCGAGCTGAAGACACAACATGGTTTTCTGAACCCACAGGTCCTTGGACCAGGTTAGCTCCGGCTAACCTCCCACACATAATAGATTTCTCCGATCTCTTGAAGAGAATGGACGAGCTGTCAAGGTGGGTAATGATGATGCGCCACAATTTCTGATGCCCTCGGGCTGAAGATACAACATGGTTTTCTGAACCCACAGGTCCTTGGACCAGGTTAGCCTCGGCTAACCTCCCACACTTAATAGTTTCCTCCGATCTCTTGAAGAGAGCTCTCAAGGTGGGTAGTGATGATGCCCCACACTTTCTGACGCACTCGTGCTGAAGATACCACTCATGGTTTTCTGAACCCACAGGTCTTTGGGCCAGGTTAGCTTCGGCTAACCTCCCATCCTTGCTAGATTCCTCCGATCTTTTGGAGAGGATGGATGAACTCTCAAGGTGGGTAATGATGACTCTTTTTTCTTCGTTGAGGCTTCCGGGCCGGTGACGATATATGTGTGCTGTTGGTTTCTTTTCTGAACCCACAGGTCCTTGGGCCAGGTTAGCTTCGGCTAACCTCCCACATTTAATAGTTTCCTCCGATCTCTTGAAGAGAATGGGTGAGCTCTCAAGGTGGGTAATGATGACTCTTTTTTCTTCGTTGAGGCCTTCAGGCCGGTGACGATATTTGGGATTGTTGGTTTCTTTTCTGAACCCACAGGTCTTTGGGCTAGGTTAGCTTCGGCTAACCGCCCATGCATGTTAGGATCCGCCGCGTAACGACGAAATTTCTTCGTTCACCCTCGACTTCTTCCCAGAAGCCCAAGATGTCGTTCAAGCTTCAAGCCAATCTCAAACGTCGACTCGGCAGCCTCAGATCCGGCAGAGGTGATGGTTTTGATCATCAGAAGATTGTAAGCCACTGAGAGCCGCTCCCCATCTGGTGCCTTTTTGTTTCTTCACCGGTCTGCCATCATTGCCGCACGCAGCTAGGGGTCTATTGTATTTGCATCCACGATAAATTGCAGGGAGTTTAGCGGGAGAGTATGAGGTCTCAGAAGAAAGCCGCTGAGCTCCTTCTCTGTCCTTGAAAGATCATGACGGTACTGAGGTAGATAGTTAATGGAATAAAAGGCTTTGTATGTAAGAAAGGGAATGAAAAAATTTGGAACTTACCTTGTTTGTGACCGAGGAACATCGCTTGGCTGGGATGAGTTTGCCAGATGCCTCGAGGCTTACCGAGGGCCACTATCCCCCCAAACGTGCTACTCATGCGTAATATTGTAAGATGGGCTGGAGTTCTGTGCGGCATATTGAGATATGAGAGTCTGGAAGGAGTTGGGTCGGGGGCCACATCGGGTTTATATACATGCCAACTGGGATCTGGTCATGACTCCTCATACTCATTAGTGAGAATATTCTAGTTTAACAAGAGCGGGCTAGAAACAGAGTTACACGTGCAAGGGGCCTCAAAGATGATGATGCTTCCTAGTTGACATCGAATTCGACTTGGTAGCGCGGAAATTCAGATCGCGGGTTCATTTGACGCTATTGTCGTCGTGGACGTCGAACCTGAGGCGCCATTGCTACTTTGACCCAGGCGGAATAATGAGCCCGAAGTGTCTCGTTGGAGAAGCCACATCCCCGTGTTAGCGATGATGGGTCACTTTGATGGGGGTTGATCGCCCTGCTCGATGAATGGAGCTATATGTGGTGACGAGGCCGAAGAAAGTTCACATGAAGGTGCATTAATTCCACTACGTCATGATTGCCACGCCCGGGTGCTTGAATGGCAGCCTCTTTTTCTCTCAGGTCCCCAGGCGTTGATTTTACTATACTCATGGGACTGGCATGTGGAATCCAGCTCGAACGCCAATGCCGGATTTTCCATATCCGGCTTGTAGAAAGATAGGAAATTCTCTTGCTGAGCACCAACTCCCTCGGCCGGGGAATACGATATCACGGACAAAACCTTGGTCTTCGAGACCGAAAAATGACCCATTGGCTTGCTCCTTCAGCTCCCTGGCATGAGAAAGTAGTACCGCGAACAGAGTGAGGACATTACAAGAGACATGGAATTAACAGCCATGGAACTCCCAGTGGGCACACGAGTCATGAAGGGGGGGCCTGTGGGATGAACTACTAGTGACGGATATCAAATATTATGAACTGTTAATTTCGATAGAGGATTTAGGCTTTCCCACGATGTGACCGCCACCAAAAATAAAAAGGAAGTATCCTCGAGCCCTTATGCAAATTTCCGTACTGAGATCTGAGATAGACGTCTGTTTCTGCTTATTCCTGTTCGGTGTAAGTCGGGCTAGGCTTATCAATCTCGATCGACTGATGTTCTTCAAAATCTAAGCAACGTACGGGTGAGTTGATGGGATGGTCCAGAGTCGGCCACATTCCGGGTCTTTCCTCAAGACGTGCTGTGGACTAACTAGGTCAAGGCAGAACGAGACGTTCTTCCCTTTGTTTCTTCCCAAGCTTGACAGGGCTTGGCTTACATCCATCCCATCTAGAGGTGAGCATTAAGATTCCTAGGGATTTAACAAGAGGTGGCGCGAATGACGCCTTGTCTCGGGTTGGATACACAGCATGGCAGACGTTGGTATTCGATCGGAGAATCCTTTGACACTTGAAGTACGAGTACGATATGACTCCCAGTGTTTATATGAGTTGGTATTTTCGTCATTGCACAGTTTAGGAAGCGGCTTGGATTTGATGATGCCGCGGCGCACCATGAAACGGGCCCTTGTGAAGCGGAGCTGATGAACGTTCGATGATGAAACAGTATCAAACAAAAAGAAACACTGTTGACATATGCTCTCTCAGGCCATTTTGACTTACGCTTCAGGCGCTTCCTTGAGTGGATTACGCCTGGGCTGGCCACTGTACTTACCACTGTACTTACAGTGCAGATATCTGAAAGCTCGACTGGACGTGCACCAAGGTGAATGAAATGGTTTGACGAGACCAAGATCCAATCCCAAGATTCATGTGAGGCCAGACCACTCGACCAGCCCCTGATCTGCAGAGAGCATCAAGCATCCAACATATTGTTCGACCGTTACAGGCTCATGGGTCCTGGATCTTGGCTCCTAAATCTTCCATCTTGGCTTTGGAACCCTGTCCATCGGCGATACGCTGGCTTGGGGTCTCATGCGTCCAGCCAGTTAACCTGGGAGAAACATCCCGACATCCAAGGAACCTAAAACCTGCTAAAAACTCTGTGCGCGCCTTCCTCTCCTTTCACTCTCCCCCTATTTCGTGAACTACGTCGACCGCGTGTCGGCGTGGGCGCTTGATGCTATTGACCAGGAATCCGGGATCAATTGAGACAATTGTGTACTACGACATAACTCCCGTGCCTGTGCTGCGAACGAATCATCTTGACCTTGAGCCAAACTCGAACGATGTAAAGGGGGATGGACGATGAGGCGAGACGACCGGTCCTTCTCCGGCGACCCGGCCGAGTGGGATTAGGCAGACCGCGGGAGAGAAGAGTGGACGGGTCAGCTGGGACATTGCACTACCACGGACATACCGACAGTAATAGTGGGCATGTTCTATTTCGAGATAGTAATCTATCCGCCGAAAAAAATATTTCCAGAAGGACGATGATCTTTCCAGTAACAGCTTGATCTACACCCGCATGGAGCCATGTCTTTGCCGCCTATATTAAACGGCAGTTTATAATGGCTGAGATGGTGTGTTCAACGTTGGCGGGTGGAAGGATCTTCGCAGCGCTGGTGATCACCGAACAGGCAGGGCAGTCTGTTTGTAACTGAGTAGAGGTTGGGTGTAGGCTGTAGGCAGAATGGTCGGTTAGAGTGGAGGGTCGCATGCCGGCATTGTGGAGGGAAACTTGGCCTTAACCTGTCGTGATATGGGACCGGTGGTTTAGCGGAGAGACAAAAAAAAAAAAAAAAAATCTCAAACATCGTGAAGAAGAAGTCTCAAGCAATGTGTTGTCCTCACACTCACATCACACCCTGACCACATGCAGAGGGACCACTCTGCTGACCCTCCCGGTCGGTGAGGCGAATGCTAATGATGCCATGTTCACAGCATATTCGGCGATTTCTCCTCGGACAGACGAAATGCATTTTTCCCTGGTTTTCTCATAGGACAAGCAGGGATACAGTAGATAATCTTAAAACTTTAGATCTCGAAAACTGATGAAGATTGGGGAGACCCCGCAGGGTGGACAGGACCTTCCCTCTCAAGAAGCTGCCTGTGTCAAAGTAGAGTACGACGTACTTCGTACATCAGAGTACATCTGAGACACTCGCCTGTCACCATTTCAGCTAATAATTCACGCCTAATCTAGTGTATGTCACCCGTCAGCGGACCGAGACAGGTATCTTCAAGTGCCGAGACTTTCCTCCACCTGTCGTAAAGCTTGTTTCCTCTTAAAGTTAGGCTTCTCCCCTTCCCTTCCCGCACCTACCCTCTTTTTTGAGACGGTTTCTGCTCCAGCTTTGGTCAAGTATTCTCGACTGTCCTTGTAACATCGCCAGCCCACAACGTACCATTTTCTTTTCTTTTAGGTTTCTGTTTTCTGTTGTTGTTCGACATTGTCGGTCTGCGGGCTCGAGCCGCTCTCAGTACTCTCACCGATGGGAACAGACAGACCGGCAGTAGCTTCGTGGACGAGACGGCTTCGCATGAAATATCAACCTCATCATGTAGGAGGGCAAGCTTAGCGAAGCCCGCCCATATGGTCAGTGGGTTTTATTACACTACGCACCTGACCGTATCCGCCTTGATCTCTCCTCTGCGAATACTATTACTTTGTCCTCGCACTTCTCAGGAGGTTGACAGCGGCTAGGTTACCAGCGGCTCTCGTCTGACCAGACCGTGCCTGTCCCTGACATCTCGCTACGATGCGAGCCCTGACAGGAGAATTTGCTGGATTACGTAGCCACGTTGCAGTGGCGTTGGCGATGCTACGAAAGCAAGGTGCAGGGTGGATGGCACAAGCTTAACCGCCGGCAGTTTCTCTTCGCCTGACAGCTTCTTTGGGGACGACAGACAGCCAACAAGAATTCCTCCACAAAGGCGGATGACTGACATCTCGTCTCATAAAGTTTGAGAAAGAGGGCAGGGCATGACATGGACAGAGCTCTCGCTCGACTGACAGGCTGTTCATGCATCAATTTCATCCCCTGGACGACCCACAAATTAGCGCCTTGGCAAAGTTTGAGATCTTTCAAAACCTCCAAAGTGACAGTGACGGCAGGGGAATATTCCCAGCAGGGTTCCTCCCCTGTCCGTGATTGGCTGTTGGCCCCGTTCCCTCCGACCGTTCTCGTCGGTCTCGCGAGCGGACAATATCCCATTCTGGTCAGCCTCAGCCAGATCTCCCTTGCATCGCGCCATGAAGTGGTAGATCTCGACTTCTCTCCTCTCGCCTCGACTTCAGTCTCCACATTGCCAAGATTACAGGAGGTCTGGATCTTGAATCTTCAGGGCCTCCTTACACGCTGTTAAGGTTGACTTGAAGTGGACAGGACATTGCGACCATGGCCAGGCCTGAACAACCCTGACCCCACAACGCCGTGTTTCGGACCCCCAAACCCGTAACCTAAAATCGCATGTCGGACTTCTACACATTTACCAATACCACCGTATCCCGGGCCCTATTTTTCTCTTGCTTTACTCCACGAGGGGATCCCGACAACGCTACCCGCCGTCTGGCAGCTAAAGACCGATGCCAAACTAGGGGGTAGCCAGTACCATGTCCCCTTTCTTTCCCCCTATGATCTCCACATGCGGTGTAAACAATTTTACGTACAAGTAGTTTTACTTCATATTAATAGATGTAGCCATCCCGAGTCGCGGTCCGACGCATCCCCCTTCTAGATCTTCTGCCTCCTAATGCCTTTTTTGCCAAGCTCATCGCCGTAGCCTCGAGGGCGACGCTTCTCTTCTCTTCCTCGCAATCCTTTTCTTTGTGAGCCCGTTGTTGTGTGGTGGCCCAGGCGGCTTGCTTCTTTTCAAGCGTTGTTCTTTTTCTCTTCGCTTCCAAGGGCAGGTTCCTTTCCCTTTCATACATTTTGCAAAATCTTCCCTATTTTTTTTGTGTGTAATAGGCCATAATGTCTGAGAGGTCGTGTCCCGTGTCTGGGTCATTCGCCGGCCCCGGTGGGGTGTGCCCGGCCGGTTCGAGGGCGTCCTCAAGGACCCGCGGACCTCGTGGTTGTTCATTCTCTGGCTATGCCCAGGCAGGAGACCTTCACGCTGCTTTTGATGTAAGTGTCAGCTTATACCTGTTGAGTGTTTGTTCGGTGATCTGCAATACTAACTAGTAACTCATAGATCCCCAGAGGTGTAGACGTCGATGAGTTCCTCAGGACAAGGTAGGTCCATTTTATACAGGCCGGCGAGGACTGGCACACACTCGACTGGGACTCGCGAAAAACCTAACACCATGACAGGGAACGAAAGGCCATTAACGAAATCCTGTATTCCAAAATCCCGTCAGCAGACTACATCAAACAGGTGAAGAATGTCGACACACTCACAGCCGACGACCGCGACTTATTAGCAGTGGCGCTCGGCGCCCCCGCCCGACAAGTCATGATTAGAGCCGAGGAAATTGGTGCCAGGACAGGATGGAAGGACGGTTATCTCAGCGCCGAGTACGGTTTCTTCCCGCCCGATGCGAATGACGCTGCCGGTGCCCTTGCCAACTCACCAGGTCGTGTGTGGTCCGATCTTTGCGAGAGGATGCCCGGATGTGTCGGGCGCGGTCGTGTTAGGGAATCCATTGCCGCGCTACCAATGGTGGAGGGAACCGAAGATGTTATCCCCGACAGGGCGCTGTGGGCTGCCATTGTCGCTCTCGGCATGCTTTGCTCTATCTACCGATACGAAGACAAGAACGACGGCTACGATGGCGTGAGCATCAACAAAGTATCGACCCGCCCTCAAGTCGAGATGGCCGATTACCTCGGCCCCGAACTCATCGGTATTCCCAAGGTTATCGGTCTGCCGTATTGGCAAATCTCCCGTCGCATGGGCCGTGCGATTCCCCACCTCACCTTCTACGACCAGGCAACCTACAACCTCAAGGTCAGGGATCCGACGTCTACCGTACCCTATGTTGGCAGATTCGACAACACGGATCTTCGATGGCCCATGTTCGGCGAACGAACGGAAATTGCTTTCCTCAAGGGCTGTGGTGATACTGATGGTAAATAACGAGAAATGTGGGACGCTTGAATGCATTTTTTTGACACTAACCTTGTCCATAGCTTCCTTCCAACATGGACCCGATGCCATCGCCGCTTGCCAAGAGGCTGTCATGAACCGAAACATCGAAGGCCTTCTCCGTGAGATGATTCGACTCAAGGAAATCCTCGAACGAATGCCTAATGCCTTCCACTCCATCTCGACGAATCCCAGCTCAGGGGACAATTACGTCTCGGCCATGGAGTGGGTTCGCTGGGGCAAATTCTCCGCTCCCCTCTCAAAGCGATGCCCCGCTGCCTCCGGTCTCCAGTTCTCGCCCTATCTCCTCATGGACGCGTTCCTTGGTCGCAAGAAGTACGACTCTTTCCTCGGAAATGAAGGTCTTCACCTCCGCGCGTGGCTGCCCTCCAACCTCAGGGCCTTTATCGCCGCCATCGAGTACCACTACCGCATTCCGGAATTCGTTGTTGAATCGGGTGACCCTCGGCTCATGGGTGTCTTGGACGGAATCATTGAGGCATACACGGGCGAGCGAGGATTCATGGGCACTCACCGATACAAGGTTTTTGGTATTCTCGAGGTAGCCTCCAAGACGGGCCGTACCGAGACCAACGGAAACTCTGGAGCTTCCGACAACGCCGGTCGACCTTGGGAGGAAGTTCACCGACAGTTCTCTGACGCCATGAAGGAGCGGCTGGAGCCTTTCCGCGGCGCCAATCTCGTCGATCCCAATGAAATGCGCGGTACCTTTGAAGAGTGCCGATACAAATCTAGGATCCTCAGCCGGCAGTTCGTGGACTCTGATCCCCATCGTTCTCTCGCCATGGTAACTCTCGACCTCAGCGATACTGGCGTGACTTTCCAGCCTGGCGACAGACTGGCCGTTATGCCCCTGAACTCGTGGGGTGAGTGCGCCAAGGTGGCTGCGGCTCTCGGTCTCGAAAACATGCTCGACTCGCGTGTTGCACTTGATCGCAAGTGGACCCGTTTCGCCGAACACCTCGACAGCGTCAATCACGGCATCAACCTCCACGGAAGGAGGACGGGTGCCATCCGACAACTCACAGTCAAGGACATCCTTCGCCGTGGCCACCTGGCTCCTTTGACTAAAGATCTCGTCCTCAAGATCCACGCCATGCTCCGCGCGTCCTCCAACACCGTCTTGCAAGTGCTTGCCACCACTGAGTGGCCGGTCCGTGGTTCGCTTGGTGACCTGCTCCAGTCCGCCGTGCAGGATACTCCCCCTAGCATCTGGGACCGAGCTTTCGATCTCACTACCGACCTCTTCTGGCTCAGTGACCTTGTCCAGGTCGAGGTTCCCCGCACTTACTCCATCTCCAACTACCCCGAGGAACTCCTCCCCTCAAGCGTCGACCTCACCGTCTCCCGGGCCGAGTACAAGCTGTGTCCCACCTTCTCTCACGGTCATGAAATCTCCCGCTGCGGTGTCGGCAGTGGTTTCTTGAACCCTCCCATTGATTCTCCCGAGAATGCCCTCAGCGGAGACGAGGAAGTCCTCATCGGTGTCTCCCGCCCTCTCACCTTCCAACTTCCTCTTGATGGTGCTGCTCCCTGTGCTTTCTTCGCCGGCGGCAGCGGCATCGCTCCGTTCCGATCTTTCTGGCAGGCCCGCATCGGCCAGACCGTCGGCCGCAACATCCTCTACCTCGGTGTGCAGAGCCGTGACAAGTTCTGCTACGAGGACGAGCTGCGTCAGTACGTCTCCGGAGGCTACATGGAGGTGCATCTTGCCTTCTCTCGTGATAGCCGCGGTCTCGCGTATGACCCCGTTCAGCGGGACCTCGTCGAGAAGAGAATGGAGCCTCGATATATTGATGCTCTGATTGCCGAGCAGGGCGCTACCGTTTGCGACCTCGTCATGTCCAAGAAGCAGGGTGGTCTCGGTGGTTACCTCTACGTCTGCGGTTCAGTTGCCGTCTTCGACTCGTTCATGTCGGGCATCCGCAAGGCGATCTACAATCACCGTACTGCTACCATGGATACCACCGAGTTCATCATCAATTCCGCGTTTGCTGAGCGCAGGATCATGTTGGACGTGTTCATGACACCCAAGCCCCTGCCCTGCAACCTCGCCACGATCCCGCTTTCGCAACTTGCCGTTCATACTGGCCATAGGCCCGGCGGCCGCATCTGGCTCGGTGTCCACGGTAGCGTCTACGACGTCACCGACTTCTGTCCCATGCATCCCGGCGGCACCCTCATCATCAAGTCCAACGCCGGTGTTGACTGCTCCAAGTCTTTCGACGCTCTCGCCCACACCAATAACCCGGAGGTGGCTAGTTTGCTCACCAAGTACTTCGTCGGCCACCTCACGCCCAAGCCAGACTACCACGGGTGTGAGGAGCTCAGTGGCATCTACGACATGTGGGCCGATTACCTACGCACCAGCGTCGAGACCCTCGTGGCACAGCAATTCGAGATGGACGATCTGATGGGCTCCAACAACAACAAGCTCTGGTACCAGGAGACCATGATCAACATGCTAGGTGTCCGCATATTCTACCAATACCAGTCGCGTCTCCTCCAGGGCGGCTTCTCGGCCCTTTTCGGTCCCAAGTTCCAGGAACTCGTCCTCAAGCTCTCCTTCACTGTCGCCAACACTTCCGGCGGTGCGGATACCAAGCTGCCCGATATCCTCGGCACCATCGCGCGCGCCAAGACGTCCCCCGACGCCGTCGCCACCTCGAAGGAGATCGCCCTCGTGGGCCAATTCATCTGCGACAGCGAGTCAGCGCGCTTCCAAGAGCGCGGAATCATGGACTACGCCAACAAGTCTGTTCAGCTCGATATCGAGCTCCTCGAGGACATCCGCGAAGAAGCCTGTCGCGGCATGGACGCCTTCGACAGCATTATGAACCTCGAAGTATCCTCGGACCAGCAGCGCACGACGGCCATCTGTTCGTTCCTCATGCAGATCCTCGAGCGCATGGCTAAGCGCCTCGAGCTCTTCTACTCCAAGCTCGCACAGCACTCCATCTACAAGCCCGAGCTGGAGCGGAATCCCGCTCGTACGAGGTGGAACTTTGTACGGCGGCGCATCCGCGACGGATCGTTCTTCATGCTCACCGATAGCCCCGTCATGGGCGCCCAGCCTACTTACAAGCCCACGGAGAAGACGGTGGAGTTCGACAATGTGCTCTTCCAGATTCAGCAAACGATCAAGGATGCGCCGCGGCAAACGGCGCCAAGGGTTCACGTGCCGCTGAACGAGAGGCACACGATCCGGACGCAGAAGCCGACGCACGGGGCTTCGGCCATGGAGTCGCACGAGAACTCGGTGGCGTTGAATCGTATGAGCCAGTTCATCGATAAGAATATGAAGGCTATGAGGAGACTGAGCAAGATGCCGCCCATGCCGCTCAATTTCGATCAACTCGCTGCGAAGATGGAGGCGCAGAATCAGGCGCAGGCGAGGATTCCAGGGTTGATGACTCCTCCGTCTAGTCGTGGGTCGAGCCGGTCGCCGTCGAGAGGAGGCCCGCCTCTTTCTTCGGGCATGCCTAATCAGATGCCCAGTGTCCTGGAAGAGCTAGCCGGCCAAAGAATCCCCCTTCACCGTCGGAACACGGGTAGTTCAGACGGTAGCCTCCACAGCAATAATGGCGGGTACGCTCTCACGGGCCGCATGATGCCTCCGTCGCCGGCCACCACCCCGCCGCTTGACTCAGCCTCGGCGATCCAAACGATGGTCAACAAGCTGAATCTCAGGTCGAGGGCCTCCGCAGCGAGTCCGTCTCCGGGGTTGATGGATCCCGGGCAGATGGGACACAGTCGGAATACGAGCATCAGTTCGTATCAGGCGGCGAGGAGGAGTCGGGCGCTGTCTTCTACTGGGTCGTTGAGGACGTTTAAGTTACGGGAGTTGGTGGCGAGTCAGTCACCGACGGAGCCGAGGGTGCAGCCTACATTTTGAGGGGAATTTGTTGTGGGGGAAGGGATGAATGTTGAAGGTGTTCCGTTTTGTTTGAAGTGGGTGGTGGAGATGGATAAAATGGATATCTGACCTGACGATCTTTGCAACAAAAGCATATCATGTATAGATGGATGGTGGTATGGTGGACTGGTCCATCGCTGGATCCATCTTACTTTCTTTTATTCTTTCTTGTGTTCTTTATTTTTGGGGAAGGGGGTTTTTCCTTTTTCTTTTCTTCAGGTTGATGGATTTCTCAGGAACATCACGGAGGCTTGCTCTCCCAAGAGAGTCGGCGCCCTTTGGGATAGGATAGCTAGAATTGCTTCTGCATTGACACCTGATCCGGTTGCTTCTATAAATCGGGAAAGTGAATCTTTTCCAAAGACTATTTGAGAATTCGTGGATTTCGAAGAACAATACTCATGGGAAAAGAAATGGAAATTGGAATGGTCGAAACTCCTTTCCAAATTTCAACGTATGAACTCCGCAAAGCTTCAAGCTTTCCTAGAGTTCTGCTCCCACAAACAAAATCAGTGTGAGCAGCCGTATTTTACTTATGTGGCGTCGATGGTCCTCCCCTCCTGTTCCCGCTCTTTGAGATAGGGCAGCAATGCTGCATTCGTGGTTGGCTTTGGGCCAGCGCGGTAGGGGAGGCACTCGCCAGAGCAGGCTGTGCCCTCTCTCGGTCGTCAGCCTCATTTTCTCTCGTCAAGAACCCTTCCCCGCTGACGCCATCTCTTCAAAGTCAAACTTCCCTAGACCTATTCTTCTATAGACGTGCTTTGTTCGTGTGCAAAACGCTTCAAGGTCCTTCCTTCGGGCGATCAAGAGCTCCTCATAACCGCCGAGAATGGCCAACATAGGCAGGATCGCCGTTTCCGCTCTCTCTGCCGTGGCAGAGTCAACTCAGGCACTCATCAACATCAATTTCGACTTTACAGCGGTGAAAGTCAGCCCTCCCGAAGAATTCCTAGATCTCGGGAAGTCCTTAACGGCCAGTCGTCGACAAAAAGCCGAGGAGGGGGCCCTTCACCTCACGGCTCGCCAACTGGGGGCAATCTTTAAGTCGATTCTTCCCGACACACCAAATTTGATCAAGTCCTACGGTAGGCGCGCATCCGAAATTGCCAAAGCGGCAACCGAATCAGGAGCATCGCCACTACGTGGCACGGATAATCGCAACGAGTTCGTTTCTAGTCTTCTCGCCGGACACGTTGGCGTGGACGGAGCCAGTATTTGGGCTGGTGCAACATCTGGGTCGGGTGCAATACAGGTCCACCTTCTCGCATGCCTGCTCGCTCGCATGTGGGACGGGCCGGAGGCTGTGTCCATATGGGTTGAGCTCCTCAAAAGCCGCAAGGCCGAGGTCCAGGAACGATTCGCAGACCTGGGCCAGGTCGACGTTGGAACCGCGGTCGCGCTACACAAGGAAGTCAGTCGATCGCAGCTGGCCGAGTGGGATGCCAGCGCCAGAGCGTGGCTACGCATTGCAGACATCGTGAAAATGCCGCAGCAGAAGCAGTTACTCTTAATCATCGGCGATATGAGCAAGTCCGTCAACTCGAAGCAAGCTCTCTATGACAGCGTTATTCAAACGTGGAAAAGTGGGCTCGAGGGTATGGAGAGCCTCCTCAGCGGCTGCCCTCTTCAGATGAACAACGGGGAGATTCTCTTGGCGCTATCTTCCTGGCACTTATATCCTGATCTGAATGTGCTAGATGTAGTGACGAAGATTGTCCCTCAGGGCGACCCATTGGTGCCGGCATCGGGGATTCTCACTCTGGGGTTGCAAAACTCTGGAATAGGGGAAGAATCGGAATCGGGCCTGAGATGGTCGCTGCCGCTGGCACATCTACGTTACTACGGGGATCCTGTCCAGCGAACTGGCGCCATTCGAGCGGAGGGCAAGAGACTTAGTCTCGCCGAATTTAACATGGCGGTCCTGGGATGTGTGCTAGGATCCTGGGCCATACCGGATGCTGATGTTGAGGGCAGCATGTCGTGGCTGGTAAAGTTGTCTAAAAACTTAGTTCTCCTACGTAACCTCTATGCAAAAGGGGTTGAGCAGACTTGGCTTGAGATCCTTGGAGAGACAGCACAGAACTACCTCAGCTCAAAAGGTCTGGACCGCCGAGTTTTCACGCAGCTTCTACGGCTTGGGAGAAACCATCCCACTTTCATTGGAGGTCCGTCAGAGCCCTACTTCGGTCTATCAGCTCCAGAGAGAGCGATAGCCCTGGCGAAGTGCACCGAGGAGAAGGTACATATTCTACGCCGCCTAGCAACGAGGGCCAAGATACCCTGTAATCATGCCATAATTCGATATATATCTGAAGAAACCGGACGGGAGGAATATGCATTAGCAACACCCGCTGAGCAGCTAGTCACTAAGCAAACCGAGAGTGGAGAGGGAAAAGCCATTACTGGCTATAGGCGATGGGTACAGAAGGAAGCACCCATGTTCGATCCCACGCATGTAGATGGGCCGGATTCAGAACCGATGAGGCTGGGCGCCTTTGCTGGAGCCGCTTCAAGCCAAACTGCTTTTTCTACCGCGCCCCAGGGTTACCAGGACTACCATATGTATTACCTTGACTTTCCCTCTAAAGATCACCCGTCCCCATCCTCTGACACCCATGAGGCCACAAAGGACATCGTTGACTACGAGGCTGAATTCAAGCGCCAGAAAAAGCGATACGAGGCTCTGGGTGAAGAGGTCCTCGTCGCGGAACAAGAGCCTTTCGTAACAGTCCTCAAAGCGAACAGGCCCATGCGAGTCGTCCGAGGTTATGTTGGGCTTACCCCTAGCCAATCTTTGCATCCATATGAGTACTGGGATCGGCCGGTTCGGCACTACGAGAAATGGCTGGGAAATGAGGAGTCCGCTGCTCTCTTTCTTCGGTCGGACATTTCGCCACCGGAGAAAATCCCCCTTCAGCTGGCCGACATGAAGCTCCTATTCGAAACAGGCAATCTCAACACAGCGACATTGGCCCAGACTATGGTATCCGCAGTTGACTCTCTGGATGATGGCTTCATCATGTCGATGCGGGCTTTATCTACGTTTAACTGCTTGTATAAGCACCTGAAACAGAGCACTATCGACGTTCGTGTATTCAGTGGCAGCCTTCTGCAGACAAATGCCTTTCAGTTCCTTGCGACGCATACCAGTTATCTTGAAACTAGCGACGATGACGAGGACGATGATGGTGGCAACGCTGAATTTGGGTTTGGGCCATCTCCCCCTCCAAACGAGACAGATTCATTCCAAGAGGCTGCTGCCTTGTCAGAGAGTCAGACACAAACAGTACCTCCAACACTGCATGTAACCTTCGAAGTGGCAGAGGCGATTACTACCATAGCAACCTCTATTAAATGGCGTCCCAAACGCCTCACCATTCAGGAATCCTTCTCCGCGATTCTCTACCTGGAGAGTAACTTCCGTATTCACCCGAACCAACTCCAAAATGTCATGGCCATTTCCAGCGGAAATTCGATGTTTATCTCCAGCGCCCTCATCTCCGACCCATCACATGGACCGAGTCATGTCAAGATACGCCACGTCATGGGCAATGTTGGCCGGCCGGGAACAGCCCTGCTTGTCCCGCCACTGGAGCCGCGCATCATGAAACTAAAGCTTGACCATTGGCACCTCGTCAACCTTGCTGACTGGGACGGTGGAGCCAGAGACTGCTTCGCGGATACGACTCTGCATCTTTGGTTTACGGGTAAAACCCAGGAGGTTGATATTGGATTCTCGGGCGCTCAGGACACAGAGCTGTACATACTCGAGAGCGTGGTATCCGTCCACGGCAGAGGCCAGTGGATCGCTGACTTGGACATCGTCAAGGCTCTTACGGACCAATCTAGCCTCTACCGATGGAGAGGCATACCATCGGACGGGAAAGCTTCAGCCTGCCGGATTCGCAATCCGGCCCAGAGCGTCGATAGATGTGCTGGCGGCCATGACATGCAATATCGTCAAGACGATATTCCACTCACGGCTTTGGAGAACTGGTCAGAGTTGCTGAGCTTGCCGGCCAATAGCTGCGTATTCCTTGCCTGCGGCAACTGGCAGGCGAGGCTCGCAGCTACGGTCATTGCTGTTGCACTGAGGAAGAAGGTCTGTGTTTTACGTGAGAGCGTCTGCTGGGGGTGTATTAAGAGCCTGAGAGATTCGAAGACATTGGAGGATTCTACAGTCTTTATATTATAAGAAATTTTTCGGTTGGGGAGAGGGAGAAAAAGGAGAGTGGTCCGAGACTGGCCTTTTGTTGAGCGCTCTGGTTAGAGCTCGTCCGTGACATAGTTTAGGTGTTAGTTGGCTCGGGCTCTTGTACAGGCCTTGTAAGGCATGGCCCGCTACATCGCAGCACCCTTGGAGGAAAACATCAAGAATAGCAAGCCACTGCCTGGTTCCTGTTCTCCGTTTAGTATATTTCTTTCGGGTGTCATTGACTCTTAGGATAGCGGAAAGGATATGTTCTTTGTGGCCTAGCTGATAATTATCGACCCAACTAGAGTTGGCTTGCCTTGTGAATATGGCAATGTAAGACCACTGGTCTCCTCGACTTGGGATCCGGTTTTAGTTTTTCTGAGCAGATTGGGGTAAAGTCGATGATATTGATTGATGTTACGAATGAGATAGGCATAAATCTCGACATCCACATCCACATCAGGACGAGACATTCAGCGATTCCTCTGAGGAAGATAAACTCGACCAGTCGGCCAAAGTCATGTGGCAATATGGCAATGGCCCCCGTTCGGATTCTGAGGGCATCGTGGGGAAAGAGCGACTGCGGGAGCTGGAGCATCTCCATATTGACGGGTCGCCTTGGTGGCGATTACTCGAATCATCTCATTCCGAGGGTCCATCGTCTCTTTAAAACGCGGGAGCGAATACGTACGTTAGGGATATTTTACGTCTGTCGAAAATGTCTAGGGAATGGAGTGGCTGATGTTGTCGCAAGTTCTCGACTCCCAGTCAGACGGGCATTTAGAGTGGACATTTAGATGTATTTCAGGCAGGTGGTCGAAAACGGTCAATAATTCGCCACCTCCAGCCAGGGCGTTTATTTCAGTAATAAACATCAAGAAAGATCAAAGTTGTCTGCTCCAGCTCTCCAGTTCCAATATCTCCATTGTATTTTGGAGGAGAATTCATCAAATTTATTGATTCACTTCATCACCAGGATCTCATCTTGGAAGGCACGATCCTGAGTTGCGCCACAAAGGTGCATCGCCAAATCACGTGTTGATAAGATATCAATGACATATTCACAAATTTCCCCTCTAAAGTTGATTCCTCTGTGTTTTGGAGCTAAAGCTCTCGCGACAACTTCACCTTCACTCCTTCACATCCCAACCCGACAAACCTAACAAAGGTTTGCCTCTTCGCACAACGCGATCCATCCCTTGATTCGCATTCCATTCTCATCTCCCCTTTATTTTGTCCCACTCCGTGGTTAAAAAAAACCTCGGAGGATCCAATTATGGATTCCTCCGAAACCAGCACATCTGCCCCCAAATTCGTCTCAACGCTTCCTGGCGGGATCTACTCGGACTCTGACTCCGATTATGGCGAATATCTAAGGCCTAACACCGACCCTTCGGCCGACTATGACGGCGAATTCCGACCTCGCAAGCGTAGGCGCATGGCGGGCGGTGCCAACGCCAAAGAACGAGCTGCCTTGGGTGTGTTCGGCTCCGATAGTGACGATACTGGACCCGGTCGAGGCTGGAAGACCAGGACCCTTCGAGGCCACGGTATGGCCTTTGTCTCGCAGGGGTCCCAGAGAGACGACTCCGAGGATGAGGATAGTGACGAGGGCGGCGAAGGCGAGAACGGAGCTATGGATGAGGACGAAGAAGATTACGATTCCGACGAATATCCCCGAGTCGTGTCCCCCGAGCCCCACAAGAACGGCCTCGGCGCTGAAGAATCTAAACCCGTCCTAGGACTCGGTGCCAAGCCCGCCGCTACTATCTACGATGGCAGCACTCCCTTTGGTCGAGGCTTCGTGCCCGCGTCGGAAAAAGAGCCCGTCCTTCGCGATGATATCAGCGATACCGCGACGCCCGCGAAAAAAGCGATGCCGAGCGCCTTTGGCGGCAAGGATAAGAAGCCGAATCCAAAGTCGTTTGGAGCGCGAATGCTCGCCAAGATGGGCTATAAGCAGGGGCAGGGTCTTGGGAAAGAGGGCCAAGGCAGAAACATAGTCGTTGAAGCCAACCTTCGTCCCCAAGGCGTCGGTCTCGGTGCTGTGAAAGAGATGACGGAGCAAGAACGTCGCGAACAGAAGCGACAGGCGCGTCTCCGTGGTGAACAAGTCTCTGATTCTGAGGAGGAACGCAAAAAGGCGAAGCAAAAGAAGCTCAAGCAACAGCAACAGCTCAAAAAGGGAAAGCTTGGCGGTTTTGACAGCGCTACCAGCACCCCGAAGAGGCAAAAGCCGAAATATATGACGGCTGAAGAGATGAAGCGCATGGCTCCTGGCCTAAACATCCCGGATGCCTTCATGCCCATTCTCGATATGACCGGACCTGGAAGCAAGCTTGTCACTTCTGCGTCGGGCTTCAGCACGCCTACGTCAGCTCCCGAGTCTGCCGAGACGGTCGAGTCGAGGAAGCATCTTAGACAGGCACACCGCGACTTGTCTGCATTCTCCGAGGAGTGGAGGGGTCTCGCGGAGCGACGCACCTGGGTTGATACGCGTCTCGGTGAATGTCAGGGACAGATGGAGAGTCTCCAGCTGGGGCACAATGAGATGCAAAGCTTCGTTGACATTGTCACCACCGAGCTTCCTGCTGCCGGAACGGATTGGCAGAAGGTCATATTATGTCTTCACAAGGCCGCCAACGTCGGTCCTGCTACGCCCGATACTGCGGCCACTATTGTCGCTGCCCTCGAGCCTTTTTTCAAGGACCCCGAGTGGGACCCCATCAAGGAGCCCTCGCGTTATGCCGATGATATGAAGGGTCTCGAGACGCTACTTATGCCTGATACCGATTCAAACCAGGCAGTCCAAAAGGTCGACTCTTCAATGTTCACATCGACAGACGGCATCTACAGACAGCATCAACGATCTACGACTCACTACGAAAGTCTAATCTACCGCCTTTGGCTCCCTCGCGCCCTCCGAAGCGTCCGCGACTGGAACGTCCAAGACCCCGACGCCCTTATGGCCGTACTCACGCACTGGGACAGCCTCCTACCCAGTTTTGTCCGCGTCGAATTTATCGAGAACATTGTGCGACAGCTCCACGCAGCAGTCACCGATTGGAATCCCAAGACGAAGAGGCAGACCCACCAACTTCCTCACGTCTGGTTATTCCCGTGGTTGCCCCTGCTACCCCCCTACCACCTCGATCCCCGGGGCACGGGTTTGGTCTCCGATGTACGCCGCAAGTTTAGACAACTTATCGACGTTTGGGAGTATGAGCGCGGACCGATCCCCGGACTGGCCAAGTGGAAGGAAGTCTTGGGATCCAAGGAGTGGCATGGTCTGCTTATCGGTCACGTCGTCCCCAGCATGTCGAGATACGTCCAGCGGAACTTCCGCGTTGACCCGGCGGATCAGGAGCCCTACCTCGCCGTCCTGGATGGTGTGTTGCGATGGGCGCGGAGCAGCGGTGGTGAGGGTGAGGGTATCTTGCCTACTCGGTACGTCGCCGAGGTGGTGGCCGGCAAGGTTTTCCCAATGTGGCACGAAAAGCTGGCAGAGTGGTTCGCACTTGGCGAGGATGCGGACCTCAATGAGATTGCCACTTGGTATGAGTGGTGGAACGAGTACTATCCCCCCGAGATGGGCAAGTTGTTGAGGGGTGAGTTTGAGAAGGGGTTGTTGGCTATGGAGAAGGCCATGGATCGGATGGTGATCTAGAAGGTGTGGCGGGGTGGGCCGCGGGTGTGTTTGATGGAAGGAAAGAGACAAGAATGTTCATAGAATGATGCATGATGGTGTTTTTTTCAGCAGGCGCATTTTTTTGAACTGTCATTGTTGGATTTGTGCTTTTAGACTTGGGTTGTATGATAGACTAATGAGATTTGATTCCTCGGGGACGTTGGATGATGCCACCGTTGATGGATATTCGAGAGGGCCGAGCGTCTCTCAAGGCGAGTGCTTCCCACAGGAGGCCGACCAAGATCATTGACCCCCATGCAGATCCTCCCGTACTCTTCTCCCCCTTCCATTCTTCCCGCCCCTCGGCGACATTTCATCATCATGGCTCGAACTCTAGAATTACGAAGAGACTTGGAAATCAAAAAGCCCCAGCATCACGCAGCCAAGGTAAACTCCAGCAACTCATACAGATGAATGTAACCTGAAATGCCAAAGGTTCCCCTTGACACAACTCTCCACTGCATTGGGACCTTAATCAGCGCCATTTCGATGCCGCCTTCTTGCCAAGTCCGAGGGAGCGGTGATGCAGACGATTAGAGTGAACCAAACCGAACATATAATTTAATACTTGAATTTTTAAAATTAAATAATAAAATAAAGAGAAAAGAAGAAGAAAAGAAGGAGAAGAAAAAGGCATGGAAAAAGAAGAGACAATAGAAAAAGAATCCAGCCCAACAAACCCAGCATTGGGCACCCACAGATTTTACTCGATGCTGTCCTCTCGGATCCCCCACGCATTCGGCAGATGAGCCGACCTGGTTCTAAGATTTCGGGCGTCGGCAGGACATGGCATTTTCCTTCTGGGGGTGAAAGCCATCGCAATACGGGAGGATGTCTACAGCTGGGCGGGGCTTACAAGTACCTAGCGACTACTAGCGGGAGAGATCAAGGCAATGTAACCGCAGCGTTGGGGATTCGCAGTTTAACTTGGCTTGGCCACCTTTCCGAGGTACAGCCTCTTTGCTGAGTCTTGAGTGAGAGCGCTGTTCGCCCCAAAGTCCAAGGTGTCGTGATAGGGTGTGCTTGCTGAACTAGGTAGGTCGAAGTCGTGATAGGGAACAGGATGATCCATCTCTCTCATGTCTGTCCGTGATACTATCTGAGGAGACATTGGTAAATAGAAATCGAAGACGAGCACCGATCACGGGCATCGGAATCTGGAAGGTCTCATCGTGCAGGCTTATGATGTCCGTTCGCCTCGATGATACCCGTCCGCTTGACGTCCTTTGTTCTGACCTGCAGTAGCTCCGCGCCACCCCCGATCAAAAGAAGTCATTTCCGTCGTCCCGTTGGTCAGCAACATGATTGATTGATCAACTTGCTTTGGAGTCCGGTACTTTTGCCTGTGATTCTCAAAGTTCTTCGCAGGTGTTCACTATGAGGTTGTAGAGAGGCCTTCCAACTTGGAATGTAACCAGCACCGGAGCATTTTAAACAATAGGAAAGAGCTTGGACCACCTCGCGGGGACAGAGAAAGAGAAGAGGAATCCATTGTTTCTGCGCGCATGACTGTATTTTAATATATTAATTCGCAATAGCAGTGTACCAAGTCGCGGGAACAGATCCTGGTTTGACAGCTGAACTGCCACAATCCTGGTTCTCCCGTTCTCGGCTTTGTTTTCGGACATGAGAGAGGAAGGGACAGCGAACGACGTAGAATGTACGAATATGAAGTATGGGATCTAGGATATAGAATATAGAATTGAAATATCAGATCTATTTCATTGCCTCAAAGATGGCCAGTTCCAAGATCCAGACCAGACCACGCGCCTCTATTAACGCAGGGCTGTCCCGGTGCAGATAATATAGACAAGCGAGGCGAAGCGAGGGCTTATCCATCCTCTCTGCTCGCCATGCAATTTATGAAGAAGAGGAGGTTCGGACGTTGGCGAACTCTTGGTTGGATTGTGGGATCTCGAGAGACAAGGTAGGCCATGCAATAGATAGATTGACAGCCACTCTCGAGGATCCTTCTTATCATCCCATGCCCGCGCGTAGAGTCGTAATGCTATCCAAAATCCCCGAGTATCTCAACTCCAAAACCTTGGAGCTTGCCAAAGGATGGCGATGCTCGCAAAAAGAAACCGTCAAAGCCACGCCCTCGTGTCCGATCCTTCAATCCTCGCATTTACTCGACCGATCACGGTCCGACTTGGACTGGTAGTTTTTTCTTTTTCCATTAGGATTACTTCGTATTTTAATTCCTTCTTCTCTTCAGGAAGGTGTCTTCTGAATCCTTGGGAGTAGCAATGGCGACATCTCTCACCAAAATGTCTCGACGTAAAGACAAATCCCGCCTTGACAAGAACAGACTTCACGAACAGCCACAATGAACACATCACGCTCCCTCAAGAACGTCATCATCCTTCCAGATGACCCAAACCAAAATCTATCTTGACCGCCACGGTAGCAGCAGAAATCCTGCTGATCTGCCACTTCACCAGACTGCTATCTGCGATCTTTGAGGCCAAGGGTGTGGCAGGCAATATAAATTCCCCTCCATAAAAAAAGAACGAAGGAGAAAAAGACGTCAGAAGCCCGATCCTGGTAGCTGGCTCCTATGAAATAAGTCGAGTTTGCTTTAAATTAAGAGCCCACCTCTATTTTCCCATCGTGATGCCCTTCACCAGTTATCTTGCACTCGCAATAAAGGAAATGCTCCGTCACCGGGGAGGACCGAGCCCGTCTTCTCCAAACCTATGAATCCCGCCAAGTGGTTAGAGCGAGCGAGGAAAGATGGGACAAAAGAGAGGGAGAGAAAAGAGAATAGATTGTAAGCTTTCATTACCGCCCGCGCAAGCGAGTCTCAACTACCGGACTTGCAGCGGACATGGAGAAAGATCGCATTTATCTTTCCCATAAACCTCCGCAGCCCTTGTTCTCGCCAGAACCCGAGTCCCGTCTCCGACCTCGCCTCTACCCGTGTGCTTTCGGTCTCAATCCTATGATGCCCATTAGCACTGATCTCATAGTGAAAAAGTCCCATCGATCCCTTTTGTCTCCTGGGGCGTTACCCGAGCATGGCAGATGTGAATACTGATGAGTAGTTGTTGCTGTACGAAGTAGTCGGCAGTCGACCAAAAGGTTCCTCGCTCACCCAAAAAGGGCCAAGATCGACCACAACTCCAACATCTTATCTCTGGTGCCCTCCTCTCTCTTTCTCTTCCTCTTCATCCCATCCCATCCCGCCCGCCCTATCTACGGATGACACCCTTCCCTCCAGAGCAAAGGCCAAGCGGCACTCATATATAAATGTAACCCCGCGTATGGTAGGATTCGCCCTGCAGCTGCAGATTTCCTCTTCACCACTTTCTTCTTCGGGAGAACACCACGAGAACCACTGGATCGCGGGGGCCCTCACGAGTCCACACCCTCCCAATGGTTCTCACGTTCCTGTTCTAGACCGACATATCCTGTCTCACTCATACTTCTTTCCCTTAACCAGGATTTTAGAAATGTCACTTTCCTTGTTCCGAAAGAACTTACCTTTACCTCATCGCACGAGACTCCCACCCCGCCCGAGTTCGGGGAATGGGTTGAAGTGTGGATGGGAAATCCATGTGCCAGTGAAGGCAGCACACCTCAACTCTCGCCTTGCAGCCTCGTCCTCCGACTTTCCCTCGCCAAGCTTCCCTCTGCCGCCTGGCTTTCCTTCCTGACTCTCAACACCTTAAACGAACACCACACATCCCTGTTTCGAGGCTCCCTCACGCCCACAATGTCTGTCCCCCCCCTTTTAACACCCCCCACCCGAGAACCCACCTTCCCGGTTCTATTATTCGATTATCTGCTCACAAAGTCACTTCGCCTCGACGATATGGCCATTTCCCTCAGAAGGACTTCTGCGCCTGCTCCTTGCTTACCTCGCGTCAAGGATAGGCCGCTCACGTACCTCACTTACCTCATTTAACTTACCATTCCTGTCCTCCTCCTATCCGTGCTTCCACGCTCTCCAATCATGTTAGCAAACACCATCCAAAGAGGAAAGCGGATTAGGAAGCGCAGGGACCTCTCTCATTCACTGTCATGTTGATGGAACGTCCTCTCTCCCCCACCATGCATGCATCCCTCCGCCCTCTTCTTAGCTGTACGCTCGAACGTGTCAATCTCTCGAGTATTGGAGCTTTCCCACCCAAGGGTATTATACCAGAAAGGGAAGTTCACGTCGTCGCGAGAAAGGATGTCCTGGTAAGGAGCATGCAGCGGACACACGGAGGGGGGGCAGCACGCAATGACGTCCCAGAACTCGACGTGATCTTTCTATTCAAAGGGGAAGCCTGGATGAAATGTGAGCTCTTCCCGAGACCCTTGTTCAACTATATAAGCCGTGATGTCCTTCACCATGGAGGCCTCTATCTCGTCTCTCTCTCCCAACCCCATCCTCAGCGTCCTAGTTTCCCCCACCTGAGTCCTGTCTTTCATCTACTGTCATCTTTCTCAAAATGATGCACCTCAAGTCCCTCACCCTCTTCCTCGGAGCTTTCCTCTCCGGAGCTCTCGCCGCCCCGGCATCGGGTCCCCGTGGTGTGAGCCCCCAGGTGCTCCCTAACAAGTACATCGTCACTCTTAAAAACAACCTCGTCAAGCCACAGGTTGACAACCATCTCTCCTGGGTGCAAAACGTCCACCGTAGAAGCCTTGGCCGCCGTGACGGTGAGATCACCGCCGGAGTTGAAAAGGTGTGGAGTGAGAGCTTCAAGGGATACTCGGGCGAGTTTGATGCTACTACTATTGAGGAGATTCAGGCCAGCGACGAGGTGAGTTTTATTCCTGCCCTGATAAGAAAATAGTAGATTTCTGATATTAATGACTCTTCTTTTCTTTTTAGGTCCTTGCCATTGAGCCCGTCGCTGTGTGGGAGCTCTACTCCCTCACCCGGCAGCTCAACGCCCCATGGGGTCTCGGCAGCATCTCCCACCGCACTGCCAACCACAGCACCTACGTCTACGACACTTCGGCCGGCGAGGGTACCTGGGCCTACGTCATTGACACCGGTCTCAACACCGAGCACGAGACTTTTGAGGGCCGTGGCCATCTCGGCTACAACGCCTATCCTAACGTGCCCTTCGAGGACCGAAATGGCCACGGTACGCACTGCGCTGGCACCATTGCCGGAAAGGACTTTGGTGTCGCGAAGAAGGCCAACATCATCTCCGTCAAGGTCTTTGACACGGGATCGGTACGTGTTCTCATCTCCCCGCTCGTAGCAAATTTGCTAACGTCACTTGTGTGAGTAAAGTCCACCACCGACATTGTCCTCGACGGCTTCGAGTGGGCCGTCAGCAACATCACCAACACCCCCGGCCGCGCCGACACCTCCGTCATCAGCATGTCCCTCGGTGGCTCACGCTCCGAGGCCTTCAACGCCGCCGTCGAGGCCGCTTACCAGCAAGGTGTCCTCACCGTCGTAGCCGCAGGCAACTCCTACGACGACGCACAGTACTACTCGCCCGCGTCGGCCCCCAACGCCGTCACCGTCGGCGCCGTCGACGTCAGCAACACCAAGCCTGGCTTCAGCAACTATGGTTCCCTCATTGACGTCTTCGCTCCTGGTGTTGATGTCCTTAGCGCTTGGATCGGCTCCACCACTGCTACTAACACTATCTCGGGTACCTCGATGGCTTGTCCCCATGTTGCTGGGCTTTCTCTCTACTTGAGGGCCCTTGAGGGCTTGACTGCTCCTGGGGATGTCGCTGCTAGGATTGTTGAGCTTTCTACGAAGGATGTTGTCCTCTCTGCTGGGACTAACAGCCCTAACAGGCTTGCTTTCAACGGCGCCGTTGATAATGAGTAAGTGGCGGCTTGGGATCGTGAGATCGGATATGGGACGGGTTTCAAAGGAGTCTGTGGTCTATCATCATTCATTTTGTTGGATAGAACCAGGCGCTGAGGCGTCCTGGTCTGCATTCTGGGGTCCATTTTGTAATAGTTTCTTGGCGGCGGGTTGGGGGATCATGATCTTACGTTGTTAATCTCTATTTCTGGTTTTAATATGTATCTCGATAATTCCCAGCATCTCTGATTGTTTAGTGGGCTTGCCCATCATCGGCGAAGCTCCGAGGGTCGGTGCTGGGCTTTCGGGTGCATCCCGTGTGAGAGCGACCTCGCTGTCCAAACACGGCCGAGACTGTCTAGCCCTAACCGCTTTCAGTCGGCCACTCAAAGCCCAGTACAAGCGCGTGGAGAAACCAGTAAACAGCATCGAGCCCTCGGAGCCAACAGGCGAGGGCGTGGGGAGAGGAGGGGAGGAAATAGACGTGTCGAATCCGATTTCTGAGTCACGAATGCATGGCATAAGCTGCCCCTCCCCCTCTCCTCTCATTCAAGGACCGCTCCAATGGAGTGTACGCATGAAGTAGGTCCCGCAGAACATGTGGGCGCCAAGTCTCGGGAGGGGAGTGGACAACATGGGGAAATTCTAAATGCCCAGGCAGCCAAGGAAGATTCGACCTTCTTCCCTTCTTCCCTGCTTCCCAGATCGAGATTGGGGGGAAATGGAATTCTTCCCTGTCAAAAGGGCTGCCTGGAGGTGAGGCTGATTCTGGGGATGTACAGGTACGGAGGCAGCCATGGCTCTTTGTGTTTCCTCAGCTCGTCTTGGCTTTTCCGGAGAATTTCCTGGGTGGAGGATCTCGGGATTTGCCTGGACTGACTGGATCACCACAGGCTCAGTCAGGTCTCACAGAAAACAGGATATGGGCAAAGGGGTTAAGCAAAGAGGTAGAGTATGAAGAAACAGGGTCTTTCGGGGCATGGTCTTGATCATTTTACTGGGGAAGGTACAAATGACATTTCAGCCTGCTGAGAACATATGAGGTTTACATGTATACAGTACAATGTACCCCCAACAGTGAAGGTGGAGTGGATTTGTCGTCATCTCAGCAATTTGATTACAATGTACTGTGGTACCCGTGTAGCACCTTCCAATTGTCCTCGAGGAGGGAGAAGGCCGCCGCGAGGAGATCAGGCGCACCTGCCAGTTTACAAAGTTCGAGTTCAATTCCCATCGAGAAGGAAGGAATTGTGTCATCGATGGCGCTGCCTTTTGTAGCTGCCCCAAAAATAGTCCCTCAACAACATGCAAGTCGCAAGATTGCTCAATAAGAGAAAGGGCTCGCACTCGACATTAGCGTATCAGTGGATGATCAGATGGCGAAATTCCACTGAGAAAAGCCAAAAATAGCTGGCACCTGGTTACCGAGAGTGGGTCACATTGATTGTCCTCCCGGATTGCACCGCCGTTTCAAAACTTTGACATCCACGTGCTCAGGTATTTTTTAGTATTCGTAGGGCGTAAAAGGAGGAGAAGCTACATTCCATGTGGTACCACTTGCTTCCGTGGGGAGTATGGGGCATACAGTTCAAGCTTAAATGGATACTGTATTATCTAGAACTTACTGATCCCCTCGCACGTCTTATAAGAGGCGAGCGAAATCTTTAGTGGTGTAAATACAGTGCGGAATAAATTCCAATGCTGAACGTCCAAAATGGGCACCCCTGGCGCTGAGGCCCCTTGTCAACATTGATCAACCAGCACCTTCGCCCTGGATCAATAGGGTCCTCAGAGGCTCTGTTGTCACTGCCAGTGTCTCTGTCTCCATGCTCTGTGCTCGTGCCTGCTCCCTCACGCTCCTCGTCCTTGATTGACGCCCTCAAGTCCTCAAGTGCTGCGTCTTCTCAGCCCAACCTCAACCCGAACATCCGCAAAATTATCATCACATTAATCCTACCAACTCGGGGCTTAATTGTCCACTCAACAACGGCATTCTTCCTCCGCCATCTAACCCCCTCTCCAAGCTTCTATTCGTCGTCACTCCCTTGCGTCCCCTTTTTCCACTGCTTCTCTGATCATTTTTTCATCCATAACTTGCATATACTGCCTCACTATTACCCCATTACCGGGCTCCTTTCTCTGGGTCTGATCTCGTCCGACCCACAACCCGCTTCTCCCTTTTCCTGCCCAGGGCTGCGAAACCCGACCAAAGGAGAAAAAAAAATAAACCCCTCGACGTCGGAATCGGGAATTGGCTCGCTCGAATCAGCGAACAACCGCGCGTCTTTGCTCCGATCATTCTTTAATACTTTTTTTTTGCTGCGTCTTACAAGCGACATCCTTACCTTCAGTCGTATGCTGGATCCGCGATCCCGCGTCTCGTCCCACCTCCACCTCCCTTACTGCCTTCGACGCTTGTCCAGCTCTGCCGGGGCCGTGACATAAAAGAAAAGGGCAGACCTTCCGACTCGCTTATATTCGAATTCGAACGCATTAGTATTTCACCATGTTTTGGAGATTTGGCGGTTACGCCAACATCTCCACCATTGATACCCTCCTCGAGAAACCCGACTTCACTCTCGAGAACCTCCTTGACGAAGCCGACCTCCTCCACGAGATTAAGCATCACAATGCGAAATTAATCGAATATCTACGCGAAGAGCCCGTGCTCGAACAACTCCTCGACTTCGTGGTCGCCCCCAAACTCGAACCCGTTGCCTCTCCTAAGAACGAGACGCCTTTCGATGATGACAAGGGCAAGTCGACAAGCTTCCCTTTTGCGCGCTCGCGCGCGTCATCGAGGGCCATGAGCGAACCGGACGAAGACGAGACGGAGAAACGGCGAAACCGATATGCCTACATCGCTTCCGAGGTGCTCGCGTCGGATACCTGGTCCATCTACGAGGCTCTGATGGAGAATGGGAATCTCATACGGAACTTTTGGAAGTTCCTGAAGCGGCCTTCGCCTCTCGATCCTCTACAGGCGTCATATTTCACCAAGGTGAACGAGGCCCTGTTTGAGAAGAAAACAGAGGAGATGATTGAGTTGCTCAAGAGCTTTCCCAATGCAGTAGCCGATCTCCTGAGCCACGTAGAGTGTCCCATGATCATGGATTTACTGCTCAAAGTAATCGCCCTCGATAGGATGGAGGGTGGTCAGGGCATTGTCGAGGTAGGATTACCCCTAAATACACATGTCCTGGCCTGATATCTTCCGATTCCTGGTAAAGATACAAAGCATTATCCCTCTTTCCTTGAGCTGCTCGGTTGTCTGCATATTGCTGTTTTCTTCGCTCATACTCTGTGTGATGCCTTTCTTTGCGGATACTAACCATTTATCCCCTTTTCGCAGTGGCTCTACTCTCAAGACATTGTTCCGATTCTTCTCTCCTGCCTCTCTCCCGAACGAAACTGGGTTGTGCAAACAGCTGCTGGCGACTTCATCAAAGCCATCATCACAATATCCGCAAACGCGTCACAGAACGAGCAGCAATGTATCGGGCCTAATGAACTCACCCGGCAGCTTGTATCTCGGCCTTGCGTCCAGCAGCTTATCAAGTACATGCTTACCGGCGGCAACCCCTTGACCGTCGGTGTTGGCATTGTGATTGAGGTCATTCGAAAAAACAACTCGGACTATGACCCCGACGTTGGCGCCGATGAGGGCTCAACTCCGTCGTGTCGAGATCCCATCTACCTCGGCACGCTCCTTCGTCTCTTCGCCGACCACGTTCCCGACTTTATGAACCTCATCATGAACGCACCGGCACAAAAGAAGCACATGAACTCTACGTTTGGCGAGAAGCTCGAGCCCTTGGGCTTTGATCGATTTAAGACCTGCGAACTAATGGCCGAGCTTCTTCACTGCAGTAATATGGGACTGATGAACGAAGTCGGGTCGGAGGAGCTTATCGCCGCCAGAGACGCCGAGCGCCACCGCCTACGACGCGAAGGCAGGCTTATTCCCCGCCGAGAAGACGAGGCGTCCATTTCCGCCGATGATCTCACCATGCGCTTTCCCCATGGCGCGGCGCATGCCGGTGGTAGCGACAACCGACGCCTCGAGGTCACTAACAATGCCGAGGACGACGGGTTTGAAGAGGTTGAGCATAGCCGCGAGATGAACGAGGACACATCGCACGAGTTCGTCAAGGCCGAGGAGGAAATCCCCCCACCGGTTCCCATTCCGTCATTTTTCGATAAGGACGACGATGACCTTGTGGACGAGCCGTTGAGCTCGCCGAGGCTGCAGATCAAGGACGACGGCGATATTGAGAGCCCTCAGTTCGACGATCCCGATCTAATGGTGGCTCCCCTCTCTCCTAGGAAGAAGACGGCTGCTTCCGTTGATGCGGCAGTCGCTGCCGGGCCCGCCAAGGACAGCGATGAACCGGTCGAATCTGCAAAGCCGACGAGTGAGGCACCCGCGAAGGATGAAACCGAGGGGAGCAAGGATGAGGAGCAAGAGCTAGTCACGAAGCCAGAGGCAGATACATCTCTCACGCCAGCTGAACAACCCGACGACGCTTCTGATTCCTCTGCGGTGTATACCCCAACAACGACCACAAACCCCCCTGAGTCTGTTGCCGATCCCGAAGCCACTTCTCGCGCCGCCGAAACCTCCCAGGTCGAGACTACTCCTGAGACTAAGGATGATGCCCCGAGCGACCAACCAGCTGGCGAGCCTAGCGCTGCAGACCAACCCGACGTTCCCGAACCACCCAAGCCAGCGGCGGAGGCCACCGCTGAAGGAGAGAAGTCCGCCGACGACACTTCAGCAGCCAAGGAAACGAGCGCAGTCGATGAGTCCCTTCCTGCTGCGCCCGCTCCTCCACCTCCATCTTCCGGATTCGCCCCTAAGACTGGTGCCGATGCTGAAAAGGGTGACGTCGATGAAGATGCGGAGCAACCTGGTGCAGAGTCCATCATTATCCGCGCTGTACCTGACCCGCCTGCTGCCGAGTCTGACCCCAACGCCATTCGACCCGTTGTAGGTGACTATTTGAAGATGCAGTTTGTAGAATATCGTGTTGTACCAACTATTTTGGTGAGTCCCAAGCATTACCCCATAACCGATCGCCAACGTCCATTCTAACCTATCACTTCGTCGCCAGACTTTCTTTTTTAAATACCCCTGGAACAACTTCCTGCACAACGTAGTCTACGACGTCGTCCAACAAGTCTTCAATGGACCGATGGATCGAGGATACAACCCCACCCTCGCCGTATCACTCTTCGAAGCCGCCGACATCACCACGGCCATTATCCAAGGCCAGATCACGAGCGACGAATCACAAGCAAAGACCAAGACGCGGATGGGCTACATGGGGCACCTAACTCTAATCGCCGAGGAAGTTGTCAAGTTCACGGAACGCCACCCGCCCGAGCTCCTATCCGAAACCGTCCTCGAGCGCGTCATGAGCCCCGACTGGGTCAACTACGTGGAGGGCGCCCTGGCCGAGACTCGCGAGCGTGATAACGCCATTCTCGGAGGTGTGCGGCCAGAGGTGGCGCTGAGCAATAGGTCCGCCGCCATGTCCGGCCTGGCGGGCGTCGGCCTCTCCGGTCTCGGTGGATCGATGGGCCTGGGCAACGGTCTCCAGTCAGGCGGATCTACGGCACTCGCCGAGGCAGGGCTGAATGGGAGTCTTGATTTGAATAATGATAATGGGGGCAATGGCATTGGGCCTTTTGCTATTAGCGCTGGGGCGATGATGTCTGGCTTTGGAAGCTCGAGCGATGAGGAGGAGGATGAGAATGAGGAGACGGAGGAGGACATTAATAATGAGGTACGGGCAGCTTGACACTTCTTTTCCAAATTAGAGTGCTATTTTCCCGCTCCTTGGCTCGCCTCCTCGCATTCCCTCCGTAGCTATCTACTGAGAGAGAGAGAGAGAGAGAGAGAGAGAGAGAGAGAGATGGTTTCCCAAGCTAACTGGATGTGGCATGACAGTTTCGGTCATATACAGATCCGCTCAACAACAGCAACGGATCTTCATTGAACCCACCCTCGATCCCCCCTCCCCCTCCGCCGCCACCACCACTCAACATCCCTCCCTCCCGCGCTCGACTCCAGCTTGCCGCAAGGCTCGCTATGCACCAGAAGAACCTGCCGGCAGCATCGGCGGCAGCCACCACCACCACCTCCTCCGAAGAACCCGCACGAGAGAACGGCGATTCCGAGAGGCGCGAGGAGATGCCGGACTTCTCTGGCTCTGCGTTCCCGGCGCCTCTCCGCAATCCTTTTGCCGACGACGCGGACGAGATAGATAGCGACGAGGAGGACGACCAGGCCCTTGACGCTGAGACGGGGTGGGGTTCGTCGGGACGGGGAAGCTGGTGGCGCGGTGTTGTCATGAACCGGCGGGGTGACGGCTTCGGGGATCATGATTCGGAAGACGATGTCGATGAGGATGATGAGGATGAGGAGTTTGGTGATTTTGCCATGCCGGAGGTCGATTCCGGCGATGGCAATGGCAACACCCACAACAATAACAACAGTGACAGCAACAGCACGAACAACTTCCCCGGACTCAAGCTTGTGAGACCGCTTGCCGTCCACCCTCCGTCAAGTGGCACGCAGAAATCTGCTTTTGGCGGCTTGTGGCCGTTTACGAGCCCCGGATTCGGCAGCGGTAATAACAAGGCTAGCACCGGGGAGGAGACGGAAGGAGGCGAGGCGAAGAAGTCGGCGGAAGAAGAGAAGCCGGTGAGCGAGACGAAGCCTGCCGTTGTCGGGGACGAGGTGAAGAAGGACCAGGAGGCCGCTTCCGGCGTCAGTGATGTCAAGAAGCAGACGAGTCTCGATGATACGGCATCGGAAGATGAGGTAGTGGTGTGATATGATTATGTGTATGTCCCTGTACGTTAATTGTTTTGCGAGGCACCGGGGAGCATGCGAAATGTGGGGATGAGGGGAGAAGTTCGGAGTAGTATGAAGGGAGCTAGGATTCTTGTATTGTTGGATGTGCTGTATGGGAAACATGTATGGAACTTGGGTATGGAATGAATACCTTCCGGGGAGGGATGGGGGTCTAGCGCGTTTCTTGTGCTTGATGCTTTTTTGATGTAGGGAATCATGGATGGATAGCGATGGACAAGGACGTGAAGGATTTTCTTTTTTTTTCTCATGGATTTCGAAGGGATACCCGTTTGAGGAGAGAGAGAGCCGCGGAGGGAAGAAGGGGAGGAGATGAGGTGGCGGTGGCATTCAGTAGTGACGAGGGGAAGAGGACGAGTCGAATCGGCCTTGGACCTTGGAGCTGCTTTTGTATTATACGTTTCTTGATTCTTTCTTGCATGTGTCGTTTTATTTTCCTCTTTTATAGGTTTCGATTTGGTTTGCATGTTGCGCTTGTGTGTAGAGTATCTATCCATCTGGGTTGAGAGGGACGCAGAGAATTGAGATTGTTCTACCTAAGGTGCTGGGAAGTGCGTCTCTACGCTAGGGCGTATCTATATAGGCATACACATTTCGCAGATGTGCTTTGAGCTTCTTGTGCGAAACGTCCGCAACGAGGCTTTGAGACCTTCATATCTTCCTCGACAGCATGAAGGATCGAGAGGCCCGCTCGAACTATCACGTGACCATATTCGGCATCTAGGATCGGGTTCCTTCCGCATTTGCATTGTCATCATCATCATCAAGTGTGTCACGCTCGGATTCTGGCTTCACCGTCTTGAGGTATTAGAGGCTGGTATCATGCCCGAAGAAAGCTAAATCCCACTAGCAATGCTAGAGACCCGAATGTATCTTCGTAAAAGTAAGAACGGCCGCCCTGAACCTTACATCAAGTTGATGTGTCTCTCCCACGTGTTCACCTGTCGCTGGATTTGACTTGATCCCCCCTGCCGATCTGCCCAACAGTTCGCGGCCGATGCATGATCCTGACACCGGCTATTAGGAGCTTTCGTTTCTAGATTGTCATTGCCGGGGCAGCTTGGTCTGCCCCAGCTGTTTCTCCAAGCTCCAAACCCCGTAGTTTTTATTTCGCATCTTTCCACTTGATTTTTCTCTTCTTTTCTCGTATTCTTGTTCCTGGAAAACACGATTAAACTCGAACGATAGAACATCGGACGTTGAATATTAGCCTCCGCTTTAAGTGGAGCTTGGGAATAGACTACCGAGAAGCTCGCGGCTCCAAGGCTCCGAAGCTTGCGACTCGACAACCCCGCATCGCCTGGGAGCTTCGCTCGTTCCGCTTGTGGACTAGTACCGAGCAGTGCGCATCCTGCTCGTCGTCGCAGATCGAAGGATCTCGTCAGATTTGATTACTACTTCTCCCCTCTTTTTTTTTCTTCTTCTTCTCTTTCTCTTCCTTTAATCAGAAGAGCTACATTACAGCTTTCTACAGCTCGAGCTTCATACAATAACAATATCGCGAACATGGCCGACTCGGAGCAGCCAACATGGAACGATACCATGCGGACGTTCATGGAGCCGCTTCCCATCCTCACGCGCGTTTACTACGCCTCCGTCATGAGTGCGATCCAAGGAGTGGGCGCGCACGGCAGGTGGTATAAGGGCTGGCAAGACTGGTTCTCGCCGCCGCAAAAGGGACCCAACATTGTCAAGACCTACGACATTCGACAGAATCTTCCCATTCGGTGAGCTTTCTTTTTTCCGAGCATGAATTCCTTCTACTACATGAGCGCATCGCAATCGCTCGGGCTAACTCAGCCCTCTCCAGCATCTTCTTCCCCTCCAACTACGACCAAACCTCCCCCCAAACCCTCCCAACCCTCTTCTCCATCCACGGCGGCGGCTTCTGCCTCGGCACCCCCGCCGAACTCGACGACTGGAACCGCCACTTCGCAGACACAAACAACATGCTCGTCATCTCCCTCAACTACTCCAAAGCCCCCTGGTACCCCTTCCCCACGGCCGTCACCGACGTGGCGGCCCTCTACAAGGCTGCCGTCGAGGATGAGTCACTACCCATCGACGCGGCGCGCATAGCCGTTACGGGGTTCAGTGCCGGGGGAACGTTGGCGTTGGCGCTGTGCCAGGTTGATCCTGTGAGGAACCACGCGCGGGCGCCGCCGGGAGCGGTGGTGCCTATTTATCCTTGCGCGACGTTGGCGCTTCCGCCTGAAGAGAAGGGGAAGAGGAGGCGGTACAAGGTTGGGTCGCGATTGGGAGGGATCCGTGGCCAGAAGAAAGATTGGGTGCTTCCGCTCGCTAATATGTTCGACTGGGCGTACATCCGCGTGGGAACCGATCTCCGCGATCCGCTCCTCTCGCCGTACTTTGCGCCCCGCGCGGATCTACCGAAAAACATCTTCGTCATCGGCGCCGAGCTTGATTTCCTCGCCTGCGAAGCCCATCAGCTCGCCCTCAGACTAGCGGGGAAACAAGACGATCTCGCGCGCTACAACTCCATCCCGGGACGTCCCGAGGCCGGGACCGAAGTGGGCAAGTTGGAGCTGGAGGATGAGCGGTTCGCTTGGGAGGTGGAGGATGGGAAGGGCGGGAGTGTGAGGTGGTTGTTGGTGCCGGATCAGGTGCATGCGTTTGATGTTGCGCAGGGGAGGTCGGTTATGGGGGATGAGGAGGGGGTGAGGGATGCGGTTGGGAAGACGGAGGAGTATGTAAGGTTGATGGGGGAGTGGTTGGTGAGGAGGTGGGGGTAGGGGCCTTTTGGATGGGGGCTAGGTTGGTCAGGAAGGGGGACGGAGTTGAGAAGGACGGCGAGAGGTCTTTTGGATGGATGGGATGGGATGGTTGTTCTTTGTTGTGTTTGATTCATGGGACTTTGCTATTTTTAGTTTGGGATGGTTTTATTTCGGCTTGGTATCTGGATGACATGAATATGAATCTTCAATTACGAGACTAAACAGAGTATTCAAAGTCTCTACTGTCTTTCTGCTCTTACCTCTACGTGGTGATGTCGTCTAAAGATGGCACCACTCCGCGGTTCACTGCCACCCTGCGTTGGTTGTTGGTGCTGGTGGACATGATGCTCTTCAAGTTGGCCCCCAAACCATTGCAACACGACGCATCTTCCTGCTTCAGATATATTTCTATGGCTTGGGGGCCATGCGCGTCGACGGTTGGCAGTCCAATCCTTTCGGGGCGAGGCTGTGCTTGAATGTGTTGGTGATCTCGTCTTAGGATATTGCGCTACTCATGGAGTGGTTTTAACACTCCAGCTGGACGCTTCTCTCAATCCGTACAACTCAAACTCCACTATCAAGCGACAGCATACCGTCGATGCCACCAACGACCAAAACACGCTCCATATATCGTACACGGTAACGAAGGTGATGCTGCCCAAGAGCAGGGTTCCCATCCAGATAACGAGCGCAGAATATATCATAATCGCCCACTGGCATACCAGATCCCCTAACCGGCTCCATTGTTTCTGTTTCCTTCGGGCCAATTCTAGAGAGGCTCCATATAGAGTAGGGGTCGCCTCCCGTGCGATGAATTGCATGAGGCCTTTGCCATTGTCCTCAACCAGCTTGTAAGAGCTACTCGTTCGAATGACAGCTAAGATCAACGCAACGGTAGGCCCTATGAAAACCCAGAGAAAGAGGGCACTGGACTCATCAAAGCCAGGTAGAGTAACAGCCGCCAGAGATACAGCTTTAAAGGTAAGCTGGTATATTTGGTAGATTGTGCAGCCGAATGCTCCTAGCGTGAGACTATACTCGATGATGCCAAAGGCAACTTCCAGGTATCTAGGCCGATCTTTGCAACCATGGAGTAGCCACGGACCGACCATGGGCGCCTCGGGTGGGGTACTAGGAGCGTCCTCGAGCTTCTCGAGCCTACTGAGCCAGGCTCCAGTGGTTTCTCCGAGAGGATTCGGCGACGGGGGATCCACAGGAGAGCAGCAGCGCCAAAATCGGACGGCGGAGAGCGAGCAGACTCAGGTCCGCGAGTGACCGCCCGAACAAAGCTAAGCCGGCAGGTAACAGGCCGAGCAACAGCCCAGTAATGGCGTTCTCGACCGCTGCGATAGACGCTGGGGGACGTCAATCCCCGGCTTGTACCACCATGATTAGCGGGACACGAAGCCGCGATACGAGAAATGTGGTCTTTGCCGTGACAAAATCAGATGGGATTCGCCCCCGACATTGCTGCCTTGCGATTTGTGTGTGCGTGTGTGTGTTTGTTCATGGCATAATTGGGTCTCCGGCTTCAGCCTAGCCAGACCAAGGGGGGAGAGGCCGCAAGAGGGCGTAACAGAGCGCGTCCCAGCCAATCCATTCCACAAGGGCAAATTGCCAAAAATGGACGATGACCAAAACTACAGGTGAAGAAACACTGATGTATGTGCTTTTGGGCAATTCAATCCGAACGTCGAGCAGTAACTTGTCGAATCACGAAAAGTTAGCCACAAAGTTACACACGCCTACTCTCACACTCTACTTTGGCCAACAGTTGCCCGAGAGGCATGGGATCATTTCTAAACTAGGGAGCGCGTCTCGTAGGACACTGCCTTTCCAAGACCTCCAGGACTCTGCTTCACGGCTGTGTTCCTGGGAAGAAGTTAATGACACGCTCGATGGCGAGTGAACATTTAGATGGTAGTTTTACGGAGAAAAGAAACCTCAGACCGGGCGGTGTCTCCAAACTGCAGACTGTCAAGGTAAGGCCGGCGGAGGCCCGTGACGGAATTTTGGGTGATATTGGGATGTTTGTGCACAGGATTTCCGATTCCATTTCCAACACGCCAAGTCCATTCAGCATTGTCTGGTCCCTGCTCCTGATATTTAACACTTCTCTTCGATGTTGGGACCTACCCGCTGAACAAACCGAATGCTCTTGGGGCCCACAGGAGGCACTTGCGGAAATTGTACTTCACCCGGTTTTGTTAGAGGGCGAGACACTGAGAACTGGTGGAGGCCATCATTTCCTACCTCACCTCGGTTGCCGTTATGTGAACGCGAGGTTGTTCTTGTCGAGACTACTCGTAGCTGCTTTACCTTACCTTACTACACTTACTCCGAGCACATACTTCGTACACCCATCGTATGTTTGAAGTTGGACCACTGCTCCTCCCCCGGCCCCCATCAAGCGTTGGTCTGGGGGCTGTTGGATCCTCGGATACCACAAGGAACGAGAACGACATCAACATGAATAGCCCCCAAAACTTTGGGGCCAGAAAGATGGCGGGGCCAACTTTGACCTGCAAAGTTCCAACAAAAGGGCCTAGAGAAGAAATACATCGACTTCACATCTCATGACTTTTTTCTATTTCTAGATCGGAGTCCTTGTGATAGAAAAGCGCACAAGGCCGAGGGAGGAGCGTATCCGGCGCCGGAACAATCATACCCGGAGACCCCCAAAGGCTTACGCAGCTCCAGACACCCGATTGAGTCCGTAATGGGCACATTTTTACTTTGCGGCTGGATGCCATGGAAATGCCAGGTGTCATTCGGGCAACATGTATGGGGCCGAATGCTATTTGGAGACTATTTCCAAGGGCAGGCATTATCAAAAATAGAGGTGAGGTTACTTCGTAGGACACTGCTTCATTCGTTTCGTTTCGGGATGTCGTTCGTCTGCCCCCGAAACAGCCATTTATTCCGAGGTAACAAAGGTAGATACGTAATAGCTAATGCGGGAATCCAGAGTCGAGCTAATAACTGAAAAGAGATGCCCGGCGAACGGGAAACAAATTCTATTCCGGGGATGACAACGGAAGTAAGCGTAGCAACAGGTTGAAACGCTGAAACCAAAGACCCGGGATGAAGAGCAAGTGGGACCAGCTAAACTTAGTTTTAAAGCAGCGACTAGTTTATATCTGGACTAGAAGAGATTTGAGGGACGAGATGGACTGACCGAAGATGGGAGTGGAAAGGTGTGTCAAGGGTGCTGGCTCGAGGTGGTACAACGTCACTGAGGCTGTGTCGAGTAAGATGGCGGAGCTTATTTTGGGTTGTTTCCCGATTTAGAAACAAGCGCCTGGATGGTTGAAGATGACACCCAGTATATTTGGAGGAACAGGAGATAATAAGCGAACTGAACTGGAGAAAAGGGAAGTAAATTAGAAAGTAAAAAGATAAAAATAAAAAGTTAGAATAAGAGGCGCGGCGCAAATTGAAGTTCTTCGCCGTGTAAGCGCGCAGTGTCGCGGAGCAAATACAGGATGGATTATTTGAGATGTACGAAGTACAGGATAAGAAATAAGTAAAGGGAAGCCTCTAGAAAGAATATGAATAATTTCAGGAGAAAAAGGAAAATCAAATAAAATAAAATAAAATAAAAATAGAGAATGGATGAATGAAAAAGAGACATGAGCATCATCAGTCGGCTCCTGCCATGGCACAGCAGAAATAGATCAACGGCCGAAGGAGTGATCAAGCAAGCCAGCATCCTTTGCAGTGATTCCCCCAGCTCAATTGGCGGAGCGGTGACTGGGGCACGGGATGTATTGGGACATCAAGGCATGAGACTCGGTTCTGCTTGGTCGATCCGATCAGCCTCGCGACTTGGTCTCGTCAATGCCGGCCAGCTCAGCTCCGGATCCTTGAGCGGTACACCCAGAATGCATAATGGGTGAGGCGCCTTGTGCAGACAGAGGGGGGGGTAACCTTGAGTTCGAGTTCCTAGTGTCGACGATGGAAGTCGCATTAAAAGGGACGACTGCCGAACTCCTGCCCCCTACATTAACGAGGCAATGATATGCCGAAGTGAAGGCGCATTTCGTTCTTCAGTCCCGACTGAATGTAGACTTTCTTTCGCGACTTTCGCGACTCTCGCGAGGTCATCTAATAATGCAATAGTAATATTAAGATGATGAGAAACGGCGTTGCCCTTTCGAAAAGGCCAAGAAACTTCCCTTGTCGATGTGCCTGTGGTTGGCGAGTGGGAATGATGAAGCCACCAGCCTTCCTGCAGCCATCGATAATAGCAGGCGGAGTTATGTAGGCCAGGCCAGGCGTACTGATACTGTATCTCTGAATGTTGCTGGAGGAGAGTTCGGAATCACGCCGACGAAGCTCTCATGAGTTCCAGCCCATCAACCCGGGGGGATTCTAAAAGAATCAGTCGATGCCCGTTATCTCTGCCCCAGATTCTCCAGGCCATCATGAAGATCTGATGTCGAGGGATCAAATGCGAAATGGTGTGCCATCGCCACTCCAACGTCCAAAGGTCAAGAAACACAGCCTCGAGTTTACCTGGTACCTTGCATCTGTGGTCAGCCTACGAAGTGACAAGTTGAATCACATGGGAGAATCCATTGATGAATCCATCGATCCATTGCACCTTCCTTCTGCGAGCCCTCTGGAAGAGTTCCAAAATCTGTGGCCAACGCCAGTGATTCCTTCTGCTTGGGGAGGTCGGACAGGGATCAATCAAGAAAGTTTGGGGCCCGATTGGCTGGTCCGCGCTCTCGTTGGGTGTAATTTGTACATGCACAATTAACTACCCTGGACTCCACTATTTTGCACCTACTATATTGTACCCTAGTGTATAAGTACAATTAGATAGCGATTGAACGTTCTCTCCGGGCTTGCTGGGCTGGGCCAGACCTTCCTAGGTTTAGCGAGGCATGGCCTGGTCTCAGTGGGTCGATACTTTCTAGTGTACTAAAGTGTTTCTATGTTGGGAAACAGCCCCCCCGCCCCAGTCAGTTAGCCAGCGCTGAAAGAGCCTGGCCGAGGAAATCCAGTAAGCT